TAGTATTTACAACCCAGAGTGCTTCCAACAGAAGGGGTTTGCCGCTCTTTTGACTGATGAATTTGCCGACCACTGTCCTAGGAGAATTCTGATTTTCATTTGTCTTCTGGGGAATACGTAGAAGGTAGATAGGAGATTCTTGTATCTAATTCAAATGGACAGAGAATAGGCAAAGGGATGAGATTGTAATCAAACTAAGTAGGACAAAGGCCTGCCTATAGCAGATTTTTTTTTTAATTGTGAAGTAGAATGCTCATTGTAGAAATGTAAAAACATATAGAAATATATTAGGAGGAAATAAATTTGCTGTAAACCTCAAAACCAGATATAGCTCGCACTGATAATGATTTTTGAAACGTATCGTGCTTAATTCAGATCTTTTACCTAATTTAGATAATGCTGAATATTTAGTTATATATCCTGACTTCCTGCTTCTCATACAATTAAATTTCCCCCTAAACATTATTTTTTATATTAGTATTATATTGTGTTAGTGTAACAAGATATTCTCCTGCACCTTTCTACTTTTCTATTACAAACAACTTGTAGGAATAAATCTATATATGACTGACTTTTTCCCCCTCTTAGGATTGATTCATAGAAGTTAAGTTACTGTGTTAAGAATATGAAAATTATTTTTAGGACTCTACATAAGTATTGTTAACTTCTAGGTAGTCATTATTTAAAATTGTCTCATTTACTCTGTGTGAACTTTAGGAGTGTTAGGAGGAGAAGGGCAGGATTGCCTCTAAGGTTGTCAGGGACAGTCATCCCTTAAAGGTGACACTGATTCGTATGGATGTGCCCAGGGAACCAGAATTAGGAAGATTTTTATCATACTTGAAATACTTTACACAATAATTGTGAAAGAAAACCCTTTCGAAGATTGTTTACAACGACTCTGATACTGATGTATACCAGAGGTCAGAGATAATGATTTGCAAGAGCGTTCCAGTTGTAAGGGGAATAACCACTCAGATATACAAACAAATTAATGCTGATTGTTATTGCCTTTTAGTTTGATTCGTTATCTGTTTAATAAGCTGTGTTCAGCATTTGGCTTCCATAGTATTAGAAAATGCAGCATGTAAAAGTAGAGAAGAGATGTAAAGGTAATCTCTAAGATAATCCAGAATTTACAAATGGAAACAGTGTTTTCAGTTGTTTAATTTTTTAAAATGAGATTTCTTTTCCCAGTCATATTTATATATAGCTCTGTCTTAATTATTGGCAGCTTTTATTTATTGAAGAAAATCATACACTTTGTTAAAACTTTAGGTTTGCACATAGTATGTAGCATGACTGATTACTATCAATATATATGTATAGTGTATTCTTGTTTTTATGTGTGTAGGTGAGTGAATGAAAAAGGCTTGATACTGCCGCACAGTGTTAGGGAAAATAGAGCATGGTGGTGCTTTTTATTGTTCCTCCAGTTTCACTGATTCTAATTATAGAAGCTTACATCACCTTAGTTGATGATGAAGGCTTCCCTCTCCCTTTTTACATTTTCTTCCTGGATAACTCCCTAAGGATAGATCATCTTTCATAGTGCATATGTGTCCTGCTGGTGGGCTTGACAGGGTTTTTAGCAGGATGGTGGTGATCATTTAGTGCACAGAGATAGGTGACAGTGTGCTGCAGCACTGCTCTTTACAGAAGAATAGGAGGGAGAGTGTTGGTACTCTGGCTTCCCTCCTTCTGAAAGGCCAAGGAATAGATAAGATGCAGTTTAAAAGCAGGATTCCTGAGGGGCACTCGTAATTAGCGTTAACCATATTGTGTTAGCTACAAAGATTCATATGTTCAGGTTAACAAGGGAGATGGGACGGGAAGGAGTGGAAAAGCTTGCTGTAATTCTTTACAAGAGCTTGTATGTTACCTCTGACATTATTGTAAAGTTTCATTCATTTTCCAGAAGGATTAAAGTATTTTTATTACATAAATCAGTTCATTTAACAGCTTATACTTGAAAGACCAAATACAACTAAAAGGCAGACATGAATAGCCTGCTTATTTTATTTTGTAAAAATACATATTTTTGTTGTTGTTGTTCCTCACCCTTTGGTTTGGTTTCTCTAAATTTTGATTATATTTCACTGTGCTGGTGAATAAAACTGTGTCTGAGATTATGACATACTTGGTTTTTATTATTATTGGGTTTTGGTTTTCATAATGTCTAGAATATATATCTTCTGATAACCTTTTCCATGATGATCTTTTTCCCCTTTTCATTGTGGTTATTTATTGAAATAAAAGGAATATTTATTGTTTAGTAACTATCAGAACCCATTTTGGGCTTTCTATAGAGTATGATTTCAAATGTCTTGCTCTGTATTTTTATTTAGAAATAATTTATTCTGTTAACATTTTAATTATTAACTATATAGTGTTTATGTTTTTATAAAAATAATTTTTAATGGTTTGAAACATTGCAAGGCCAACATACATGAATTGCTTTATTTTGTAGTAGTGTAAAAGGCCTTTTGAAAGCTAAAGATTTCATCATTGTAGCTATGCATCATGCATTTTATATGCAGGAGAAATATATTCTTTTGAGGAGGAAGAATATATTCTTAAATAGTTATCCTACGGTGACGATTCTGGACAGTGTGTAGATCAGGGAGGGCGTGCTCTGTAGTTACTTCATTTGAATTGGTAAGATAATGAAATGAGGTCAAGATAATATTATAAAAGTGATGAGTGAAAATCATTTATTCACCTAATCATATATTTTTAGTTGTTTGATAAATTACTGGCTGTTTTCTTACAAAGACACTTTATTTCTTCCTTCAGTAATTAAGAAGTTAAGTCGTTTCTGGAGAAACATTATGGTGGAGAGTGTATTATTATAGTAGTAGTGGATTCATCTGCTGAACATTGAATTTAGCCTGTTATTTATTTCATGGTATTGTTGCATAGGGAGATTTTGCATGCTAGGATCACCTTATAATTCCCTAAATGGCAGATACTTATGAGACGATAGGTAGACCAAGGAATAGGATGATGTCATCCTCCTCACAGTCCAAACTAAAGAAAAAGAATTGCTCCTTTATTGAATTGGTGTTTACTGCTAGTTCTAACATATGGCATTAGTGGATTGCATTTCACCAAGAGGGCAGCAGTTTTTTGAAGCAGCTAAGAAAAGCTAGCTCAGCTTGAGGCTCCTCCTTTGTGTGCTATCAACATGATTTATAAAAGGGGGCAAAGGTGCCCATTAGGATTTTGCTTTTTGATTTGGTGGTAATTTATCCTATTGGTATTATACATGAATATAATTACTGTCTGCCACTGAAACAGAAAATGTTTTTGAGATATATTACTAATGTTTCTGTACAAAATGCTAGTCTTTTAGATATTTATCTTTAGGAAATGAATGGCTTCATTACATACAAAGTGCCTACTTACCATTTTTCTATTTTAAAAAAATGAGTCATCAAAATTAAATTTTAGTTAATTTATTTGTGAATGATTAATATTTTGTTGGACATTCTAACCCACTGTAGTTTATTTAAATTAGGTAAGTTGAAAAATGTTCATTGGTCCTTGAAAATCAACCTTTACATATTTTCCATGTTTATTTTATTTTTAGAAAACCAGAGTCGTGCTTATTTGTATTTATGAGATTTAGTTTTATGCATAAATGCAAATTTGGGGTCTTCTTTTTAAATTTTTGCAGAAAACAAGTCTTAAGTTTTATGGAAACCTAAATTAAAAATGATCACATATTTTTAAATTATAATTTGTCTTTGTTCAGAGTAATACATAGTTTTACCAAAGTATATTCTAGTCTTGTAAGTAGCAGCCTAATTCACATTATCATAGAGTTATTCAGATTGTGACTCATACTTTGCACGGGGTTGTTGAAAAATTTTCTCCAATAAGATTTTTTCCCTATGGCAGTCAGTGGAGTCCTTTGTAGTACTCAGGTAGTAATTTCTCCTCTTACTGTTACAAACCTCTTCCCCCAAAAATAGTGTTAGGTGAATACAGAAAAATTGTTCTATTACTTTGATATGCTTATTGATTGTTGTTCTCATAATTTTGCTACCTGGAGGTGAACTAACTGTAATGTACCATTGGAAACTATGTCTTCCTTTGACCATTGGGAGGCACCATTACAACCGTAAGTGCAAACTCTTTGTGGGAGTAGCCTTGTAGCAGAAGCATGAAGAATAAGGGTGGGTACTAGAGGAATTGTGTTTCCAGATTGGAGAGGGTGTGGCAAAATTAAAGGTTTTTTAAATGTTATTTTTATAGAAAAAATGAGACTTCTAGCCCAAGCTCAATTTAGAGGCAGGGTTTATCATTTTCTTCTCTGATTCCTTTTGAGTTGCAGTGGCTTCCCGTCTCTTTCTAGGAATTGAGCATCGGGCTGCAGGAAAGTACCAATTTACATAGATCATTCTTTCTCAGAGGATTTGATGCATGCTGCAAGTGGAATGTAGTGCCTGTGATTTTTTTTTTCCAGCTTTCCTTTACAAAATGAAATTCTATTGTTTCCATTTAAATGTACTGTTTACATACAAATCTTAGTACCAGTCTTAGATATTTTTAATTTTAATTTAGAGTGGTCCTGAAGGTTTTACCTTTCAGTACAGCTATTTGATAAAAAGGAAGTTTTGTAAGCAGAAAGTCTTGGATTAGTAGTATTACAAATACATGTGTGATATCTGAGATCTAGGCTGCCGTATGTATTTGCATTGCAAGTGTATCTTACCAGAACTAATTATTTTCCCTTGGGAAGATAATACTGTGTTAAATTTGAATAATAATATTAGGGATATGGTTTCTTAAATAAGCCATGTATCAATAAACAGAATTAAAAACCAAAATGGATTTTAAAAACTGTGAAATAGAGAGGTGCTTAAACCAATTTTTTATTATTATTATTATTTTTTTACTTATAGAATTTAGCTTGCTGACATGTCTAATGGAAGACTGTGTGTGTGTTTTTAAAATAAATTGCTCTTTGGCTGCATCTGCAGATACAGTAGCCAATTGATCTAATGCAGTTTCTGAAGGCTTTCTATACAGGTGATGTCATCCTTTTAGCTCTATTCTCCTCCCACTCTCTTTCCTTCTTATTAGATATTTCATCTTACTGCAGAGCATAGAATCAATAGGAGCTTCTCCTTAGGGAGCTGCTGTGAAACAGGCAAGGACAGTAGGAATTAAGACACTAACATACAGTCTTGCTTTAGCAAAAGATGTAGTGTTTTTGTACCATATTATATATAAATTTCAACCAGAAAGCCAGGCTTAGATCAACAATTCTTAGTGATGCATTAGAACAAGAAGCAGTACTGCAGAGCTGTGAATAGTGAATGTGAAAAGAGAAATTTGTAATTTTGAAGATTCTCAGGCATGCTGCAGGACAAACCTGTTAGAACATATGTCTTCTAACTACCATTTGCTCAACGGTTGATTTTTTTTTTTTCTTTTTTAACCTCTGGTGGTAAGAATATAAAGAAGAAACTTTCGTTTTAAGGATACAGTGTTCTGGTTGCTTCTGATGCAGAAGAATCACTGCAGTGCTTGCTCTACAGAATGAAATAAGTTGAAGAAAAGACAAAGCTGTATTATAGAGAGGAAAGGTTTCTCAGAATCCAGGACCCAGATTTGGTGCATGTTGCCTTATTTGCTTTCATTGTTACATTATTTGTTGTGTTACCACTGCATGTCTGTGCCAGGTGTCTGAGGTAGCATGTGTATGTCTGTGTGTTCTGAGCCAGAAATATAAACATCTTGATTTACTGTGATTTGCTTGTTTAAAGTGAACATTTTGATGAAAATTGTTGCAGTTTTTAGAACAATACACTAAGCTACTGAAAGCTGATTTCCGTTTGAAAGGGATTTGGAGAAGCTGTCTATATATATATATATATATATAACACTACAAGTGTTGTATGATTTGTAAAAAGAAACTTAATAGAATTTTGTCAGCATACTCATCAGTGTGGCTCTGGTTTGAAAAGGAAACTACCCTTTCCAGCCCAGGAAATGGCTTTTCTTGTTCGCTGTTATGCCAATTGTCTTCAGCCATGGGCCTCCAAAGTAAGTAATTGTTATTTTCTTTTGAGATTGAACTAATCTAGTTATTAAATTTAAGTTCTGTTTTGAATTGCTAGTGAACTTTATTGTGCTTTTTTATTTTTTTTAACTTTAAAAATAAGAACTACAAAGCAATCTAAAAAGCCCAATTTCATGCCCATTTTGTTTTTCAATTAAAGAAATCTTTATTTTACTCTTAAGAGGTTTGAAAAATACCTTCATCATAATCTATAGACTTAAAATGCAATGCATTGAAGTGTACTGTCTTAAGATTGAATCATCATTTGGTTATGGCTATTGCTGTACTTTTCTGAGATCATACCCTTAAATGTACTCTTGAATGTATTATTGTATTGCCTCATTTCCTTAAATAGTTGATATATTGAGCTATGTTTTTATTATACATTTTCACTGGTATGGTGTTAGCAAATAAAATTATTAAATTGTATTATTTTTTGAAAACTGAATAATAATTCTTAAGCAGTAAAATAAAATAGAGAAAATACTCATGAAAAGTAATTATGAAAATATTTTAATACTGTTTTTAATTATTTTCAAAATAGTAAGTGAACAATTGCTAGCTTGAAACCATTTAAGATCATGTTATAATTGTCATTTAATGCAAACATATTAACTCAGAAAAAAGCATACTGTTATATATCAGGACATGCTAGGTTTTAGGAAAAATACAGTATAATTTAATAAATTATATTCTTAGTGGCTCTTTATATAGATCTGAATTTGATGCCACTCAAGTTGTCTTTCCTGCTAGATACGTTTCAAAAACAGGAAGACAGAGAAAAATGAATTTTTGGTTTGATTTCATGAAACTAAATGTTTTAGTAAGCACTGTAATTGTAATATAGACATATTAAGAGTTCTTTAAAGTCAGACTAGAAACAGGCACAATAGAGGCATTTCTTAGCATGATCTGAAATCATGTCTTTGTTAAAAGGTTGTCCTATTGATGGTGACGAAGGGAGAAATACTAAGATAGCATTATGGTCTACTGTTTTATCTGAAAGGTAGCTCTTTGCATATCTTTCTTAGAAGCAGCTTCTAGAAGGACATTTAAATTGACTGTCCATTTGGCAAACACCTGATTGAAATATAAAGAGATGGAAGGAAGCCTAGGTGCACACTTCATTTGTGCTATTATCTGGTAAGACATGGGTGGCCTCTAATGTATTATAAATGCCACCTGTAGGGCCCACACATTGCTGATGCTTGAGAGTGGCACTACTAAGATTTAAAAATGACGAGTAGATGAGAAATGGATGAGACCAGGTGAAAATCCTTAAAGAAAATTAAGAATAAGATATAGAGGTTGCTTTTTTAGAATAGCAGCAAATAATAGCCTTTGGGAGTGCTGGTAACCAACTTTAGATTTAAGATTTTAAAAGTATAGAAAAGCCAAAAAAGATTTTAAAGATAACTGATTCTAAGGTTTCATTAATACCAGCAAATATTATCTGGGCAGGACTCTCTGACTGGTACTTGACTGTGTAAATTAAGTATTTATAATAGAGTACATATCTTCTTCCCTCTCCTCCATCTCTCATGTTACTGTTGATGGAATTTTAACTCTGGATTGTGAGTAAACACATTAAACTTGTGATTAATTTTTTATATTCGCTACTTTTGATTTTCCAATACATTTTACTGGTTTTATTTATTAATTCCTGGATTTTCCCATGCTACTACTTGGATTTCATTACTTCTGAACTCATTTATTTTATTGAGGAAATAAGTATTTCTAGCAGCAAGATTCTGGAACTTAAGTCCTTATATATTCAAAATACTTTATTTTATATTAACTCTTAAAATAATTGTTTTTATTAAAAATAATTGTATATATAATAATCATCCTAAAGTCTTTTTCCTTTAGCACTTTGAAAAAGTTAACGCATTGTCTTCTGGCATTCATTATTGGGGATGAGAAGACTGGGCTCCTTATGATTCTTGTTCCTTTGTTAATACCTGTGTTTTACTTTGTTTCTGTGTTGTGTTTGTTTTTGTTTTTTGTTAATCCTCACCAGAGGACTAACAAATTTTTTTTTCCATTGATTTTTTTTTTTTTTTTTTTTTTGAGAGGGTGAAAGGGAGGGGGAGTAGACAGAGAGAAACATCAATCTGAGAGAGACAAGTTGATTGGTTGCCTCCTAAAGGCACCCTGATTGGGGTAGGGATGCCGCCTACAACCTAAGTATGTGCCCTTCACTGGAATCAAACCTGAGATCCTTAGGTTCTAGAGCTGAGTTCTAACCACTGAGAAAAGCTGGCCAGAGCTGTTTCTCTTTTATCTTTTATCCTTGTTGATGCCATGAAGTTTTACATGGATTGTCTAAATTTTATTTTATTTTGTTTTCCTTTCTTGGCAGTTGGAAATCTCTCAAGCTAAAGATTCCTATCTGTCTAAATTTGTTATTGCTCCAGATGTTGCAACTGCAACTGTGCATCTGTCCATAATGTCTCCAAATATTTGTTTTATCCTTTGTTCCCACTTTGATCCAGTTTGATCTTCTGGCTTTTTAATTAATTCATTCTCCATTTGTGACCAATTGCTATTTTGCTAGTTATCTTTAAATTTCCATAATTTAATCATCATATCCTTCATTTCTGAAATCTAAGTGATGCTGTTTTACAATTACCTTTGTTTAATAACTTGTTTTTATTTTATGAATACTATTCTTTTTCCTCATTGTCTTATTATCTCTTTCTTCAGTTTAAATTCTTCTCTTAGTTGAGTTTTTGGAGTTTCTTTCCCTTGAGTGATTCTTAGTTGTGAGCTCCCTTTCTTGGTCTACTTAAAGTTGCTTACCCTAAGTGACTGTTCAATGAGTGAAGGAGGTATTACCACTTTGGCTTCTATATTCCTTCTTTGGGTGTTCCTGCAGTCAGCCACTGGTCTAGGAAGTACTTGCACTCTCATTTTTACACAGCTAAATTTACAGGTAATTTCTTGGCCTTTATCTTACTTTACCTGTCTGCAGCATTTGACTTAGTTGATCACTCCCTCTTCCTCAGTAGACTTTCTTCAGAGTCAAAGTCAGAGTCTTCACCATGACTTCCTAGAGGAGTGGTTCTCAACCTTTCTAATGCCGTGACCCTTTAATTCAGTTCCTCATGTTGTGGTGACCCCAACCATAAAATTATTTTTGTTGCTACTTCATAACTGTAATTTTGCTACTGTTAATGAATCGTAATGTAAATATCTGTGTTTTCCGATGGTCTTAGCCTCTACAGCAGCGGTTCTCAGCCTGTGGGTCTCAATAATTTTATGGTTTGGGGTCGCCACAACATAAGAAACTGTATTAAAGGGTCGTGGCATTAGAAGGGTCGAGAATCACTGACATAGACAATGATTTTTGACTCCCCTCCTGCTCATTCACTCTGGTTTTCTTGCTTGTCCTCAGATTTGCCAGGCACTCCTTTTTTTTTTTTTTTTTTTTTTTCTCTCATTACATCTTTCTTCACTTTTAATAAACTCATTGTTAATGCACATATTAATTGAAAGCTGCTCTGTGGTTTAAAAAAAATAAAGTGGGAGAAATATGTCTTCTGATACTTATTGATTTATTTAACAATATCCTCCCAATCCCTCATTTTTAAAAATATATATATTTTATTGATTTTTTACAGAGAAGAAGAGAGAGGGATAGAGAGTTAGAAACATCCATGAGAGAGAATCATTGACCACCTGCCTCCTGCACACCCCATACTGGGGATGTGCCCGCAACCAAGGCACATGCCCCTGACTGGAATCGAACCTGGGATCCTTCAGTCCGCAAGCCAGCCGATGCTCTAGCCACTGGGCCAAACCGATTTTGGCATCCCTCATTTTTTAATAAAAGTGTAATGAGTTATGAATACATGTTTCATCTTCGCATGCCTCAGGCACAGTGCTGGTGTATACCGAGGCCACTTTGATTAGATATAGCTACTTCCTCTAAGGCACACGTGTCAAACACAAGGCCCGCGGGCCAATTCCGTCCCTCCAGGCCTTGCAACGTGGCCCGCACCGCGCTGTCATCACTGCACTCGGCTGCGTTTCCATCACAATGACAGTTTATGACTGTTCAGTAAACCATTCGGCCCGCGATTTAGGCTGGATTTTAGATTTTGGTCCTTTCTCTGATTGAGTTCGACACCCCTACTCTAAGGCTTTTGAGAAAGTTTAGACATCTCCATAAAATAGGCTCCAGGCTGCTTTGGTGGTTGTAGAATCTTTTCTCTCTCTTAGTTGACATTTTTATGATATGTCACTATCTAGTGGTAGAAGCTTCTTTATAATTCTGGTAGTTTCCTTTTGATTTCATAAAGCTTCCATCTTCCTGTTTCTTGACTAACGTTTCCGGTTTCCCATAAGTTTAATTTTCTACCATTTCATCTTCTATACTTCCAGAGCAATCTTTTTAAGAACCAAATCTCTTCTATTCATTTTCTTGCTTAAAACTCTTCAGTAGCTTTTTTCTCGTTCAGGAAATCTAAGCACCCAAGAATGCTACATCTGGTCCTTCGTCTCCTGTATCTTCCGGTATAAACCTGTACCTGAGCTACAGTGGTTTGCTCACTGTTTACTTCTTATTCACTAGAAATAAAATATGAGCCACATTTATAATTTTAAACCTTCTTGTAGCCACATTAAAATATTTTAAGGTGAAATGTAATATATTTATTAAGTTTTTAAAACATAATAAAAATGTAGTAGTGATTTAATTACTAAATCCAATTTGTATTTTACACTCACAGCATGTGTCAGTTTGATTAACCACACACTTCAAGGGCTTGGTAGCCATGTATGACTAGGGCTACCGTATTGGACACCGCAGTTCTGATCTTTGTCGCTACTATTCAGTACATTTAGTCTATATTGGCTTCCTTGGGACTCATCTTAAATATTATTCTTCCTGCTCTCTATCTCCAGTGAAAATGGGGTCTTTCTAAGCTACATTAGTTATTTTCGTATTTTAATTGTCTTCTTTAATCTCAAACCTCATGATGTTTTATTATTGCTTTTATGACTAGTATTCTTGTTCAGTAAATGGGAAATTAGATCAGCAAGTTTGATATAAATTTATTTATATTTATAGTAACTGAGTATAGCGTCATGAAATGTCTTCCAATGAGTAGCACACGAGAACTTATAGACTTTATAAAATGCATAGGAATCATCGTTATTTCTTGGTCTTTTAAATCAGGTTAATGGGTAGGTGATTTCGGGATAGGCCCAGTGCTTCTCTGTCAGGTAGCTATGTTTTAAAAAGCATATTCTAATAATGCAGCTTGGAATTTAACAATGGATCTTTGAGGAATGCTATTCTGTTGGGGAATTGTGCAATTTTAAACATTGTTTTTACTTACAGAGCCCTTTGCATGCCCTTCTCTTAAATGAAATAATGCTGAGATATGGGTTGTAAGGGGCAAAAAGTTCCAGATAGTCAAGTTTCTTATAAAAGAGTATATTTCCCTATTAATCGTTCTTAGTTGTGAAAGCTTATTCTTAAAGACTAAGTTTTTAAACATGAGGTGAGATCTTGAACGTTCATATAATAATGCTCTTGTGCTATACACAGCTGCATTTGTGACAATCTAGATTCAAGTAGGCTTCCTTGGGACTCATCTTATATGAACTCAAATTATATGAACTCATCTTAAATATTATTCTTCAGCCTGCAAAAATTAATTGGCTTATGAATATTTCCTAGATGGATGCATGGGCTTGTCCCAAAGCATTATTTCTTACATTGGAAAGATGTTAATAAGAATATTGGCCGGGGGGATAGGGGGTAAGAATATTGGGAAAAGTTTGGAGAATGATGAGTGAAACAGATATCTTGATTGTGGGACTGGACTTCTTAGACTATCCATAAATATGCTTGTTGTAAAGAACTAAGGAGCATATAGTATAACATTATTTTCTAAGTGATTCAGCTATTAAACCTCATACTCCCCCCCCCTTTTTTTTAATACATCCATGAGTATTATTCCAAAGTATAAAGTTGAGGAAGTGCTGCCCTCACTAAAATACTGAATTTGGCTGTGATGAAACTTCATCTGTTCATATATTCGAGGGAATCTGAGCAGCAGTGATAGTGTTTGGAAGGCAAATGTATTCATTTATTCCACAAATACTTAATGTATAGGTTCATGTGTAAGCACTATGCTAGACCTTTATTGAGTAGTAAAAGTAAAGATACAAGTATATCATTTTAGAGTTGCCTGGGTGTGTGTGTGTGTGTGTGTGTGTGTGTGTGTGTGTGTGTGTGAGGGGGGGGGAGAAAGGAATTTAGATGCAGAAATAACATTATCTTTGTATAATTGGGATATAGACAGCATGAATGCTGCTTTCAAAGAAATGAAGAAAAAAAACACACAAGTATTTCACTTCCATTGATTTCTCAGCTTGTCTCCCATACAGGTCCTTATGTTGGGAGTTTTTTTGTTATCTAATTTATATCACTTTCTACAGTTTTCAGTGCTTATAAGATAAATGCTTATTCTCAGCTTTCCATTATATATCAAGTATATTAGTATTTGTCACAAGGCATTCTAATAATACTCATTTTTGAATCTTGATTACATTTTTTCATCATAAAAAGTCAGATTGTGTACTATGTTTATAGCAACTGTTAGTTGCTAAGGGTTATAGAATTTTAACACATTCCATTGTCTGGCCATTTTTAAAAGAGAAGGTAGGAGAAAATTTCTCTCACATACATGTGTATGTATTTGTTTTCCAATACATACATAAAATGTCAAATTATTTACAGAATTGATAGAAGAATGCTTTCTCCATTTGAAAATAAAGTATTTCAGCTAGATATTGCAGATAAAGCTATAATTACTTTGGATCATCAGTCCCGATCTTTCTTCTTCATTAGAAATATATTTTTTACAGTTTACATATTTGGGACATGTAGTGAGCCCTCAGATGTTAGCTGTGCAATCACCATCATTATTATTTCCATTGGATAAACAGATTGAGGGGATTCCTAATGAAAACCTTAGTTTTTGAAGTAGAAAGCAATTGCTATATTATTATAAAAATGTGTCCTCTCTCACTTTTACACTGAGCTCCTTAAAGGTCGGGTCCATCCTTTTTCAGCATTATGTTACCAGCAGAGATCCTAGCACAAAATAAGAGTTTATCAGAGAATACTGGAATCAGATAGATCTGAGTTGAATTTCAACTCCACTACTAACTTGAGTGTGAGGTCTTGGGCAAGTTGCAAATCCTAGTGCCTCAGTTCCTCATCAGTAAAGTAGGGAGGATAATAATGCTGCCTTTTAGGATCTAGTGAGGATGAAGATTGCTCAGTACATTTTAAGTATCTTTTCTAAGCCAATTTACAGATTTTCTCTTCTGGCTTTGGCTTATTGTGTTACTTTTATGAATGACCTTCTCTTTAGTCTTATCTCTGTAGGAATCTGGGAGTATAGAATATCTCCCACACCACAACCAAACATCTGACATTTTGAAACAATTTTCAGTCTTTACCTTTCAATCTATTTAATTCTTACATGACATTTAAAAAATATATTTTTGTTGATTTTAGAGGGAGGGAGGAAGAGAGAGAATATCATGTGAGAGAAAAAGCATTGATTGGCTGCCTCCCACATGCTCCCCTCCTGGGAGTCAAACCCGCAGTGGAGGGGTAGAGTAGGGGAGCATCTGCCCCGAGCAGGAATCAAACCCCTGACCTTCTGGTTCCTGGGATGACACTCCACCAGCTGAGCCACTCTGGTCAGGGCGTGTTTTTTTCTTTGTATCTAAACAATAGAAACAAAGTGGGAGGAAGATCTCTGAGTTGAGGACTCATTTCCATCAATATATTTATTTTAATTTTTATTTTGTATAAATATTTTCTAACTCCAAGTGTGACTTCACTGACCTATGGGCTATTTAGAGGTCTATTTTGTAATTTGCAAATACATGATAATATTCTAGTTGTCTTTTTTCACTTATTTCCACCTTATTTGCACTGTGATCATGGGATATTATCATTTCAAGATATTACTGTTTTATTTTGCTATTAGCTATCATTTTGTATTAGTGTTTGTGCCCATATGTGTATATAATACTATTCCCTCCCTTTATGGTGGAAACAGCTGATATTTGTGGTGAGGGAAAGTTTTTTTCTGAAATACCATTACGAATAGTAATCTTTTTTGAAAACTATTCAGTGGGTTTCCACTGTAGGCTTGCCTAATAGTGTCAGAGTATTAATTTAGTTATCATTTCCTAAAATTGGAAAATTCGCGTAGAAGTGAAGTTGTTCAGTGATGTACATCAAGTAAAAGTTTGTTGTAGAAGTTGCATTGTGTCAAAAACTCTCTTATAAAAGTGGTTTGGTATTTAGAATATCTTAAATTATTTTTCTTCTTCAGCTTCCAGCCGATCTTACGAAGATGCATATCACAGACAACCCTCATCCACAGGTGACTCATGTGTCTTCCAGTCATTCTGGTTGTAGCATCGCTAGTGACTCCGGGAGCAGCAGTTTATCTGATATCTATCAGGTAATGCTTTATGTGTTATGTGTATGGATTTTTTTATTCTACCAAGTATCCCGTGCTTGTGCTTTAGCTGGTCACATGTCTTTTAAGTAAGGTGTGAAATTCAGGCATAATGTTTGGGGGAAAATATGCTTTATTTACTGTTTGAGAGTTGGAAGTCTAATTAAAAAGGTGATCCATTTTTTTTTTTTAATATATATTTTATTGGTTTTTCACAGAGAGGAAGAGAGAGGGATAGAGAGAAACATCAATGAGAGAGAATCATCGATCAGCCGCCTCCTGCACCCCCCCCCCACTGGGGATGTGCCCGCAACCACGGTACATGCCCTTGACCAGAATCGAACCCGGGACCCCTCAGTCCGCAGGCCGACGCTCTATCCACTGAGCCAAACCGGTCCTGGCAGGTGATCCATTTTTTGAGGGTGATTAAATATGACCCAGCAGTGTATGGACATAGAGGTCTTTTATCCAGATGAAACCATATGTTTGTCTTGGTAAAAATTAGTTATTGAGGCCTCATTGGTGTGGCTCAATGGTTAAGTGTTGGCCCACACACCAAAGTATCACAGGTTCAGTTCCTGGTCAAGGGCACATACCTATCTGGGTTGCAGGTTCAATCCCTGGCCCTGGTCAGGGTATGTGAGGGAAGCAACCAATTGATATGTCTCTCTCACATCAGTGTTTCTCTCTCTTTCTCTCCCCTCCCCCCCTTCTCTAGACTTCCTCCCTTCCACTCTGTCTTTAAAAAATCAGTGGAAAAAAATATTCTCCTATAAGGATTAACAACAACAAAAAATAGTTATTCAAACAAACTTATAAAAAGGCTGATTTTAATTATTACTATATAAATCTTCTATAAGTAAGATTATGAAGAAAATTAGAGTTGCTTTTGTATTTTAAAGGCTCTATTACATTTTCTAGTAGCCACATTTAAAAAATAAAGGGAAACAGGTAAAATTAATTTTAATAATGTATTTTATTTAGCACAATATATTCAAATATTATTACTTTAACATTTAACTATTCAATAGTATTTAAAAACTATGAATGAGTTACTTAAATTTTTATACTGTTTTCAATAGCCAGAATTTATTATAAATTTACAGCGGTAATCTCAATTTAGACTAGCCACATTTCCCCTTCTTCCTCCCACCCCTTCTATTGTTTCTTCTCTCCAGTTTTATCTCCTACATGTCTGTCTCTGCTCTCCCTCTCCTCTCTTCTTCCTTCCCCCCCCCCCCCCCCCCGCCATCTCTTCTCTCCTCCAGATGATACTTTTCCTACAACGATTCTTTCTCCCATAGCCTTCCTCCAAGCCCCCTCTCCCCCCGAGTATATGCACATACACATGTACTTTCTTTCATACTGTATCACTGTTGTACCTTTTCTATTTTTAGGTGTGTTTGGTATACAAATATTTATATCATCTTATTGTTGCCTACAGTATTCAGTACTGTGACATGCTGTACAGGCTTGAAACCTAGGAGCAATAGGTTATACCACATAGACCCACTGTGTAGTGGGTCTGTAAAAGTGTTCTCTGTGACCACATAAGCACAAAATCCCCTAACTCCTCAGAGCATATCCCTGTCTTTTAGTGACACATGACTGTACTTTTAGATAATCTGAGGGGTACATTTAATCCCCACCTATATTTTTTAGCTTCTATGTAGGACGTAAACATTTTCCTAAAAATCCTGACGTTATAATTATTACCCTACAGCTTGATTTCTTAATTCAGAGCTCTGCTGCCCGGTCTTCTTTAGGTCCCTGGTGTCACATTTCCACTGGGATGTTCTTTTGACATCCCTTCTAGCTTTGTCTACATGTTTTTTTCACTTTAATATTTTTGTTAAGATTATTATCTGTGCTGTAGTCAATATCTGTTATCTTTGTGTGTGTTTTTAAATTTTTACATGAAATAAAGTGCAAAAAAAAAACACCCAAAACAGTTACAACTTTATTTAAAAAGCTTCAATGCGTCACTGTTACCTAATTTACACTCTTCATTTCAAATTTATATTCAAGCCTTTCCCTTCTACCCACAATTTGCAAATTTGGTTTTATATCCACTATTCTCCACTTGCACATTGTAGATCTGGTCCATGACTAACATAATGGCTACTCCCTGACCATGTACCTTTCCCCAGTTCAGTGTGTGGTGATGCTGTGAGCCAGCATCTCCACCTGGATGACGTTTCACATTGTCTCACGTCTTGGAACCTCACAGCAGTTTTTCTGTGTCATGTCTCTTTCTTTTCTCATGTTTGGTGTAGATATGTTACGTGTACTCTTGACTTTTTTTAATCATAGTACATTGTGGGGAGTAGGGGTTTTTTTTTCTCCTGTTTTTTTTAAAATATATTTTATTGATTTTTGTACAGAGAGGAAGGGAGAGGGACAGAGAGCCAGAAACATCAATAAGAGAGAGTCATCGATCAGCTGCCTCCTGCACACCCCCCACTGGAGATATGCCCGCAACCAAGGCACATGCCCTTGACCGGAATCGAACCTGGGACCCTTCAGCCCCCAAGCCGACGCTCTATCCATTGAGCCAAACCAGTCCAGGCAGGGTTTTTTCTTAATTGTATATCCTATGCTGAGTTAAGCACAATTTTGGCACTTAGGAAGTAAGCTAGAATTTTTTTTTCTGTTGAATTGCACTTATAGGTAGAAACCAGTATTGTTTCCAAGACTAAAGCTTGATTATCTGATAGGAGGCTTTACTTTGCCTGCCTGTCCTGTTGTAGAGATTATGGAATGGGCCAGCCTGGACAGCACGATTTGAAGGATTGATTTTACAGGATTCTCATCCTGACCAGAAAGACAAAGAAGAAACATAATGGCTAAGTGGTCCATGAATAAGGTTAAAAGAAATACTGAAAGTAAGAATGCAAAATACAGACGCACTGAAGACCTAAGGTTCTGGCCTAATACTTGCTCTAAATTTGAAAATGTGATTTTTATAAATTTGTGTAACTTTTTGTTCCTTTATTGTAGTTTCATGTTTATCTGGATGCAAACAGGAAAAGGAAATCCTCTGGTGGTTTATTTGGGGAAGGCCAAGTCATCAAAAAATCACCTCAGACTGTCTGCCTCACCAAATTATATTTATACATACACAGAGAGACTTTCATACTGCAGGAAAGGAAAAACACAAGAAGTTTAATATTTGTCTTATCAGCCCTTCCACTGATAATACTTTTTTTTTCATTTGGACTTAATTCATTTAGTGAAATCTTCTTGATGGCCTGCTGTTTTAAGGGTCAGGATAAAGTGGCTGAAAGGCCAGGGCTCTGGTCTTTTGGGTACCCTACCTTCATGGATATGGCATCTTCTCACCTACCTTTTTTATTACAGCTTTTGATATCTCTGAGGCCCTGTTGAGTTTTATTTTTGACTTTTTGCCTTCTCCTTGCTTTAGTTTGGGTATTTTTTATTGCCCTTCTTCAAGTTCATTCTTCTTAAAGTTTGGGGTTTTTTTTTTTTATTGAGATCTCCCATTTTTTCCCTAATTATTTTTGTATTTTCTTTCAAATCTTTCAACTTCTTGATAATAAATGTTTATAGATCATGTCTTCTAATTCCTTTATCTCTGTCATTCCTGGACCTCTTTATAGTGATAGATTTTTCTCCTGTGATAGATCACATCTCTCTATAGTGATAGATCACATCTCTCTGCTTCTTCACCTACCTAGTAAGTTTTTGTTATATGTTGGACATTGAGGATACATTTAAAAAATTCTTATCGAGTTACTGTAGGATTAAATTTTCTTTTAAGAAGTTGTATCCTCAGAAGCATCATTCAATGACTTCCAGTCCTGGTGGTGATCATCATATCTAACTTTACCTAAAGACATGCTTGCTTTTGTTTTAGTCAAGGAATTAGACTTTGGACTTCATCTATGTAACTCACTTTATTTTACTTATTTTTTAATTACCAAAACTTTTAATTTTCTAGTATGTTTTTGGCCACTTTTTTCTCATTTTTATTCTTAATTCTTATTTTGGCACCATATTTCTCTTGTATATACTTAACATTTTAACAGTTTAGTATGTTCTCATAACTAATTTTATTCATCATTTTGTATCCTACTTTGAAAAAAAGACAGGCAGAAGTCAATTGTAAGGATAGATTAAATTCTTTTATTTGCACATGGCCTTAAAAGTTTTCTAAAAGAGTTCTTTAGTAATCTTCTCCCCATCCCTACCCATGACTTCCATTCTCTCTAAGGAACTATTTTCTTAAATGTCTTCACTCCTCAAGCAGATGACAGTACCCCTATTGTCCATATAATTGAACTACATTTTGCTTTTTTTGTTATGAGCCATCCATCTTTTTATCACATGTTACCTAAAAGTTGAAATAATCTGGGTCAAGGGATGAAAACCTGGTGAGGACAAGGGTAGTTTAAAAACTCAAATTTATAAGGTAGATTGTCCTTGAGAATTGATAAAGTGGAAAAAGGCTATTCCTGAGCTTCTGTATTCTGAAAAATTATACTGCTTTGTTTTTTAATACTACTTTCTTGTATTAAAATCAGTGTATGTAAATAAACTTGTGGAAAAATCATTTTAGCATGTACAGATGTTTAAACTACTGTCTTTGAAAGGGGATTGTAATCTGCTAGCAAATTTGTGGTTCTGAAGGTATATTATTCAGAAACTAGTAGTCCTTCACACAAATCCATGCACCAGTAGCTCTCTGTGAGCCTGGCCACTCTGTGCCCACTGCCTAGAGGCCCATCCGCGGCCATGTGCAGAACGCTTGTCTTGTCAGCAAGTATTCCACCAGGCCACTCACGCTGCCCTCTCTTAGCAGCCACTCCCCTGGGACTGGGGGAGTCCAGCGGGGCTGAGAGGACTGGGCACCGCCATTTTGTGGCTATGGGCGCCACCATCTTTGTGATAGAGTGATGGTTAATTTGCATATTACCCTTTCATTAGATAGTATGTACTCCACTAAAACCATAAAAGTCCATAGCCAGAAAATAACTCAGGAGAGCATACTAGTCATAAGGTAGGATTGCTCTTACATTTTCCTTAACAGCTTGTCTATAGATCTCAAGTTGAATATTTAATCTGGTTTAAATTAGTTGTTTCTTAAAGCTGTGCAAAAATCTGAAGGAACTATAAAACAGAATCTTAGAAAACAAATTCAGTTGTGGGTATCAGTTTTAACTTTGAATTAACAGTAGCCAAAAAGGGTAGTTTATTGATCCACAGAGAAAGCAGAGACAGTTCCAGCCTCAGGGAACCTGAGGATGCTTGCCAGGTGCGTCTGCCCATCTCTCTCTTGTCCTTTGGTGCTGGTAGCTTGCTTGCTCTTCTTCCCTCTCTCCTGTGGTACTTCCTGTCAGATGCTCTTTGTGTCATGTCTTATCCTGCCTACTCCGTTTCTATTACTTTGTTGCTCTGTCTTCCTATGTCTGCCTTTCTTGTTAAGTGTATTTCCCATTCCCCTGCCTCTTTCTCTGCCTATAGTTATATTTTCTCTCATGCTGCTCTGCATCACATTCTTCTGATTCAGGAATCAGAGAAAAAAGGACACTCTGCCCTCCAGTTCCAATTACAAAAATCCAGACAAAAGGTCTTTCTATCTTAGCTTACATAGCCATGGATTGGGCACTGTTCGCCACTGTAATCTCTCGGTTAAGTTGGAGGAGAACAGCAATTCCCTGAAAGAAGGAAGATCCTCTTTCGTGCAGAGTAAACAGTAAATGTTTGATAGTAGATGAGACTTAAATATTTGAAGATTATGTTCAACTCATTTTTTCTGTAACTGCTTCAGGATTCATGCTTTTTTATTAATATGTACCAAGAGAGTGCAGTATTTAGAAATTTGCCAGTGATTCCACTTCAGGACCATTCTGTTTTCTAAAAGATATCTTCGTTATTTTCTATAACTGATATTTAAGTTTACAGGTGTGTGTTTTTTTATCTGCTAGTTCCTTTATAAGTATCTGAGACTAATGTTTCCAGAGTTGAGGTTATAAATATAAGCTTATATTAAAGATTGGTTAAAATAATCTCTGTTCTCTTTGATTGACACAATATTAGATTCAAGTAAGACATTGGAAAGTCATGAATATTTGTTGAGTCCTTCACAGTTGGTCTATTTTAGCACTTTTCAGTACTACTCTTTACCTCTTTTATACGTCTCTTCTTAATTTACATGATTACTTACCTTACTAAATTCTAAACCTTAGTGGTGAAAGAATGGTATTTTATATACAGCACCCAGTATATTAGTAAACTCATAAGTACTTATAAAATGATTGTTGGGCCAAAGCTGGTTTGGCTCAGTGGTAGAGCGTCGGTCTGTGGACTGAAAGGACCCAGGTTCGATTCCGGTCAAGGGCATGTACCTTGGTTGCGGGCACATCCTCGGTAAGGGGTGTGCAAGAGGCAGCTGGTCGATGTTTCTCTCCCATCGATGTTTCTAGCTCTCTATCTCTCTCCCTTCCTCTCTGTAAAAAAAAATCAATAAAATATATTTTAATAAAATAAAATAAAATGATTGTTGGTAAACTCTTTTATTTCTTGCACTTCATGCTTTAGGAAATGTATTTTTTAGAAATGGAAGTATTTGTAGGAAAACAGGTATTAAAACATTTAGTGATGTTTGAGTCTCCTAACCATTTTTTATTTACCAAGTCAGATATATCACCTAAGTGTCATATCATGGAATGATGAGACTATTTTGGGCAGAGAGAAAACATTTTATAAATAAGTCTCATTTTGTTTTTGATACAACATAAAATAATGCCTAATTCTTTATAACATTTGGTATTGAGGTATAGTTTTGATTAATTCAGACTGTGACATAATTTTTATAACATGAAGGTTTCTTTCTGCAGGCGACGGAAAGTGAAGTAGGAGATGTAGATTTAACACGTCTTCCAGAAGGACCTGTTGATTCTGAGGATGAAGAGGAGGAAGATGAAGAGATTGATCGAACAGATCCACTGCAGGGGCGAGATCTTGTCCGAGAATGTCTTGAAAAAGAACCTGCAGACAAAACTGATGATGACATTGGTAAGAAAAATATCTGTTCACAATAAGAATTTTATAGTTTAATTTAGATATACTTACCTATTGCTGCATAACAAATTACCCCCAAACTTATTGACTTAAAACAACACACCTTGGGAGGCAAAGTGGGGTGGAATGCATAGGGGACATTTGTAATAGAGTCAATAATTAAAAAGCAATACAAGCCAAAATTGGTTTGGCTTCGAGCGTCGGCCTGCAGACTGAAAGGTCCCAGGTTCGAATCCAGTCAAGGGCATGTACCTTGGTTGCGGGCACATCCCCAGTAGGGGTGTGCAGGATGCAGCTGATCGATGTTTCTCTCTCATCAATGTTTCTATCTATCTCTATCCCTTCCTCTCTGTAAAAAATCAATAAAATATTATAATAGTAATTAAAAAAGCAATACAGGAAAACCCCTCACATCTTCTCATACATTTTCTGGGTCAGGAATTCAGGAGCAGCTTAGCTGAGTGGTTCTGACTCCGTGTCATGAGTTTGTAATATGAAGGTTGAAGTCATCTGAGGCTTTGCTGGGCTGAGGTGGCTACTGACATGGCTTTTGGCACAAGACCTCAAGTCCCCACCATGTGGGTCTCTCCAGAGGCTGCCTGCCTAAATGTCCTCGCAGCACGGCAGGCGGCTTTCCCCCAAAGCAAGTAATTCAAGAGAGTAAGGCGGGTGCCACAATGTCTTTTATGATCTGGCTTCAGGAATGACATATCATTATTTCTTCAAGGTTCTATTTGTCACACAGAGCAACCCTCATATAATATGGGAGGGGAATGCATGAAGACATAAATATCAAGAGGGAGTTGTCATTTAGGGCCATTTTTGAGGCTAATTGCCCCAATAAGAGAGCTTGTTTAGAGGGTCTAACGGTAGCACAGACACTTGTAAGCCCTTGATTGAAGAACAGTTCTCCTTTGTTGGGGATGGTCGTCCTTTTCAAGCGTGCAGCCTTGGCATGGATGCTCATGGGAATGTGAGGGAAGAAGGGGTCACCAGCCTAGCCTACCACATTAACTGAATCAACCCTGAAAGTCACACAGATGTCACAACCAGACCACTCTCACTCACATCCTGGCTGCCCAAATTTATAAAACCAAAGCTTTGATTCCATTAAAGTGGTTTTCCCTTTTGTGCTTATAAGACATTTAAAACATAATACATTGGTGTCCAATGTCTAAATTAGCTTTTTTTTAAAAAATTTTCTGTTATGAAAAATGTTTTTCTCTAGCTTGAAGAAATATATATGTTTATAATTTCTGGTTAAAACTGAATTTTCTTCTATGTAATTTGTTACAGAAGTAGTAACTTCCGGAAATTAACTAATGCTAAAGAAAGAAGAAAAAAAATTCTAAAGATGCTAATGTTAATTTTAAAGACAAAGATTACTTAGTTTCGTTATATATTGTTGATTCAATTAAGATTTTATCCTAGATTTTTCTGTATATGGTTATACTGCTGCTGTTCAAATCAGAAGATGCTGGTATTAATAGTAATCATAATCTGTATGAGTATAAGTCAATACATTTGAACATGCCTTGCCACTCTAATGATATATAGTTAAGTAACCTGCAGTTTAGTTTCATAGTGCGAATATTATCTGGACAAAAACAAAGTGCTTTTTTTTATGATGAAGAATTATATGCTATCTATTTTCACAAAGCTTTTTTTTTTTTTTTAATTGAACTATAACAAACTCCCAATTATCTGTGGGTAAATAGCACCTTATTGTTATTTCTGTGTCAGCCCATAGCTGACTGCTTATATATGTTTCTTCTGAATATTTATCTTTATTATTCATGTATAATATTTATACCAGGGAATAACCTAAGGCACGCACTTATAAACATTTGTTGGTTGAAGAATTACCTTGTGTTTCGTTGAAAAATCTTGATCTAGAATTTACATTTGTTATTTCTAATTAATTATTAACATTTGTTAATAACATTTGTCTATTAAACTCTAGCCCAGTAAGAATTAGATGAAATGCTTTTTCACTAATCTATTAGATCAAAAGACATCACTGTACTAACCACTATCTAGTGGCATCTCAGGCTAGGGAAATTAAATAACTCTCTAGCCTCATCCAAATCTATAGTTTCCCAGTTCTATCTGGAGTTTGTGAGTTCTGATATCTTCCATGTGCCTATATTTTCATGTGAGTCTGAATACATCTATTAACCAAATAACTCATTTTTTTAACCAGCGTATTTCTTGTGCTTTGATTTCTCTACTTTAGCAGCATATATTCATAAGTTGATTGAGAAATTGGGCATTGAATTCTAGATTTTATTATATGTTTAAAGTGTCCTTGATGGTCTCTGTACCACAATTTCTGTTTTTTAATAGAACAATTACTGGAGTTTATGCACCAGCTCCCCGCTTTTGCAAACATGACCATGAGTGTAAGGAGAGAACTCTGCTCAGTGATGATTTTTGAAGTGGTAGAGCAGGCTGGAGCTATTATTCTTGAAGATGGACAAGAGGTAGGTTAACAAATAAATGTTACATATTATTTAGTATGGGAGGTAATTTTCAGAATAATATAATTTCCATAAACTTGTGTGAATCTTGACTTAAAATTTATACACTTTGTTTTAAATGAACGCCGAGTTTTCAGTTGTTAAAATTTCTTAAGAGATAGGTTTTTAATTTTATTTTTGTATTTTGTCTTAATTTTTATTTCCTAGTATAGAATAAATGTTTAATAGTTAATATTTATTGGACCACATTTGTTTTTACTTCTCAAATTAAGCCATAAGGTTTTTTTAAAAATTCATAATTATTATTCTATTTGTATATTTATATCATTTTTTAAAATGTTTATTAGGTATTTACTCAACTGTCCTTATCCCTTTTGAATGTTAATGTTCTTTTAAAAAAGAGTGAGGTCGGCATTGATACAGATGCCTCCCAGGGGACTGCTATCAGCTAAGGCCTTTATGTAGCAATTCTAATGTCCAGAAATGCTCCCTGGCAGTCATGGATAGGTGAGGGGAGACTGCAGAGAAATTGAAAGGTATTATTGCTGTTAGAAAGTACTTCACTATTTTTCTTATCAAACTGATAAAAATTGCTGAGATAGTAGTCAGTGAACATTATGTATTGCCAGTATTTTTTCTGGAAAGTCATTTAGAAACTTTTAATATTGGCCCCAAATTATTAATAGTTTTTTACCTATTATTCCCCTTATGAGTGTCTTTCCTTGGGACATTATATAAAAAACTCAAAGATTTATGCCAAGAGGTGATCATTGCAGCATATTTATAATAGTGAAAATTGGAAGTGACCAAAAGTAATACAATTATAAGAAGGGGTTAACTGAATTATTATAAACCATGGGATGTAATATTATGTACATTAATATTAAGTCATTTTAAAGTTTGATGGAAATGCTTTTCAAACTCCACTTGGTGATTAAAAGAAGAAAGAGTAAAATAAGCTTCGATGGTTTGCATAGACAGGCATCAGGTATTACTGACAGTATTTAGTAATATAATCAGACCTTCCCTTTTTTAAATTATACAAGTTCTATTTATTGATTATTTTTTCAAGTTAACATATAGTTATCTTTTTATTAAAAAAAAAGAATTCTTAAAACCTGTTGTTGTTTTTTTTCTCTATAGCTTGACTCATGGTATGTTATTTTAAATGGCACTGTAGAAATCAGCCATTCAGATGGAAAAGTTGAAAATCTCTTTATGGGAAATAGTTTTGGAATTACTCCCACTCTGGATAAGCAGTTCATGCATGGAGTTGTTAGGACTAAAGTAGATGATTGCCAGGTAAGCTATGTCTTTGGTCATACACTCTTGTTTGTTGACTTAAAATGGCTGAGCCTGTTTTTCCTTCCTTAAAATACAATAGCTTTATTTGAAAATTATCAGTTTCCAAAGTTCACAGTTAATAAAGGAAATTAGATTTTATATCTCACATATTTGTGAGACTGAACAAATTGTAAAATTTTTTAAGAGGGTATACCAAATATTGGTTTGTTAAATTTCTATATGATATTAACCAGTTCATTCTTTTTTCTTTTCTTCTTTTAAATAAAGGAAAGAAATAGGAACTTCTAAGTTGTTTCTAATTCCTGCTTCATGTTTTCTTTGCATAGTATCAGTTTTGAGAGTAGTTCACTTCTCCTTTTAGAGCAGAATTCAAAATCAAAAACTCCTTGGTCTCTGTGCATGAATTATTTATTTTATCTTAATTTTTGTTAAGAATTAAAGGGATTAAGTCAAAAAGAACTGATGCCACTTGATTTCCTACCTTTGTGCTCTGCCTTGGTCCGTAGTGATGTATTTATGTACTACAGATTTGTTAATTGTCCCCATGTTATTCTCGGACAGTTTGTCTGCATAGCCCAGCAGGATTATTGGAGAATTTTAAATCATGTGGAAAAAAATACCCATAAAGTTGAAGAAGAGGGAGAAATTGTTATGGTGCATGAGCATCGTGAACTAGATCGGAGTGGAACCAGGAAAGGACACATTGTAATCAAGGTGAGTGTTTTTACTTATTATTCTAGTGACTGGTAAAATAAAGCTTTAATCGTGACTAGAAGGCTTTGAACCACTTTTTGAGTAGTGCAAGATAATTGATTAACTTAGAAATCTAATTTGAATAATTATTGGTACTTTTTGCCTTTTTTACAGTTGATTTTTACACATTTTATTGATGATGGTTGACATTGCTATTTAACAATGGATAGGATATTATTTTAGGATATACTGGTCAAAGTTCTTCTCCTTAAATTCATTTTGTGATCCATTGATAATAGAAGTTAATTTCATCAAAGATGACAATATTTAGAAACAACAGAAAATGAAAGGACCAGCCATAAAGGCATAAGGAATCTTAGATGAAAATGCAGCAGTGCTTAGTGGATCCTTATAACGTTGAAATAAACATTAACTTCTCTGAACCTTAGTTGTCTTGTCTGAAAATGCAGATGATATGAAAGGTTTTATTAGGGCTAAGTGAGGTAAATAAAAAAGATTGCACATTGTAGAATCTGAGTACTGATGCCCATGATGTTCTTCCTTCTAATTCCCTCTTTTCTACCCCATACCCTTTTGTCCTCTGATCACCCCCTCACTCTCCTGTCTATTTAAAACCCTCTAGATATAAAAGAGAGCAACCCTAGTTGTAAGAGAAGAAATAATCACATGTTTCTCTTTTAAAGTTAATCTTGGTTGCAAAATAAGTAAGTGTTACAAATGTAATCGCTTATTTAATAATAAGAGGGACTGATGTCAGATAGGAGTCAGGCTGTTCCTCAGTTTTTGTTTTTGTTTTTTTCTATGATAAGTATAAGTTTTGTATGTAGAAAATTGAGCATATGAATCGATTGCCTGGTGGAACTTATGGTTTTTAATACTTTATTTTTAAATGACTTTTTCAAATTTATAGAGAGCTCCCTGACTCAGATTCTTCAAGTGTTAGCATTTCACTGCATTTCTCCATTATCAGCAGTCTCTTTCTGAACCACTGAGAGCAATCTGCAAATGTAATGCCTCATCACTCCTAAATATTCCATTATGTATTTCCTTAAAACAAAAACACTCTACTGTATAAATAGCATAGAACCCTTCAAGCTAGGAATTGAGCATTGGTAAAGTAAAACCATGTAGTCCACAGACCCTACTTAAGTTTTTAGCAACTATCCCAGCAATAGATCTTTTTTCCTTTCTGGTCCAGGATCTTATCTGGGAACACAGGAGCATTTAGGTCTACTCCAAGAACAGTCTTTTCCTATTCATATTTTCAGTAGTTATACAGAATACAGATCTTATATTTTGTACAGTCTTTTCCTATTCATATTTTCAGTAGTTATACAGAATACAGATCTTATATTTTGTAGTATGGCCCTCAACCAGCATATATCTATTCAGTGTTTCTTGATGACTCTGCTCAAGTCATGCATTCCTAGCAGGAATTCTACATAAATGGTGTGCTCTTTTCAGTGCCTCGTATCAAGGAGCACATGTCAACCTGTCCCACCACCTTAATCACCTGTTTGTAACTTTTTTCATTGAAAAGTTACCATTTACCCTTTGTAATTGATAAGTATTTGGAGGAGAGATGTTCTGTAGCAAAATGTTCTACAAGTCTCTCTCCACCAGTCCTATTGACTATTCCTGCCTAAAATGGTGATATTCCTATTTCTACTATTTTTTTCTACATTTATTGTCATTCTATAAAGATGAGCATTCTCTTATCATCAGTGTTGTTTCAATGGTCAAATTTTCCCAGAGTTGGCCAGTAAGACTCTCTTAAGACTGATTCCTGTATCCTTAAACACACACACACACACACACACACACACACACACAAACTCAAAACAAAACACGTTTTTATTGATTTTTAGAGAAAGAGAAGGAGGGAGGGAAAAGGATAGAAAGATAGAAACATCTATGAGAGAGAAATTTTGTCAATTAGCTGCCTCCTGCACACGCCCTACTGACCAGGAATCGAACCGATGACTTCTTGGTTCCTGAGTCAACAGTGCTCAACCACTGACCCACACTAGCCAGACTCCTGTATCCTTTTGACAAACCACTGACACACACTGGCCAGGCTCCTGTATCCTTTTGACATGTCACCATTTTTTGAGAGTTTCCTTACTATCTAGCAAAGCAAGGTGTTCCAGGTTCACTTTATATTTACAGCTTTGAAATCATTAACTTCTCTAGAGTTTCCTGGATTATTCTAGTGGAGAAGAGCATTTGAAAACCAAGATCTGGGCATTTACTCATTGCCACTGAAGTATCATTGCTTTGCAAGCAGGTCAAGTGGGCTGCGAGTTTGACGTGCTTGTTCTAGTGCCTCTCAGGCAGAGCTAAGAAATCTATAATAATAAAAGCGTAATATGCTAATTAGATTAAACTACCTTCCAGATGATCTTCCGGACAAAGCCGGGGCTGTGAGGGAAGCCCGGGTCCCAGGTGCCAGAGGGAAGTCCGGGTCCTGGATGCCAGAGGGAAGCCAGTCCTGGCAGCCAGGAGAAGGAAGGCCTACTCTTGCACACATTTCGTATGGGCCTCTAGTATATGTATATTTTAACTATAAATACATACACATCTATAACTTCTGTATATCTATCCATTTATCTATAACAATCTTGAGTTCATACCAATACTTCCAATAATTACTATACAATAGGTTTTTGTTTGGTTTGGTTTTTTATATATTTTTATTGATTTCAGAGAGAGAGGAAGAGGGAGAGATAAAAACATCAATTGGTTGCCTCCTGCACGCCCCCTACTAGGGATCAAGTCCGTAACCCAGGCTTTGTGCCCTAAGCAGGAATCAAACCCTGACCTCCTGGTTCATAGGTCATCACTCAACCACTGAGCCATACAAGCCAGGCTACAACAGTTTTTTCTAGTTTTTCCTTTCTATATTTGTAAATAACTTTCCCAACAGTGGCTCTTTTTACGCTTTGTATAATTACTTATTTGTTCATCATAACCAATCTCTACAGCCAGCAATCTCCTTCACCAGGCAGCTCTATCCTCACTGTCTCCCAGTATCCAGCTTATGGGATGCTACTGAGAACTTCAATGACGTGCTTTTACATGACTCTATAAAGTTTTAAATATATGACCTAGTCTCCATAGCTCTCCTGTCTCAATGACTTAGCCTAGTCCCCACAAGTATCCTGCCTCAATGATTTAGCCCAACTATTTTCAACCTTTTTCATCTCATGACACACATAAACTAATTATTATTTTTTAAATATATTTTATTGATTTTTTACAGAAAGGAAGGGAGACAGAGAGCTAGAAACGTCAATGAGAGAGAAACATTGACCAGCTGCCTTTGTCCATGCCCTTGACCGAAATCGAACCTGGGACCTTTCAGTCTGCAGACCAACGCTCTACCACTGAGCCAAACTGGTTTCGACTAAACTAATTTTTGAAATTTCTGTGGCACACCAAAAATATGTTTTGCCTACCTGACAACAAAAATAGGTATAGTTTTAATTCATTCACACCATCCACCTATTGTTGTGTTGATTGTTGTCATATTTTTATTTGACAACGTGAGGGAAAAGAGTTCAGTGCCCCTGATTAGTCAGATATTGCATGTTTTAAAAATTATTAGTGCACATAAATTGAAAATCACTCATTTAGCCAATCAGAATAATGGCCTTCAACATGTTGATCATTTCCACCCATGACTTACATACATGATCTAAGAACCAAATTTTAAGTGACTTCAAATCTTGATTAGCCTAATAATAAACCCAGTGTGGTGCTCGTAGATTGTTTTGGAGGGTGGGAGAAGATTGGGAATGACCTGTGTTGCCTTTTTCCTTAATTAGGTTAAATGAAGAGCCTTATTTCTGACTTCCTGTTAGAAAATTATTTACGTACATTGGTAGTAATAGGTGCTTAAAAAAATACCTTAGATATGAACACTGTTAGGATTAGTGTATGTTTTCTATTTAGTTATTTTGATCCATGAATTGTTTGGATGAATGAAACAAATTAAAATTTGAGGTTATGGACAGCAGTCATGTTTTTATATTTGGCTTAGCATCTGGTTTATTTCTGTATTTGTTCTGAGTACCTACTTTTGAAAAGGCTGCAAAAGTAATTCTAACATTGACTGAGAAGCTCAAAGATGAGCAATAGGTAAATGTTATTTACATTCCTTTTTATAAATTTAGAGACAGGCAAGCAGTTAATACTCTGAGTTATGTAAAAATTCTAGAACTTCCGGTTCCTCTAAGATGGTGAATTAACATAGAGAAACTAAAGAAGAGGAAACTTCTATTCTGGGAAGTAGCAGCAATAAAACAAGCTATCCTGAACTGGTGTGCTGTCCTGTAGCCTGAGGCAGAAGATAATTTGCAATAGATTAATTAATTTGGAGGAAAGTTGTCAGTGTTTTGTTGTTGTTGTTGGTTGGTTGGTTTTAATGGGATTTTTAAATATATATATATATACACACACACACACACAAATTTATTTTATTATTTATTTATTTATTTATTTATTTATTTTTGGTTAATCCTCATCCAAGGATAGTTTTCCATTGTTTTTGTTCTGTTTTTTTTTTTGTTTGTTTTTTTAGGGAGAGTAGAAGAGAGAGGGAATGACAGAGAAATATCTATATGAGAGAAACACATGAATGGTTGCCTCCTGTACAGGCCGAGCAGGAAAGCACTCTGCAACCAAGGTGTGTGCTGTTGACCTGAATAGAACCCGGGACCCTGTGGTCCGCAGGCCGATGCTCTATCCACTGAGCCAAACCAGCTAGGGCTAAAAAATATATTTTTATTGACTTTAGAGAGGAAAGGACAGGGTAAGTGAGATAGAAACATCAATGATGAGAGTATGATTGATCAGTTGCCTCCTGCATGCCTTCTACTGGGGATTGAACCTGAAACCAGGCATGTACCCTTTACCAGAATCAGACTCAAGATCATTCAGTCCACAGGCCAATACTCTAGCCACTGAGCCCAACTGGCTAGAGTAGGATTTTTTTGTTTGTTTAAAGTTTTAACTCTCAACTCTTCCTTCTGTTGCCTTGGGTGAATCATCATTACATCCCTCCTTTGCAGTATAATTGGCAGTAACAGTCCACACCAGGGATAAATCAGTGAAATTTAAACGCCCTGCTACAATGAAATGCCAATAAAAAAATAAAATAAAAAACCAGCTACAGCAGAATAAATTTTTATTCTTTTTCCTTTTTTCTCTGTAAACCTGGGGTGGGGAGCCTTTTTTCTGCCAAGGGCCATTTGGATATTTATAACATCATTGACTTACTGTAATTCACTTACTATAAATTTATATTGCTATGAAAAAAAACTCGTAGATTTACTGAATTTCAATTGCTGCCTGCGGTTGCCTTGGCAGGGCCAGCCCAAATGATTTCAAAGGCCTTACCCAGCCATCAGGCTGGATGTTCCCTGCCCTGCTCTAAATCTGGATGCTGATGGATTACAGCCTATAGAGACTACCTAATACCTAAGCTAAGTGTTTTTAGGGAGAAACTCTTCTTTGAGGACTTGTCTAATGGAGTGGCTACAATGGAAAGTGATTAGTAGCAGTTCTTTCATATTTGAGCTATTTGTTTATTTTTTAATCTTTTCTATCTTTGAATTTTTAGGCAACACCTGAACGTCTCATCATGCATTTAATAGAAGAGCATTCCATTGTGGACCCAACTTACATAGAAGATTTTCTATTAACTTATAGGACGTTTCTTGAAAGTCCTTTGGATGTTGGAATTAAACTATTGGAATGGTTTAGAATTGACAGCTTAAGAGATAAGGTTTGTATTATAAGTGTAAAGGACGTGGAAGTGATTTTAACCATTAAATTTTATTCATAAAACCTTTTGCAGTTGATAAATTAAATCTTTATTTTATTTTTATAAAATTCAATTCACCTAAAAAAAAAAAAAAAAGTGAGCTAGTATTGATGTATCTCTGTATAGTTAACTTTATGACAAAACTAGAGGCCTGGTGCATGGTGGAGTTGTCCCTCAGCCCAGGCTGCATCCTTTCCAATCTGGGACTGCTGGCTCCTAACCACTCACCTGCCTGCCTGCCTGATTGCCCCTAACCACTCCCCTGCTGGTCTGATTGATGCCTAACTGCTCCCCTGCTGTCATCATCATCATCCCCAACTGCCCTGCCTTGCCAGCCAGATCATCCCCTGCTGCCTTCCCCTGCAGGGCTGAGTGAGGCTGGGTAAGTCTGGATGCTGCGGGGACTGGGTGAGGCTGGATGCTGTGGGGACTGGATGCTGCGGGGACTGGGTGAGGAGGGGCTGAGGATACTGGTGGACTCCAGCTGGATGAGGTGATCCAGAGGGGACTGGGGGACTGGCTGGCTGAGGGGACTGAGGGACTCTGGCTGGATGAGGTGGGCCTGAGGGGACTGGGTGCTGCCATCTTGTGGCTGTGGGCACCACCATTTTGTGAGGGCATGATGGTCAATTAGCATATTCCCTTTTTATTAGATAGGATAGTGTGTTAAAAGTGGATATGAGCTTATAAGACAAAAACAAAAATAAGGCTGTGATGTAGCTGCAAATTCAGGGAACACAATAGCCACATGTGAGAGTATTGCTGAACTTTCTCAAAATAATTCATTGTTTCTGAAAGATATTTAAAAGTTGATTAATAGTTTAGAAAGAATATTTACCAAGTAAATTTTTTTAAGAGGGTTTAGATTGTAAGCTGCAATATAGAATATGTTGATTTTTCTTATAGAATCATTTGAAAACTGTTGGTCTTTTTTACCTTAGTTTATATCTGCTGTGCCTTATTTAAATCTACCTTTGAATATTTTTTGCGTTAAATAGTTTTCTATTTTAAATAGATTATCTTAACCTCATTTCCTTTTTTCTTTTTTCTTTTTTTTAATATATATTTTATTGATTTTGTACAGAGAGGAAGGGAGAGAGATAGAGAGATAGAAACATCGATGAGAAAGAGTCATAGATCAGCTGCCTCTTGCACACCCCCTACCCGGGATATGCCCGCAACCAAGGTACATGCCCTTGACCGGAATCGAACCCAGGTCCCTTCAGTCCCTCTATCCATTGAGCTAAACCGGTTTCGGCCTTAACCTCATTTCATGGGGTGTTCATACATATATAATGGAAACACTGGTAATGCCTTGCAAATTGGTGGAATTCTGTTATTTTAAGAAACATTAAAGTAAGTCTATAATTGCTTAGTGTGTCTGAATTATATTTTAAAGGAAATAAGTTAGAATTAGCTGGACTGCATTATTCTATTGTTTAAAAAACTAAAATGTCCAAAACTATAGGCTTACCCCTCCCTTTCCCCCCAGGATTATAAAGAGTTACTTTGATTGGTGGAGAAATAAAGGGTGCTAAGAGTGAACAAAAATTATGTAGCAACAACTAGATATCCACGTGCCAAAGAATTAACTCAAAGTGGATCAGAGACCTAAAATAAGAGCTAAAACTATAAACTCTTAGAAGAAAAAAAGGGGTACAAAAATCATAACCATGGATTTGGCAATGTTTTCTTAGATACATGATACTCAAAGCACAAGCAATAAAGGAAGAAATAGATAAATTGAGTTGTATCAAAATTAAAAATGTGGTATAGCCATATAATAAAATATTATTTAACCATAAAAAGGAATGAAACACAGATATGGTCCTTGAAAACAATATGCTAAGTGGAAAACCAGACATAAAAGTTCACATATTGTTTGAAATCCACAATAAGCAAATACCACAGAAAAGCAAGTTAGTGGCTGCAGAGAAGCCAGAATAGGAGCTAACTGCTTAATTGGAATGGGGCAGTGAAAATGTCCTGGAACTACCGTGTTTCCCCGAAAATTAGACATCCTCCGAAAATTAGACATCCCCTAAAAATAAGACCTAGCACAACTTTGGGAGAAAAAATTAATATAAGACACTATCTTATTTTCGGGGAAACGGGGTAGATAGTGGTGATAGTTGCACACCACTGTGAATGAGCTAAATGCCAACATTTAAAGTGGTCAAATAGTGGTTTTATGTGTATTCTATCACAATTCTTAAAATATATGACATACTTTGCATAGTTAACTAGGCACATCATTCAATTCAACTTCCATTTGCTAGCTTTTAATTTTTCTGTTAATTTGTGATACAAAGTAAAAGCAATTCATAACTTTGAAAGCTCGCAGTATTTATAAATGAAATAAGTTTCAAATTTGTTTTTGGTTAAATGGTCCTGGCTATGGCAACAGTTTTTATATGTTTGTCCTCAGAAGCTTGCATTTTAGGATATTGTCTGAAATATATATCTCATGTTCTTACATGTTAACATCTAGGTTTGTGTATTCTCACTGAGGACAGAGTCTTGGCTCTGTGTTACTTTTATTCCCAAGCTCAACTAAACCATGTGTGTCTGTTAGAATGTACCTTTTGAGTACAGGAAAGGAAAGAGGGTGTTAGTCATGTGTAGGAAAGGGAGGAGAGAGGGTTAACCGTAAAACTTAGTTTTGGACATGTTTTTGGAATCTTTTGTGAAAGAATGTCTCTCATAACCTCATACTGCTTTCTTCATGTTTCCACAGGTAACACGGATTGTCTTATTATGGGTAAATAATCATTTTAATGATTTTGAAGGTGATCCTGCTATGACTCGATTTCTGGAGGAATTTGAAAAAAATCTGGAAGATACGGTAAGGCTCAAAAGAATTTATCTTTTTTTTTTTTTTTTTTTTTTTTTTTTTTTTTTTTAGAGTTTAGGGATTCTTCCCCCATTCTCCCCAGGAACAGCAATTCAGAACAGCTTTCATCTTGTGTGTCTTGAATGTCTGTTCTGAGAACTTCCATATTCATATTCTGTTCTATTCATCTCCCACTCCAACCCAGAAAAACATCATGCTTCCTCCTGACTCTTCTGTTTCTGCTATAAGACTAATGATAATATTTTCTCCTAGTCACCCAGGCTTATAAACTCCTGTGCATATGTGGTCTCCCTCTCTGCCTTGATTTCTCTTGGTCAAGATGTACAGAGTTGCTCAAGTGACCTGGGTCACTATACACATATTTCCCATGGTCTGTCTCAGCCACTTCTTCTTTCTTCTTTCTCCTTTCCTTTTTCTTCTTCTTCTGCCACTGATTTTTAGAGAGAGTAGAAGGAAGGGGACAGGGGAGAGAGAAGAGAGAGGAGAGAAAAAGAAACATGGATGTGAGAGAGACACACCGATTAGTTTCCTCTTGCATGCGCCCTTACCAGCAGCAGAGATCAAATCTGCAACCGACCCTTGACTGGGAATTGAACCTACAACCCTTCAGTGTGCAGACTCACACTTTACCCACTGAGCACACTGGCCAGGGCTCAGCCATTTCTTCTTCACTCCCCAATTTAGGCCCTCATTTTCTTATGCCTAATCTGTTATAAAAGCCTCCTAGAATTGTAGTTCTAGTCTCTCTTCTTTCTAATTCATTCTTGTGGTCAAAAGATTGTTTTTAAACCACAAATGAGATGACTATTACTCTGTCAATAAACCGAAGTGTTTCCTACCAAAATAATTCCTCACTTGTATATTCAGGTCTCTCATGTACATTTTAGCCTTTTTTTCTATGAACCCTTGATTATAGCCAACCAGGTTACTTTATCTTCTTTTCTAAAGTTCTCTCAAGCAGTAATTCTCTTCTTCAAGTCTTCCAGATGTGCTTCAGGGCCTGTCTTAGATATATCATTTCTACATTAGATTTTCTGAGTCATCCTTCTGCATGTGATTTCACTTGTTCTAAATATTTAACACCTAAAATAATCATCTCAAGGTGCTTGCAGTAGCTATTTATAAATATATTTTATTCTCCTAGCTAGATATAAAATTTTGGACTGGAACTGAGTTGTCTTTGCTTCAAGTAACTGCAATTTCAGGAAGTAAATAATAATATAGCTGAGGAATCATTGACTAAATTAACACCCAAAACCCATCACTTGCTATATGTGAACTTGGACAATTGCCTAAACTTTTGTGCCTCTGTTGTCTTATTTTATAGATAGCCATCCCTAGTATTTATAGATAATCGTCCCTAGTTTGGAATGTTATGAGGATTATAATGAGCTAATGAGTGTAACAATCTAAGAACAAAACGGGCACATAGCAAATGCTCAGGAATTATTGTTATTAGTCATAGAGTATAAGTAGATTGAGTTGCATAAAGAGTGGGAAATTGGCAGACTTTTGTCCCTTTTTCTACTCCTTGGTTCCTTTAGCCTTTTGGGCATCACGTCTGCTTGTATGCAGAATGGGAGTTTGAATGGAACTGGGAAACCTGACTAAGAGGTCATAGAGGCCTCCGTCATTTGGGTCTTCCAGTGCTGGCTTGAATATATATTCAAGGAGCTAACGGAAGACAGAACGGACCTTACGATCATGGGACTCCCCTCCAGGAATCAGCTAGTCATCAGTTATTTATGGAATTCTACTTTATACTTCAAAGTGTTATATAGAATCAGAACAGGTGTAAGACTTGGTCCTTACCCTGAAAAAACGTCAGCTTTTTGTTATGGACATGACATTTATACATATTACACTATTTGGGAGTAGTTGGATGTTAAACTGGTATTAGAACATAGAAGTTAGAATATTACTAAGTTTAAAGAATATCTAAAATAATATGGGAATAACATTCTTGGGAGAGGTGGAGACATGACTGTGTCTTTGAATATTAGTATTTGGAAAGGTGGTTCAAGTCCTGTAAGGTTTTAAATAAATGTTTTAAAATGATTTGGGTTGTATATAACAGCCAGGAGATAAGCAAGATAGTACAGTAAGTATTAGTCAAGATTTAGGAAATGAGGAGTAATCCCTCATTGTCATCCCCCTCGAAATGAAATATCACTTTGAAATCTTTTCTAACTTGTAATTATCTAGAAGTTTTCATATTAAGAGATTCTTAAGAGTGCTGTAGGGTGGAAGTTCTCTCTCCTTCACTTTTATTTATCCCAACTTACACTTTCTTTACTCTGCTTTAATTCTAATAATTTTAGGTGATTTTTTAAAAGCCTATTGGAGTAGTTACATAAATTTGTAAACATTTTTCCTTTTTCTACTTTCTAGAAAATGAATGGTCATCTGCGGTTACTGAATATTGCATGTGCTGCGAAGGCTAAGTGGAGACAAGTTGTGCTACAAAAGGCCTCCCGGGAGTCCCCTCTGCATTTCAGCCTTAATGGAGGAAGTGAGAAGGGATTTGGTATTTTTGTCGAAGGAGTAGAACCCAGTAGCAAAGCTGCTGATGCAGGACTGAAACGTGGTGATCAGGTAAGTCAGCAATTTTCAACCTTTTTCATCTGTGGCACACATAAACTAATTACTAATAGAATTTTGTGGCACATCAGAAAATTTTTATTTTTTGCCAATCTGACAGAAAAATAGGTATACTTTTTATTCATTCAGTTGTGTTAGCTCTTGTCATTTTTTTATTTGCTGATCTAAGGGAAAAGAGGTAATGCCCCTGACTAAATTGTGAAGTGTTCTGTGTTTTAAAAATTGCCGAGGTAAGTGATAACCAACCACTTAATGCCTTTTTGCCCTAGGATGTTGTGACTCGGTTGGTTGGGCATCTTCCTGTGCACCAAAAGGTTGCTGGTTTGATTCTCTGGCAGGAGGCAGCGATTAATGATTTGTTCTCACATCAATGTTTCTTTTTCTACCTCTCTAAAAATTAAAAAATAGATATATATATTTTTTTTTTACTTAAAACCTTTTTTTATAATCCTTACCCCAAAATATGTCTCTACTGATTTTAGAGAAGGAGAGAGAGAAACATCAATGTGAGAGGGAAACATTCGTTGGTTGACTGCCACATGCACCCTGCAAACCCACAACTAAGTATGTGCCCTGACTGAGAATTGAACTTGCCACCTTTTGGTGTACAGGACAATGGTCCAAGCAACTGAGTCACCCAGTCAGGGCTAAATTACAGTCTTCTTATAAAGTGATATGTCTGCTGCTACCTTTGTCACCTGTTATTTCTTCAAATAAACGTGATCAATTTAAGGAAGTATTGTTTGAGCTTTTTGAGATGTGGTATTTTAAAATGGCTTACGTTAAAATGTATTTGTCATCTATCTATAACTTTTAATGGGAAGTTTGATACAGTATGGCCAGAAACAGTATGGTTGTCTGGGAACTATCAGCACGACCTTTTTGAATGGTCCTGCCCATCCTCTAAGAGTTAGGAAGCTGTATATCTGGCAACTTCAGAGTATTTCAAAAGCACCTTTGGAAGGTTAGAAGGAGCAAGCACTTCCATTCATAACATTCTAAAATGTAAGTGGCTTGAGATGACCATAAATGATGGTTTCAGCTTACATCATGTTCATATGATAATAGACTACAATTCATAAGCAATGAGCCGGGTAAGAGACTAGTAGAAAGGAGATACTGGAAGAAAGTTAGTAGGGATTTATTCTCTCCTTATAGGCCTTAAGTAACTGTAGAGCAGCATATTTCCAAATCGGATTACTGACAACCTTATTACTAAAATATTCGATTCCTAGGCTCACATCAGTCCTATTAATCACATTCTCCAGATATAAAGTCTGTGAATCTGTATTTTTAAAAAAATATATTTTATTGATTTTGTACAGAGAGGAAGGGAGAGAGATAGAGAGTTAGAAACATCGATGAGAGAGAGTCATCAATCAGCTGCCTCTTGCACACCCCCTACTGGGGATATGCCTGCAACCAAGGTACATGCCCTTGACCGGAATCGAACCCGGGACCCTTCAGTCCCCAAGCTGATGCTCTATCCATTGAGCCAAACCAGTCCCGGCTGTGAATCTGTATTTTTAACATAGCTTTCCACCGCGTTTCCCCGAAAATAAAACATCCTGCAAAAATAAGACCTACTTACAGATTTCCTTCTGAGTGAAATATAAGGCATCCCCTGAAAATAAGGGCCCCCCCCCAGGCTAAACATGAGAGATTTGGTCCACTGATTCTGAAAGAAATGGAGTCACAAGAAATTCGCCAGGAAATTCAGGAATTGGATTGTTATGATGATGTTCCAGAAGATGATGACATGATTGTCATTGAATAAATGAGTAAATTCTTGATACTGTAGGATTCACAGTTTGTCTGGTTTGTGTTGACAACTACCGTACTACCGTACCATATACAGGTAGTAAATTTCCTTTATTTTCATTTAACAATAAATGTGTACTGTATTCTTCTTCATGGAAAAATAAGACATCCCCTGAAAATAAGACATAGCGCATCTTTGGGAGCAAAAATTAATATGAGACTGTCTTATTTTTGGGAAAACAGGGTAGATGATTCTCATATACAACAAAGAGTGTTTTCCCAAATCTAGCTAAATCACTTAGAAAGCTTGCTTTTTCCCATTTTAAAATTTTAGTTAGTTCATCCATTAATTAAGAATGTAGCTTTATATTACACTTAACTGAACCATACTATTTTTTTATGATTTTTAGGCATTCATATTAGAAAAATTGTTCTGTATCTCAGAACAGGAATTCTCAGCCAGGGGTGACTTTGCCCCAAGGACAAATTGGCAGTGTCTGGAGATATTTTTGTCATGACTTGGGATTACTACTGGCATCTGGTGGATAGAGGCCAGGATGCTGCTGTACTGACTATAACACCTCACAATAGAACAGCCTCCACAACAAAGAGTTATCCAACCCAGATGTAAAAAATGCAAACGGTTAAGAAACTCTGATATAAAGTTGTAATGATCCCCTTCTTTCGTTAAGGGGGCTTTTTAAAAAATAGAGATTTCTCAGCCTTACCTGGGATCGCAAATTAAGAATATCTAGTATTTAGGATACTGGAGTCAGTATATTTATTATTCCAGTAATTTATTGTGAATACATTTAAGAACCTTATTCTTAATAGAAAAAAAAAATACTGAAATCCAATTATTTCATTTCTGAGAGAGAAAAAATAATGCTTCTTCTTTTAATCCTCCCAAGTACATTGAAATTACCTGAGATTTTATATCTAACTAGAGGCCCAGTGCATGAAAATTCATGCACTTGGGAGTCCCTCAGCCTGGCTTAGCCCTCTCACAGCCTGGGAGACCTTAGGAGATGACACACTGCAGCTTAGGCCCGCTCCCCTGTGACCGCCTCTGCAGAAGGCGGGGCACTGGGACAGGGACGGCCCAGCGCAGCCTCCTCTCCCGTGACCTCTGCTGAGGGGGGTAGGGGGGGCACCGGGACCGCCATGGCTTTCATGGTGGCACAGGCTGCAGATTGTTCCGGAAGGTTGTTCCGCTGTCTGGTCTAATTAGCGTTTTAGCTCTTCAGTGGATAGAAAGTCGGCCTGTGGACTGAAGGGTCCCTGGTTTGATTCTTTTTTTAAGAATGCTTTTGACATATGCATTAAGTTTTATAATTTTATTACTTATAATTATTTAGACATTTACACCTACCTTACTAATCTCATTTATCACCTTCATTTCATCTGTGCTATATGTCCCCATTCATTGGATTCATCTCATTGTCTTCTAGTACTTTTCTTAAGAAGGGCAAATGGGTACTATAGTTTTGTGTGTCATTGCGTGTCTGATAATGCTTTTATTCGGAGGAGTATAAAATTCTTTGGTCACAGTTATTTTTCCCTCATGGATAAGTATTATATCATTTTAGTGCTTGTTGCTCAAGAGAAGACAAAACCAACTTTTATATTTATTTTTTAGGTAGCTTTGGTCCCTACCTCCACCCCTTTAGTAATACTTATAGCTTCTTGTTTTCTGTCCTTGGAATTCAGAATTTTCATGAGATATGTTTTTAAAATCTTTTTAAAATTTTTTTTTTATTTTTATATATACTAGAAGATCCAGTTCAATATATAGAGTAGATATTTTCAACTCTGGGAATTTTACCTCTGTTATTTTTTAAATTTATTTTCCTACTACTTAGTTTCTCACTCTATTTTGTATCCTTTGGGAATCTTTCTGTCAGTTCCTGAGATCTGTCCTCTGTGCTTTCTTTTTTGTTCAATATGTTTATTTCTTTATCCTTTTCCTTTGGAATTAGTGTTCTTGCACACTAATTGTGTGATTCTGAGGCCCAGCAAGTTTGAGAAGCCCTTCTGTTTGAAGTATCAGCAGTGTCACATGGAAGAACCAAATTATAGTTTGTGCTGCTTACTTTTGGACTGCCTGGTTCAACGGTGACAGGAAATGTTACTAGATGTATTCAGAGTACTATTTTTATCTCTTTTAAATGCAATAAATTTCATTTAGAATGTTTCATAAAATTTGTATGTATACACAGGCAATACTTTTTATGGACTGATGGCATGATTAAAAATTTTTCTTCATAAAAACCAGCCTATGTTATTTTTTTAAATTTCTCTAATATGGTTCCAGAGAAATCATATTATAGCAGAGATTTAGGGAAATACAACAATATTAAGAAAAATATTAGTAATCCCACTTCTCAGAGATAACCATTGTTCACTTACAGGCATATTTTATTTGTTTCATTTAATTTATTTTTTTTACCATTAAACTTAAGGTTTCAGAGGTAACTGATACTGTTTCTGTCTTAATTTATATTTTTCAAATACTTTTCTGAAGATAATGGAAGTAAATGGACAAAACTTTGAGAATATTACATTTGTGAAGGCCCTTGAAATTTTGAGGAATAATACTCATCTTGCACTTACTGTAAAGACCAACATTTTTGGTAAGTTTTGTTTTAAAACTGTCTGAGATTTTTTTGTAATAGAAAAAGAATCATTATAATGTGAAGGAGAATAGTAAAATGGAAACATGTTTATAGCTATTTGAACATTTTTAGGATCTTTGGTGTTGGGATTGTAGTATTTTATTTATATTTTTAGACAGACTGAAAGGGAGGGAGAGGGGAGAAAATCAGAGAGAGAGACATCTATTGGTTGCCTCCCACACATGCCCCAACTGGAGCAGAGAGCAAATCGCAACTCAAGTACATGCCTTTGACTGTAATCGAACCCGCAACCCTTCTATGCAGGGGTAGAAGCTGTAACCACTGAGTGCACCAGCTAGGGCTAGAAAGTTTATTTTAAAATGTGTACAGCCCTGACTGATTTGGCTCAGTGGATAGAGCATCAGCCTGCGGACTGAAGGGTCCCAAGTTCAATTCTGGTCAGGAGCATGTACGTTGGTTGTGGACACATCCCCAATGGGGAGTATGCAGGAGGCAGCTGATCGATGTTTCTCTCTCATCAATGTTTCTAACTCCATCACTCTCCTTTCCTTTCTATAAAAAAATCAACAAAATATATTTAAAAATAAAATAAAACATGTGTACAAATATATTTAGTCAGTCATTTATAAAATGTCTACTGAGAATCAATTATGTACTTTATAGTAAGATACTGAGTAAGACTTAGAATGACCCAATGAAACTAAAAGTCAGAATTAGGTTTCACCCTCCACCTAATGTGCAAATCATTCTACTTCTAGTGTTTTAGCTAGGTTTTTTAAATAATAATACGAATGCCAGATTAGATGTTTCATGGAAATAACTTGAGTAAACCATTGAATTAAGCAGTAAATTATAAATTTATAATATCATCATATTCTACTTTTATGTAAAAATGTTGATTATTATGCCTGAAGTGTGTTTTGATCCTGTTTGTATTTGATTGAACCAAAGACTAAGCCTGTACTTTTTTCTATTTGTTCTTTTTTTAGACATTTAGAATGACTTTGTAATTTGGTTTTATTAAATGCCATTGAGTTTTCCCTGAAATTCTGAGAGGGGAAGCAGTAAAACAATTGGAAATTATCAAAGAAAATTTGAATCTTTACAAAGTAGAGTGGAAAAAGTTTCTCCTAGGTCCTTTTGGTTGCGGTTTGAGAAATAAGAGTTGAATTTAAAAGCTATGGGTATGGAAAAGGAAGTGTGTCTGTTTTTTTCTTCTTTGGCTCCTCTTTGTACTGCACTTAGTCATAATGAAAAATGAAACATGTTGTTTTTCCTCATTTCACTTGAGTTCCTTTTACTGAATTACCTCATGTGAAGTCATGTTAAGTAACTATCTATTTGCAATTCCTAATATTATATTCATTAAGCAACAAATAAGTAAGCCTTGACAGATTTTGGATTTCCTAGAGTTTGGAACTAGTACCTAGAAACATAAACTTTTGGTTTAAACCAAAAGGATTCTGATTTTTAAAAATAGGAAAGCAGAGCTTGCTCTATTACCAAGACCAAATTATTTAGTCTCTTCAAGCTTCAGTTTCTCCGATTCTGTATTTTATAGGGTTCTTATACTTTTAACTTTTTGTACCTAGCACATAATAATTAGTAACTGATATCAAATATTATGTATAAAGATAAAATATATATATAACATACTGGTTAACAACATGGACATTGGGAGATGTAAAATAGAAAGGCTGCAATACTACTAATAGAAATGTCCTGTGGAAAAAAAGTGACACTGCTTTTAGACTTCTCTCTGTTCCAGTTTTTATGCCAGTACTCACAGCCATCCAAACTCCTCCTTCCTCTAGTAGACTCCCTTTGTCTGATTCACATATTATGTTTAGACTCAGCAAATGTCCCCAGAGAAGAAAACAGCTGGTATTCTCAGCTGACATTCTTCCTGCTCTGGAATTTTAGTTCATATGTTCCTCTTGGCTTTCAAAACTTTGTAACATCTTTTAAAATCCCACCACTCAGATAATTTATTAGTATTTAAATTTTTTTCAGTTTATTTTTATTGATTTCAGAGAAGAAGGGAGAGGGAGAAAGAGATAGAAACATCAGTGATGAGAGGGAATCGATCGGCTACTTCCTACACTCCCCATATTGGGTGTTGAACCCGAAACCCGGGCATGTGCCCTGACCAGGAGTCGAACCACAGCCTCCTGGTTCATAATTGTATGCTCAACCACCATGCCATGCTGGCTGGGAAGCATTTTAACTTTTTAATAAAAGTAATACACGGATATGTTTTGAAAATTAAAACACTAAAGAAAGATGCATCATGGAACTATATTGTGAACAGTATTCTTTATCTTTCTACATCAGTTCATACAGATTTACTCTTGTATAATTGTTATGGCATAGAATTCCATTGCATTATCATCGCAATCTATTGAGTTGATGTCAACTCAAATATATGTTTTAGGTTATTACCAGTTTTTGCTATTTACAATTATGTAATAAAAATTCTTTGTACCTATAAGTTTCTCAAAGTGGAATCCGTTTCCAAAAGTTTACCCCAGTCTGCATATTACACTTCATTCATCAGTGTATAAGCATGCTGTGGCAGTGGGCATAATCAACTTTAGTTATTGTTGTATTCTTTAATAATGAGAGTGTTTGAGCACTTTTTTTATGTGTGTTATAAAGTCTTTTTTAAATTTTTATTGATTTTTAGAGAGAGAGAGGAAAGGGGAAGAGAGAGAAACAATGTGAAAACAACACATTACCAGCTGCCTCATGTTCCCTGACCTGTAATTGAACTAGCAAAAAAAAAAAAAAAAGACACACACATGCACTCGCATGCACACACACACACACACACACACACGCTGCCCAACCAATCGAACCACATCGGCCAAAGCTGTAAAAAGTATTTTATTTGTCAATTTTTATGCTGAGTTACTCATCTTTTGATATGTTTGAATATCCTATCATTTTAAGGATTGTAAATATTTCCCCCAAATTAGAAATTACTTTGTACACTGTTGAGTCACCTTATATACACACTACAGCCATGAATATCCGATGCACACTCAGAGATTTACTGTTGCTCTTAACATTTTCTTTACCACAGAGACTTTGAACTAGAGGTTTCCTCTACTAGAATTATTCCTTCTTCCCCTCCCATTGCCTAATTAAAAATCTACTCACTTTATTGACCTCTTCGTACACAGTGACTTAAGGAAATTTTTCCCTTTTTTGCTATCTCTATTAGTTCCTCTCGTTATGTTCTCTCTGTCCCTTATGTCCTCTCTGTATTGTAGACTGTGTTCCCCAATAGGAGGGCTCTGCAGACATCTAGTATAGTGCCTGACATATATTTATAGGTCGGCAAATATTTTTGAATGGATGAATATCTTCATTTTAGCTCAAAAAAAGCATTTTTACCTTTACCACGTTGTTTAAAATAAAGTGAATATAAAAATAGAAACTGGAAGGCCGTTATTGTATCTTAATAAAGCAGAGAGAGTATATTTGAAAGGTGACTTCTAAAGATTTCCATTGTTTTGAAGGCAAAAATGTGCTTTTCATAAGCTTACAATATACTTTGGTAATGTGAAATCATTCTGGTTGAAACTTTCAAAATGGTCCAGTGTTACAACTAAAAACCAAATTATTTATGGTGGTAAGGTGTTAGTACTTAATTAAGGCTTTGTTCATTTGAATCTTACTTATTAGTCCTTGATGTAGTGAAAAACTGATTTATCCCCCGAAATAACTGAGAAGTATCACAGTTCTCTGTGGTTGGGGTTTCAGTGGGCATATTTATACAGTTTACAGCTTGTCTTCTATGGAGGTACAGAGTAACTGTTAACCTTCAGTTCCACATCTCGGGGGCTGAAGACCTGAATATTTAAAAATATGCAATCACCATCTTTCATTCAGACACCCCCTACCCCCAAAGGCACCACATGTTTTTAGGAAAGTTTACTTCTACTTTAGCATTTATCTTTTTAGTGTGTGCTTTTTTTCTTCTAGCAGTTGATCTGTCTTATTTAAGAACACACATTTTAAACGACCACCACCACCAAAAAAACTTTTTCATGATATTACTTAATGAAAAAAAAGGTGATAGATTTTTCTAAAATAGCTTCTAGATATATAGCCTCTTATAGATATTTCTTTCTTTTGCCTGATCCCAGGGAGATTAAGCTCCTCTCACAAGTTGAAAAGTGAATCTTGGCAAAGAGATTGCTAGACAGGCAAGTCCCCCAATGCACTTGTATTCTCCTAAGGATGAGGTAACACACCAGACTTAGGGTCCATTGAAAGTTATCTAAGGACACTTGATTGGCTTTTCACTTCATACCACTGTAGTGAATGTTTTTTAGTTGCTTTATTTTACTGAGTGACATTAAGTCTGTGAGTGTAACATTGAGGAAGTTGTCATATGTTACCAAGTGTAGCATCATTATTTCTGGTAAAAGCAGGTCAAGCAAAGTTCTTCCCATTTTTTTAATGGCTAACTTTTGCAAAACTGAGCCCAATGTAGTACTTATATCTCATCTCATCTCATCATTACTAGTACAGTGTTTCCCTGAAAATAAGACATCCTCCGAAAATAAGACCTAGCGCATGGAAAGATAAGACATCCCTGAAAATAAGACCTAGCACAACTTTGGGAGAAAAAATTAATATAAGACACTGTCTTATTTTCGGGGAAACAGGGTAGCATAAGTAATAGAATCTAAATATCTATGATAATAAAAGGGTAATATGCTAATTAGACCGGACATCTTTCGAATGTCCTTCCTGAAGAAGTCGGGGCCAGCAGGAAGCCAGCCCTTGGTCCCGGGTGTCTTCGGGCGGCTGGAGGGAAGCCAGCCCGGGTTCTGGGTGCCTGCGGGTGGCCGGAGGGAAGCCAGCCCTGGTCCCAGGTGCCTGCAGGCAGCTGGAGGGAAGCCAGCCCTGGTCCCGGGTGCCTGCAGGCAGCTGGAGGGAAGCCAGCCCGGGTTCTGGGTGCCTGCGGGCGGCCGGAGGGAAGCCAGCCCGGATCACGGTGCCATAGCGAAGCCAGTGCCTGCAGCCCATGTCCCAGGTGCTGGAGGGAAGCTGCTGCTGGCAGCCAGGGGAAGGCAGGCCTGCCTACTCTTGCATGAGTTTTCGTGCATCGGGCCTCTTGTCTGCTTTAATAAAATCTGAGTTGATGAGCAATTATATAGCTTATTTTCTAAATAGGAACCCCTGAACTTCTTAAACATGTTGGCTGGCTGTCTACCTCCTTTCCATTTTCCTCACTTTTTATTTTTAATCACTCTTAGACAATATTAGCAGTATAGTCAGGAACAAAAACTGCAACGAGAAGTGGATATAACTGATAAGGGAAGGACATAAATTTCATGAATAAATAAGGCTGTGATAGGTCAAGTGATTTAAAAAAGTGTTTATCCTCAAAATTTGCTGTTGACATAAAAGCTTTCTAACCTGAAGAAATGACAAGTTTATTTATTTATTCCCACAGTGTTCAAAGAGTTACTTAGTAGGACTGAACAAGAGAAATCTGGTGTTCCTCACATTCCCAAAATTGCTGAAAAAAAAAGCAATCGCCATTCAATCCAGGATGTACCAGGAGACATTGAGCAGGCACCACAGGAGAAAGGAAATAAGAAACTAAAAGCAAATACTGTTTCAGGTGGAAGAAACAAAATCAGGAAAATTTTGGATAAAACACGATTTAGTATCTTGCCTCCCAAACTATTTAGGTATGTAATGCCATTCTCAGTCATGTGGGCATTTTCTTGTTGACTATAAATTTTTAGTTGGGGGAAGTGAAATTTGGGTCAGTTTTTTTTTCTTTTTCTTTTTATAAACTAATACATCATAAAATCTATAAGTGATCCAAGTAAAAAAGAATAAATTCTGAATATCTCCCCATCTTTTCATTGAAGTTACCAGTTTTAGATTATATAGTCTTCTATCAGCCTTCTTTTGAATTTTAGAAACAACTGCCATTTTATAAAATATTTTGGGGGGAAGGGGTATATTTTTGGTATAGTTTCAGTCCTTTTACCTACAAATTTGGACACCTTAAATCTTGGAACACATTCACTAACTGTAGTTTTTGTTTTTTAAATTAACTTTCTCTTATTGCACTATTTATTCCCTCTTTAATTCTAAAGTTGACCTTATTAATCAAATCTGTTTCTATTTCCAAAATGAGTGAAAGTTCAAGATTTTCTATGTAAATTAAAGTCTATAAAATACTGATGAAATCAGTCCACTGAAGTGTCATGACTGGAAATGAGTCTGGCATATATTATGTCATGTATATTCTACATTATCTATTTCTTTAAGCAATCAAAAAAGTTCTAATCAAATACAGTACTTAAGCAGAGTAGGCCGGCACAGTCAGGGGGAAAAAGAAAGAATATTCAAACAAAACATGCTCCAAGAAAATACTTATTTGGCTTCTGGATCCTGGCAATATGACAAATGATAATTATCAAGCTGAAAAGAGGTAGTTCCTACCTCTAAGGGATTCATACCAGAAACCCTTTCACACATTTATTATACATTAGGCACAATGTCCAGAGATAGAAATATGGAATGGTCAGTAGAACAAGTTTCTTGTCCTTGAAGAGTTGGTTATCTGAAAGGGAAAGCAGGCCAGTGGTGCATTAGAGGATGACAAGTGCTTTGATAATGTACAAAAGCCGGAACAAGCCCGGTAGGTTTGAATAGATTGTGTGTGTGTGTGTGTGTGTGTGTGTGTGTGTGTGTGTGTGTGTGCGCGCGCGCGCGCGCGCGCGCGCGCGCGCGCGCACCTAAAGGTGAAGCAGAAGAGATCAGTAAGTGCTAGATTATGAAGGATTTTTAATATTATGCCTCAGATAAGGACTTTATTATGTCATACTAGGGAGCCAGAGAAGACTTAAGATGTTACAAGATTTGTGCTTTTAGGAACTTGTCTGTTAGAGTATTTGTAGCGTGGGGTTGGAGGTGCAGCAAAATTAGTAATAGCGAGGAGACTAATTAGGAGGCAACTTCGAAATAGGTAAATGTCAACTCTCATCTTTTACGTCAAGATCTCAAAAGATTTCCTGATTGGGAAATGTTCTTGAAATGTTATTTCTAGTCTGGGAAACAAATTTGCCCTTCATTAAATTTGAGGCTCACGGAGGATTGAAACATCCTGAGCTCTGTTCTTGAGGTCACTCATGTCTAGAACGTTTATTACTCATTCCTTTCAGAATACTGCTCTCCTTGAGGTGAATGTTCTATAAAAGTCATAACTTTAAAATAGCAAAGTTCTTATAATATGAGCATACTGTAGCAGCACAGCCAATACTGTAAGAAAAGTCTTGTTCTAACTAACAAGCCTTGAGTAAGAAGAATGAATGAGGGCCGGCTCACCCTGAAGAGATTGGGACAATTTGGCATGAGCAGAAGTCACTGGATGAGGCTCTGCGGGAAAGGAAAAGGGATGGAGGACTAGAGGCAGAAAAGAGTGTACAAGGAGAGTTCCTCAGGAGGTAGTGCCCTGAGTTCCTTTTCCAGAAACCCTGGTGGGTTGGGTCTGGAAAACGTATCTTCCTTAAGTGGTTCCCATTTTCAACAGTGGCACAGTTGTGACGTGTCATCAAAAACTAGAGTACACTGATTGTAACTGACTTTAGCTTGTTAACTTCACATTCCAACCAGCTATATTCCAGTGTGAGATAGCTAAATCAACATCTCCACTGTGTCTTCTTCAGGAGTATGAATTGGTTACTCCTCTTGGATTCCTTGCCAGACAGTTGGACCTGTCCAGAAATGTCTGAGCTTAGAAAAAGTCCCTGAGTTCAAATAGCCTACAAGAGTTATTTTTACTTTTGGTTTACAGGATAAGTATATAAGAAATGCTATTGTGTTTTATTGGTCTAACTGTGTTGTGACTGTATTTCCAACAGTAATCTTTCCTTCTTCATTAGCCTAAGTGGGTTGGGATTCAGATTGGGATTTAAATACTTAGAATCATTTCATATGGACCAAATATTTTAAAGGACGTTTCGAAGGACCAGATTTCAAGACCTTTTCAACCTAATGTCTCTATGGATGTTTTGGACAGGACCAAATGTGTGCCAATCTTTTACTTCTATCTTTGGTTACAGTAGAGACATGGAAATGTCCAAGGAGCAATTAATTAAATATTTTCAAGCATTATTTATTTATATTGGTACAAAAAAAAAAAAAAGATTTAGTAGAAGTTTTACTTAAACTCAGAGGGATTTTTTTTTTTTTTCATTAACAAATATTTATTGAGTCTCTTGCTTTGTGCCAGTAGGAGACCTCTGGCTGTGAATACGAATATGAATAAAATGCTGCTCTTCAAGAGTTCATTTTAAACTAGCTGTCTCTTCTAAACATGATTTGGTTAAGTAAAATGCTATTTCAGCCATATAAATACCAAGAAATAGATTATTTTAATAGAAATTATAAAGGTTTTCTATTGGAATCCATTTTGCAGAGAGAACTGTTTTGTTATTTTACTTTCCAGAGTAGCCGTTTTTCATTTTTGAGAATGTATGTCATATTTCTTGATACTTAATCAATTAAAATAAATTTAGACAATCCTTTTTTAAAAATATATATATTTTATTGATTTTTGTACAGAGAGGAAGGGAGAGAGATACAGAGTTAGAAACATCTATGAGAGAGAGTCATCGATCAGCTGCGTCTTGCACACCCCCTACTGGGGATATGCCTGCAACCAAGGTACATGCCCTTGACCGGAATCGAACCCGGGACCCTTCAGTCCCCAAGCCGACACTCTAACCATTGAGCCAAACCGGTTTCGGCTAGACAACCCTTTTTGTTATACAAGCAAAAGAATCACTAGATAGAAAACTTCTATAGAAAAATAGAGTACATGAAACATGTTCTGCATCAATAATAATCAAGGACATAAAATTTAAACAGGAAACTGTTTAATTAAAGATTGAAAAAAATAGTTAAGGACAGAATTTGTAACATCCTATATAATAAAGAGGTAATATGGCAATTGACCCTCACGCCATCACAAGATGGTGGCACACATAGTGGAGGCTGGGTTCCCATAACACAATATGGCTGTGTCCACAGTGGAGGCAGGATTCCTGTAACGAGCAGTCAGCAGGGACCTGCTGGATGGATGACCTTAAAGCACGCCGTTCCACCCGGTGGGGCTTGACAGGGGACCTGAGGCTGCCCCTTGCCCCTGTCCAGCAGGGCTCGACAGGGTTGGGGCCAGCCGGGACTGGATCTTGCCCAATTGGGGTGTGTCCAGCCAGGTCTGGGTCTCACATGATTTCAAGGTGCATGCAGGTGGATGGGGACTTGACTCTGGGTTCCATGGTGTGCCCCAAACTCTGACAAGAGAAAGATTTTCATATATATTTTATTAAGTTTCTTTCATCTCTGACACTTTTATTATAGAGAAAGGGCAAATAGTAATAATAAAATATTTTCTCTAATTAATTATCTTTTAATTGCACAAATTTCATACACCAGACCACTAGTACTATATAATAAAAGCCTAATATGCAAATGGACTGAACAGTCAAATGACTGGTTTCTATGACACACACTGACCACCATGGGCAGACGCTTAACACAGGGCTGCCCGCAGGCCCCAAGCCAGCCAAGGTGGGTACTAGTGGGGACCCTCCGATTATCCTGTCGGTCACCCCACAAAGGGAGGCAACCAGCAACGGGGGTCAGGCCTGCCAAGACAGGTGCCAGTGTGGCCTCCCAATGGCCCTACCGGTCCCCTCACTGATCACTGGCCAGGCCTAGGGACCCTACCCACTCACTAATTTTATGCACCATGCCTCCAGCAGAGAAGATAATAAGCTTATCTTCTCTGGAAATATAAAATGATGCAACCTTTCTATAAAGCATTTGGTTTTTTTACAAAGAGGAAGGGAGAGGGATGGAGAGCTAGAAACATCGATGAGAGAGAAACATCAACCAGCCGCCTCTTACACATCCCCCATCGGGGATGTGCCCACAACCAATGTACATGCCCTGGACCGGAATCGAACCTGGGACCTTTCAGTCCGCAGACCGACGCTCTACCACTGAGCCAAACCGGTTTCGGTTCTATAAAGCATTTGTTCAGGTTTTTTATGAAGAACTTTAAGAAGGTTCATACCTTTGATTCAATAATTCAATTTTTAGTAATTAGATTTAGGTTAATTTATGGATGTCTCAGTAATATCATCTACTAGAGGTCTGTTGCATAAAGAGATTTGTGCAATAGGCCTTTCTCCCCCCAGCTGCCAGCACCGTTTTCCTCTGGCACCCAGGACTCAAGCCTTCTCTCTGGCCAGCGCCCTCAGTCTTCACTTTGGGCAGAGCGCTGCTCCTGTAGCTCCCTCCGACCTGGCCCTCCCCCTCATAGTAGGTGTCCCACTCTGCCCGACCACTCTGTGCCTACATGTGTGCTTCCCACAGGCCCAGAGCAGCTGGGGGGGCAGGGCTGCCGTTATCTTTGTTGATCTTTGTTGTGTTAATTTGCATACTCCTAATTAGCTGGTAGGCGTAGCGAAGTGATGGTTATTTTGCATGTTTCTTTTTTATTAGTGTAGATAGTAAAGCAATCTACCTAATAAAAGAGTAATATACTAGCCAGGACCGGTTTGGCTCAGTGGATAGAGCGTCAGCCTGCGGATTGAAAGGTCCCGGGTTTGATTCCGGTCAAGGGCATGTACCTTGGTTGCAGGCACATCCCCAGTAGGGGGTGTGCAAGAGGCAGCTGATCGATGATTCTCTCTCATCAACGTTTCTAGCTCTCTATCTCTCTTCCTTCCTCTCTGTAAAATATCAATAAAATATATTTTTTTTTAAAAAAAAGAAAGAAAGAAAGAAAGAAAGGCCTGAGCAAAGACAGTAACGGCAGCCAGGGAAGGAAGACCCATTCTTGCACGAATCTTCATGCATCGGGCCTCTAGTTGGTTAAATAATTGGGATACATACACTGAGTGGCCAGATTATTATGATCTCTGAACGCATAATAATCTGACCATTCAGTGTATATTCTATGTAATAAAAGGCTAGTTTGCAAATTGTCCTCTCGACCAGGAGTTTGACCAGCAGGCAGGCCGGCCAGCCACCTATGTCTTCTCCCCTTGGCCAGGCTGGCCAGACCCTACCCATGCACAAATTCATCTACTGGGCCTCTAATATATATACACTGAGTGGCCAGATTATTATGCGTTCAGAGATCATAATAATCTGGCCATTCACCCTATACTGCAAAACTGACTAGAATACATGTTATGGTTTTTACTAAGGTGTGGTTTTTATTAGTAATTTTTTCTTGCTTGCTAGTTTTCTGTATTTTTTAAGTTTTCTGCTTGGAATATTTTTTAATGAAAAAAAATTAATGACTTTAGTTCCCCCCAATTTCTGAACACCTATGTTCCATGACTCTGGAAGGGGCACTTGGTCTCTACCTTTTGCATCACATTTCTCTAAGAGTAGAGGATAAGTTTTCATAGAGATACTCTGAGAAAGAATGTCTACATCTGTGAGATGAGCAAAAGAAAGTGAATGCAAGGAACAAATAAGGACAGATAATTCTCAAAATCCCTAGCCATGGCATAATTTTAAAATGTAAGAATGCTCCTGAAAATTAGAAGTTAAAAAAAAGATATTGATTTTGAATAACATTTGTAAATTAAGGCATAGCAATGTGGTTTTTATTGACCTGAGATTATTTCACAATTCAGGAACTCTGATCGCCTATGTTTTTAATCACTCAGCTTTTGTTTTCTTTAATCACAGATTGTCTAAGTAACATCTTTATATTATTCATTGTAACAGTCCAAGAAACAGACTGCCTTATTTTCTTATTAGAAATAATTGTTCCTCCTCATTTCTTGTCAGCATGGTTTTTTTCTTTTAATATTGGGATTATTTTTATTTCCATATTGATATTTACACTGCCTTTTTAGTTTCATAATATAAAACTAAAACATACTTTAAATAAATTTAGTGTCAGGGAATTATTAAGGAATTTTTCAAAACTGTCTTGTTTCTGTTACTGCATCACCTCAGGAGACTGTTTTGGTAAGAAATGGCATAATTACTTGCAAATAGGCTTTATTCAGCTTCCAAACAAGCATGGATACTTGGCCAATTAGATATTACTTAATTCATGTCATAGCATGAGTTGTACCTAACATGACTATAGTTTTCATTTATACATGCTCACACCTTAATTAACATTGATTTGTAACCAGCTTTAAATTATAGCTACAGTGTTAAATCTATTGCTTATTTAAAAAAAACAAAAAACAAAAAACAGAAGTAATATTAAATAAGATCAGTAAGAGAGTTAAGAACTTGGAATATTTTGTACATTTCTCTTAGTCTCTAAATTTCAACTTATTGCAGCTAATACAACCTATTTTAGTAGGAAATTGTAACATTTTAACATTGTTAAAGTTGTTTTTAACAACTTTTAAGAGATTAGTAGGACTGACTAATCTCTTTTAGCAGTTTGCTTCCTTGGATTCAGTTATCTGACCCTCTGTGTCCAAAAATTGGCAGGTTTGTTTACAAAAATTTATAAAAGACCATAATATTTTTTAAAAGTCTCTTATTTACTATATAATTTAAATTGTTGCCAAATTACTTATTAAGCTGTAGATACTATATCTGTGAAAGGCCCCTGCCTCCTTTTTTTCTCTTAAAACATTTAGTTCTGATCTTCAGGAAAATACACCTAATTATAAGCAGCCAGTTTAGCACAAGCTCAAATTACTTATTAAATAAGATATTTCCTTTGCTTTTTCTGTTAAATTAGACTGCCTTCTCTACTCAGGGAAACATTTTCTATTTTTTAGTGCCTTTACCTGTCATACCCACCCCGACCCTTACTATATTTCAGTGTGAATTGCTTAAAATCCTTTCTTATTTCTACTGTTCGATTTTAATTTTGGTAAAAATACTTCACCATCTTCTTAAAAATAGGAATCCTATTTTTCTCTATGTCATATGTTCACCTACGTTGCCTAATTTAATCCTTAAACTAATCCTGGGAGATAGTACTATTTACATTTCTAGATGAAGAAATCAAAGACTAGAAACAGAAAAGTCCCTGAGGTCACACAACTAATAACCCAGGTCTGTCTGACTTAGCTTGCTATTGAAATGCTTACCTTGGCTGTCTTCTATGTCGTGATGCTTTCTCTGACTGCTCTCTTGTCCTGGCTCTTTCTTCTTTGTCTGGCTATTAACACTCCTTTAGTTGTTTATTTAATAAACCTCTACATTTCATCTTGCATAGTTTCCTAATCTGCCTAAATCCATTTTTTTACTCCTAATATATTCTAGCTGAATCCCATATTACTCATTTTTCATTAATCCATTCCTTGCTAATAGGTAAGTATTCTGTGATACCTCAGTTTGTATGTGTAGCAAGGTCTAGGTAGAATGCTACATTTAATAAAATTTAGATGAAAATTAATATTAACCTAAAGCATTGATTTTAACATAAGCATAACCCTTAGAAATAAGTGGTATATTGATTATTGATCCAGATGGAAACTTTTTATGGTTATTCATTATTTGAATAGGTCTGTTTTACTAGCTAGCGCTGCTGTAGGGCCTAAGACCATCAGAAAACACAGGTATTTACATTAAGATTCATTAACAGTAGCAAGATTATAGTTATGAAGTAGCAACGAAAATAATTTTATGGTTGGGGTCACCACAACATGAGGAACTATTAACGGGTCACAGCATTAGAAAGGTTTGAGAACCACTGCTCTATGGAGTGGTAAAACTCTTAGATGTATAAGTTAACTTTTATTTGAGTGTCATTGTTAAAAAGCATTTTATTGCCATTTTCATTATTACAGTTTCCCTTTTTTAAAAAAAAAAAATCTAATTGTTAAATTCACCACTTTGAGTTGATTCTATATGCCTTAGTGCACGGAGAACAGTAATGTTTATTATTAGAACCTCAAATACTGTAAAGTGATTGTGACATTCTTTTGAAGTGACGGAGGCTTGAGCCAATCACAAGACGACAGCATTGTGGGAACGAGACACTGTAGACACAGTCTGGCTATAATGCCTATCCCTGGAACACTGTCATCCAGCAGCCCGGATCTCCTGCAGCCTACTACCAGCATGTTGGATTTTTCCAATCCTTCAGGTGATTTCTTTGTGTGTGATTTTTTTATAGCGATATTGTACCAAGTGGACAAATAGATGGTTAGGCCTTGTGCAACAAATGCTAGGTTTACTTGCAGATTTCTTTTCCTACCTCTAGATTAAGACTTAAGAAAGCTAAAGAGAAGATTTTGTCTTTATGTCTAAGCTGAAGTGATACTTCCTTCAATGTGGGTATCTTTTGATAACCCCAATCCAAACAGGGGAGTGAGAACAGAGATACTTCTGAGCCAAAAACAAGCATGTTATCCAGGGTGTGGATATGGTCACTTTAATCTAAGTGGCCTGACTTAGATTATATCATTCTCTCTGATATATAGAAAAGGGTTCATAATGTTCTACAAACACTGATTTTCCCCCATCATCTGAAGCTAAGTTTTTGTCATGTATTGTAAAAGTACTATAGCACCTTTTTTTATTGGTGCTCAAACTTTCAGTGTCTGGCATCAAGTTAATGGTTCTGCGTTTGTTGATACACAAAGGCAGAAATTGTCATTTAACTATATAATTTAAGATTTCATTATGAGGAAGAAACACTTCGGCTTTGAAAAATTATTCATCACTTGCAATGATTTGAATGGCTTTCAATAAAAGACGCATACAGGTAAGAACTGAAATACATAACTGGGTCCAAGAAGAGGAGGGAAAAAAGATCGGCATTGGCCGGGACCGGTCTGGCTCAATGGATAGAGCGTCGGCTTGAGGACTGAAGAGTCCCGGGTTTGATTCCGGTCAAGGGCATGTGCCTTGGTAGCAGGCATGTCCCCAGTGGGGGGTGTGCAAGAGGCAGCTGATCGATGACTCTCTCTCATCGATGTTTCTAACTCTCTATCTTTCTCCCTTCCTCTCTGTATAAAATCAATAAAAATATATTTAAAAAAAAAAAAAAAAAGATCGGCATTGTGTGCTTCAGCTTCAGTACTGAAATTCCTAGCAGCTAGTGTACAGTGGGCACTCAACTCACATAAGTCTCAGTATTAGAAAGGAGGAAATACAAGAGTAATAGAAAAGCTTATACTTTATAGTAACTTAAAAACTGTAGACATAACATAAAAATTAGTGAAAGTCATTCTACACACTGTTTCTTTTTATTTTACTTGCCTCTAATCTGTCTTTGGCACATCCTGCTCTCTACGTGACTACCACTGTGTTTTCTCTAGAACAAAGATTTTATAATTACCTTTATAGTTACCTTATATATTTCTAGTGACTTCTGTATTAAGATTCAGTCATGAGATAGAAACCACTTCAGATATTTGATCAAAGTTAATTATAAGGAGTTGTTACCATGGTATAAAGTAAACTATTTATCTGAAAAGGTAACTAAGCAAGCCTATCAGGGTCCAGTTTTCACAGCATGTCATAAACCCTTTTCTTAGCTTCCTGTGCCTCCATTCTGTCCACTGACACCGCATCCATCTTTCCTGAGTACGACATATACCTTCAGAACTCTCTTTGCTCCTGCTGTTCACAATGTGTGGTGGTCTCTCCCTGCATATCCTGCAAACTTTTTCTTCTTCCTCAATACTCATCAGGGAAACCCAGGTCCCTTTGCAATAGTTAGTCCCTCCTTTTCAGAAATCTCCAGAAACAAAAATTTTTGTTGACTCTCAATTGCTTATCATAAGAATTTATTTCCATATCTGTGTGAGTGTTCCAGAGTAGTACTTCTTATTCTGCATTCACAAGTAAAATATTCTCACATTATCAAAACACAAATACAGTATTCACCCATGCATACCTCAGAGATATTGCAAGTTTGATTTCAGACCACCATAATAAAGCAAACATCACAGTAAAGTGAGTCATAGTCTTTTTGCTATTGGAGGATCTTGGCCTTCAGTTTGTAAATGCCCGTCATCTGTGAAGCTCAGTAAAGTGAAGTGCAATAGAATGATGTCTGCCTGTATTTTCATAAGACAAGTTTTTAGGGACATCTGATTTATAGATTGAATGATCCTATGACTATATGGCTGTATTTTTGCCACCAGAAGAGTATGTTGAAGTGGGATTAAGATGATGAAGAGTGGGTTGTAGAAAAAGGAGAGAGAAGAGAGGGATGTTGGGGATTTGGCTGGGGGGAATGGGTGGAAGAGATTGGAGTGTTAAATTTTAAAAACTAAGCCTCATGGTGCTAAAGTTTAGAACTCCTAAAAGGAGTTGCTACTAAATTTTATTTCAGATTGATTGCATACTTTTCTCATTGAAAATATAGTGAAAAGATTGAAGATGCTTTTTTAAAATCCATTTAGGAAAGATCTGTCTGCAAAGCTTAGTCTGCAACAATATAAATGACCACATATAAAATTGGTATTTAACTTATAAATTATATTTTTAAACTCCAAAATGTGCAACTTTATGAAAGGCTTTTTATGGTGCTATTTATATTTATGTTGAATAAAATGTTCATTATCAATTCATTTTAAATTCAGGTTGGATTATATATGAAGCACTGGATTTTATATATTGCAGTATATATATGACATCAGCCAAGGTTAATTAATTTGATCTATTTTTATCGCAACTATGTTTATGCTCCATGTTTAAGTTACTAGAAAGTAGGTAAAAAGCTACAGAACTGTTGAATAGTTTGTTTTTGATTGCTGACCTTTTTGTGGTTTTGCTTTGTTTTTGCTGCCTACAGCTATTGGCTTTTACTGTAAGTATTTTGAAGATTCTATGCTTTTTATTGCTTATGTTTATATGTCTTATTTATTTAATTGTCTTGAACCACCACTTACTCTCTTAAATACAAGCAAATCCCTGAGAAAAAAGGCTTTGCCCTTCTCATTTATTACTGTGTCTCATTTATTACTGAACATTCTTGGAACATACTAGGAACTCCATAAATATTCAACAATACCACTTAAAGTGGAAAGAAGATTGAGTCTTTTTCTTTTTATGATCATCTTAAATACAGAAAAAGTTCTCTGGTTTTAATGTAACCTCGATGTCAATGTATGCATTCTTCGTATATCTCATTTTCTTTTATTTTACTTAGGCAAGATTAAAGTTAGCACTCTACAAATTTTGCCTTGGGGTTAAAAGTCTAGATATCTGAGAATCCTTTTCTAACATTTACCTATCAGAATTTTATGAATGAAGTGGGAATTATAAGATTAATAAATGCTGTATTTCTCAATGATTCTTTTAAAATATCTATTTTGCCCTTACAGAATTATATTTTTAAGTGTAGTCTAGCTCCAAACCTAAAATTTGAACTGATTAACTCATTTTCGTTGATTCAATTTGATTCTAGTCTCATATTTATCGTTTATATAATCAGTTAATATTTGAAAGTGTGCCACATTTCAAGTATTATCTTTGGCATGTATGATTTTCTCCCAGTAATAAACATGATTGTAAAGAATATATATGTATTATACATCTAGCAGTTCTAAAATAAAAAAAGAGATTTACACTGACACTGATATTAGTGCAGAGAATTCTTTTCTCTGTCTCTGGAATGTTTTCCAAGTTGTTATTTTTATTAGTAAACTCATCAGGGTTTGTCTTAATCCTTTGAATAATCCCATTTGTGGGTCTTTTCTGGAGGTGCCCATTTATGATGCCCAAATCCCTCACACATGACTATACAACAGTTTGTTGCATTGGGGGTGAGTGGGAGGTGGCTTTAACAGAGTATGACTATTTTTCAGCAGATACAACTCTCTGTTCCTTCCCAGATGTGGTTATAGTATGTTCACAAGAGAAGAGAAAATTAGGGGTTTGAATAATGAAAATATATGTAAAAAAAAAAAAAAAGAATTGTGGCTTCCAAGTTTTATGTATAAGTATGACCCTAATTTTTATCTTTTTGTTTTTCTGTGAACATGTATTAATATTTTGTCACCTGAAAAGATAGATACATTTATTAATCAAATACAACAGTAATTTCTGTTTATCTGAAATAGAAATGTATATTTCACTGTTGAGAACAATCATTGTGTTCCAGATTGCTTTTTGAACAGGTGAAAGTAATATCCTGAAAATAACAGGGCACATTTTTTTATTTATATAGATATTCCTGATCAAGTTATAAGAGTTTTCAAAGCAGATCAACAAAGTTGCTACATTATCATCAGTAAAGACTCTACAGCTAAAGAAGTTGTTTGTCAGGCTGTTCAGGAATTTGGTTTGACTGGTGCATCTGACACATATTCTCTCTGTGAAGTTTCTGTTACTCCTGAGGGTGTCATAAAACAGAGAAGACTTCCGGACCAATTTTCCAAATTAGCTGATAGAATTCAGCTCAACGGAAGGTGAATGTGCTTATTATTAGTGAATGTACTTTTTTCTAGATGTGTTTTTGAAGATTCCATGTCAAAACCAATATTAAATAGAAACATCATGTCTTAGGGCCACGAGTTCTCCCTACAATTGAAGTAGGATTTCTTTTGGCCCCAGCTTTTCTTATCTCCATAATTTTAGAAATGTACTCAAAATGGCTATCAAAACATAGGAAAAGTAAAGGGAAGACAGGTTGTTAAATATTTTAGCTCTCTTTCTAAAATAAAGTTTTAGAATCACTGATATAGTTCAGTCTCTGTTTTATACAGAGAAGAAACTAAATTATACATATATTTACATGTATCTGATTGTATTAATTTATAAATTTGTCTTTAATGTGACCATATGTACTTTGGGCAAAAGAAGCCATAATTTTCACAATTTATCTTCTAAGTAGTTATCCTTTTATGAATATGTGGAAATTTAGAACATTTTTAATGTTTTGACAATAATAAAGAAGGAAAGTACCCTTACAAGTATAAAATCACTTACAAAAAACAATTTTTTCCTTTTTAGGTATTATTTAAAAAATAACATGGAAACCGAGACCTTATGTTCAGATGAAGATGCTCAAGAACTAGTTAAGGAAAGTCAACTATCCATGCTGCAGCTCAGTACCATTGAGCTGGCCACTCAACTATCAATGAGGGACTTCGATTTGTTTCGTAATATTGAGCCTACTGAATACATTGATGACCTTTTTAAGTTAGATTCCAAAACAGGAAATACTCACTTGAAAGAGTTTGAGGACATTGTAAACCAAGAGACATTCTGGGTTGCCTCAGAAGTTTTAAACGAATCGAATCAGCTTAAACGAATGAAGATTATTAAACATTTTATTAAAATCGCACTTCATTGTCGAGAATGTAAGAACTTCAATTCCATGTTTGCAATAATAAGGTACGTTCGTACAAATATATGTACAATTTTGTTATGATATTAGGCGTGAAACTGATTTTCTGCTTAGGTATTAATGACTAGGAGATAAAAAGTTAATAGGTTTTTACTTGTAAAAACTAATATATGTCTTCCATTTTTGTGATTCTGGCTTTTTTTCTTTGTTCCTCCCATCTTTCTGTTACTTAAAACATTTTTTGGGGGAGGTTGTGTGGGTGATTGTTTTCCATTTTTCCTCCTTTTTCTTTGCATAGTGCTGCCCAATGGTTGGTCTTTATTTATCATCAGACTTCTATTCTGTGCATCTTGCAGTACCTCATCTCCTGGTACATATAAACTAATTGCTAAAATTCTGTGGCACATCAGAAATAATTGTTTTTTCTGATGTGACAAAAAAAAATAGGTATGATTTTGATACATTCACATAGATAGCTATTGTTATGTTTGCTGTTGTCATTTTTTTAATGTGATAATATAAGGAAAAGAAGTCTGTGCCTCTGACTAAATAGTCAGGTATTGTATGTTTTAAAAATTGTGGCAAACCAATTGATAGTCGCTGGTCTAGCTAAATATTTGTCAATTTTGTCATTTCAAAAAAACAGTTCTTAGTTTCATTGATCTTTTTTATTGTTTTTCTGGTATGTATTTTATTTTTTCTGTTCTGTATTTATTTTCTTCTTTATTCTAATTTTGGGCTAAGTTTCTTTGTGTGTGTGTGTGTGTTTGCTTTTTTTTTTTTTTTTTTACAGTTCTTTCATACATATAGTTAGTTTATTTGAGACCTTTGTTTTTTGTAATATGGATATTTATCACTATAAATTTCCATTTTGGAATTGTTGTTATAGCATCTCATAGCTTTTGTTATGTTGTATATCTATTTTCCTTTGTTTAGAGATTTTTTTAATTTCCCTTTTGTTCTTTGACACATTGGTAGTTCAGGGGTATGTTGTTCAGTTTGTAGATTTTCTAGTTCTCCTCTTATTAATTCCTAGCTTCACACCATTGTGCTTGGAAAAAGATACTAAGTATGATTTCAATCTTAACTTGACTAAGCGTTGTTTTGTGGCTTATCTTAAGATATATCCTGGAGAATGTTCTGTGCATGCTTGAGAAGAATATGTATACTACTGATGTTGGATGAAATGTAATGGTTATAGTGTCAATGTTTCCTTACTAGTTTTCTGTCTATATGATCTATTCATTGCTGAAAGTGGGATATTAAAGTCCCCCACTATTATTGTATTGTTGTCTATTTCTTCTTTCAGATCTGTTAGTGTTTGTTGAATATATTTTGGCACTCCAGTGTTGGGTGCTCATATATTTACAATTATTATGCCTTCATGAGGAGTTGGCCCTTTTATCATTATGTAATGTAAATGACCTTTTGTCTCATGTTAACGTTTTTGGCTTAAAGTCTATTTTATCTGACAGAAATACAGCTAGCCCAGCTCTCTTTTGGTTTCTACTTATCTGTAATATTTTTCCATCCCCTTCACGTTGAGCCTCTGTGTGTCCTTTAAGTTGAAGTGACTATTTTGTAAGCAACATATAGTTGGATCTTGTTTTTTTATCCATCCAACCATTATTTTGATTGGAAAATTTAGTTCATTTACATTTAGTATAATTATTTATATATAAGGACTTACTACTTCCATTTTATATCTCATTTATTTTCTGGCTATTTGTAATTCTTTTATTCTTTTGCTGTGTTCTATTGTAAATTGGTAGTTTTTCATTGTGGTGTTCTTGGGACACATCATAGAAGGAAGGGTTTTTTGTTTTTTTTTTGTTTTTGTTTTAATGTTTTAATTGATTTTAGAGAAAGAGGAAGGGGGGGGAGAGAGAGAGAGAGAAACATCTATCAGTTGCCTTCTGAACACACCCCAGCTGGGGATTATACTGATGACCTTTTGGTGCACAGGGCAATGCTCAACCAACTGTCACACCAGCCAGGGGCCTGAAGGCAGGGTTTTTAGGTAAAGACAATAATGCTGGTAAAACTAGAAAGCAGCAGGAAAAGAAGACAGCCAAATATGAAATGGATTGACTCCATAAAAGAAGCCAGAGGCGTGAGAGTACATAAAGGAGAGTACATACAGGGCTGTTGAGGACAGGATTTTGTGGACATCATCATTCATAGATTTCCTCAGGAGTTAGAGTGGACTTAATGGCATGTAACATACCCATGCTCTCTATCTTTTGTGAGTCTGCTATAGGTTTTTGCTTTGTGGTTGCCATGAAACTTACATAAAACAATTTATAACAGTCTATTTGATGCTAATAACTTCAATCACGTATAAAACTCTACCCTTTAACTTCTCCCATTTTATGTTTTTAATGTCGCATTTACCTTTTTATATTGTGTATTATACAGTAGCTATAGTTATTTTTTGATACTCTTGTCCTTTAACCTTTATACTCTATTTGAGTGGTTTACATACCTCAAATTACAGTACTGAGATTTTGCAGAATTTTATTACCTTTGTCAAAGTGTTGTATATTTTCATGTGGTTTCACATTACTATTAGTTATCATTTCATTTCAATTTGAAGAACCCTTTTCAGCACTTCTTGTAAGGCAATTCTAGTGCTGATGAATTCTTTCAGCTTTTGTTTTTCTGGAAAGTGCTTTATTTCTCTAGCATAGTTTTGAAAAGATTATTCTTGGTTGGTAGTTTTTTTGTTCGTTTGTTTGTTTGTTTGTTTGGGTTTTTTTACAGCACTTCGAATATATCACCCATTCTCTCCTAGCCTATATGATTTCTGCTAAGAATTCTGCCACTCTTTTTTCTCTACTGCCTTTAGAATTATCTCTTTCTTTGATTTTTGGCAGTTTTATTATAATGTGTTTTGAAGAAAGTTGTTTTGCATTGAAATAATGGAGTGAAGTGATCTCACTTTCTGAACTTGAATATTCAGGTCTCTTCTCTGGTTTGGGAAGTTTTCTGCCATATTTCTTTAGACTTTTTGCTTCCTTCTCCCTCCTAGAACTCCAATGGTTTGGTTATTGATTTTTTTTTTTTTTTATGGTTTTCTTTAGATTATGTAGGCTTTCTTTACTCTCTCCCCCCCCCCCAAACTGGGTTATTTCAAGGTTCCTATACTCTGTCTCACTAATTCTTCTTTCTATTTGGTCTACCCTGGTGCCAATGCTCTGTATTACATTTTTCATTTCATTGAATTTTTCAGCTTTAGATATTCGTTTGGTTCCTTTTTCACTTTCTATATTTTGAGTATGTATTATTTTCCTAATTTCATTGAATTGTCCTGTGTGTATTTTTGTAGCTCCTTTGAATTTCCTTAAAACAACTATTTTGAATTCTTTAACAGGTAAATCATAGATCTCCGTGTTCTGGACTTAGTTATTGGAAGATTTTTGTGAACTTTTGGTGAAGTAATATTTTCTTTATTATTGGAGTTTTGCATTTTCATTTTGTTTGGTTTGGTTATGTGTGTTTTTTTGCATTTGAGAAAGCAGTCACCTCCTTTAGTTTTTTATTGTCTTCAAGATGGAAAAAAACTCTTTCATCAACCTTGCTGTAGATTTTATTGTTGTTGTTGTTGTTAATTCTCGCCCAAGGATATTTTCCTATTGATTTTTAGGGAGAGTGGGAGAGAGAGAGGGAAAGACAGAGAAATGTTGATGTGAGAGACATCGATTGGTTGCCTCCTGCACGAGCCCTAACCAGGGTCCGGGCCAGGGAGGAACCTGCAACCAAGGTACCTGCACTTTACTGGGATGGAACGGGGACCCTTCGGTGCTCAGGCCAACACTATACCCTGAGCCAAACTGGCTACAGCCATGGTGGGCAAACTGCGGTTTGCGAGCCATATGTGGCTCTTTGGCCCTTTGAGTGTGGCTCTTCCACAAAATAACACAGCCTGGGCGAGTTTATTTTGAAGAAGTAGCATTAGAAGAAGTTTAAGTTTAAAAATTTTGGCTCTCAAAAAAAATTGCAATCATTGTACTGTTGATATTTGGCTCTGTTGACTAATGAGTTTGCCAACCACTGGGCTGGGGCAACCTTTCTATAGATTTTGAGGCTTTCCCAGGTGTTGTATGGATACATCTGCTCTATGCTTCTTGCTTTCTCATGTGGCAGAATTACGAAGCTTGTGTGTCTTCTCTCGATCCTGTAACACAGCGTGCCAGTTGCTGGTAGCTTCTCTTGTTTTCTTGAAGGTGGTCGTTTATGGTTTCTCCTTTGCCTGCAGACACTGCGTATGCTGCCTCTACCAGAGCTTGGTCTCAGGACCTTACACAGGGAGCCAGCAGCAGACCAGGGGGAGGTATGGGTTTGGTACATGGTGCGCTGCAGGTACCCGTGGGAGGGATCTGTGGGTGAGGTGTTCCCTTTGTCTCCTGGGTGGGCTTCCTATTGTAGTCCAGAAGCAGTCAGCAGGAACTGCATCCCTTTTTAACACCCTCCAGGAATCTCATATTCCACACACCTGATGTGCACCTTCCCCTTAGTCAGGGAGCTTTCACTTTAATGCTCTGGATTGTGTGAGAGAGAAATGTGTGTCCTTGGCAGTGTCCCACACAGCTAAGGAAACCAAGCATTCACTCACTGGCTTTCCCTTTCTCCCCTGGGAGAAACCGTGGGCAACCTAGTTTAGCCCTGATAGTGCAGGGTGAAATGATGTTCTTTTTACCTATTAGTGCATCCAAACTTTTTGTTTTGTTTTGTTTTACTCCAACCTAATGTTGGAAATTCTCTTCTGGAAACCTGGACTTCCACAAGGTTCTCTTGTCTGTGGGTGACTGCCCAAGTCTGTGTTTTGCAGGTCTTCTCAGATCACAGCTAAGAGGGGCTAAAACATGCCCAGTCTCGTGTAGAACACTCCCAAACGTGCACCAAACTTAGCTACCTGTTATTCGATACACCTGTGAGTGAGGCTCCTCCTCCCAGATCCCATGGAGTATGGTGCTGGTCCCAGAACTCCACCAGAGGCACTTTGTTCATGGATATGTGCCACATTTTTGTGGTTGGGTGGGAGAATAAAATGAGGGACATCTTATACCGCCACGACGCTGACATCACTCTTTCCAGTTATCTCTTGGTTGAAGTTTGTGGGAATTAGTTTTCTGAGCATATTCAAGTACCTTTCTGTTGCCTTTGAACTTCAGTTCACAAATAGATAATATCTTCATAAAGTTATTTCTAAGTAAAACAAACAATATTGTGATACTTTGTTTATTTTAAAGTTAAATGTGTTTTATGGAATTATTATTTGTCTATTAGCATGTAAACTATAAAGTAAAGGCTATAAGTATACAACTATAGGTAAGTAATGTAGTTTCTCTGAAAGAGGATTTCCTTGTTTTATGATCAAGGAATCCTTTTTATTTATTTGTTTTATAGTTCTCTCTATTTATTTCAACACATTGTTTTAGATTTATTAGAGAAACTTGCTGTATGCACTTTACCTACCTGAGCCCTCTCTCTTACCCAAATCTCTTTTTAATGTTTTTATTCTCATCCTTGGCAGTGGCTTGAACCTGGCATCTGTAGCACGACTCAAAGGTACTTGGGAAAAGTTACCAAGCAAGTATGAGAAACACCTGCAAGATCTGCAAGACCTTTTTGATCCATCTAGAAACATGGCCAAGTATAGAAATATTCTTAGTAGTCAAAGTATGCAGCCTCCAATTATTCCACTCTTCCCTGTTGTCAAGAAAGATATGACATTTCTACATGAAGGTATTTGAAAGTTCTTTGAAAATTAGCATATTTAACTTCAGCTAATTCAAGAGAATTGTGATTTATTATATTGAATACTAGTGGCCCAGTGCACGAATTCATGCACCTTGAAAGTGTGGGTCATGAGGCTGCAGTAGGCACAGGGGCGGGTCTCAGCCCATCCTCCACGCTCCCACCTGGCCCCTCCCACCACGGCCTTGGTCCTCTGTCTGCTGGCAGCTGCCCTCCAGCTACTGCCTTCTCACAAGCTGATCTGTGGGGCCAGCCTTGCTCGCATCGTGCTTTATTCTGGATATTTTCTTCCAACCTGTTGTCCAATTAATTCTCTTTTTAGCTATGTCTAATTTACTATTAAATTTATCAGTGAGTTTCTAATTCCAATTACTCTTGTGTGTGTTTTTCCAGTTTTACAGTTTACATTTGTTTATTTTTTCGTCGTCTTGATCTCTGCCAGAGTTCTTGGTAGTGGTTTTTTTTTTTATATCTTTGCACATATTCAGTATAGTTATTTTTAAATCTATCACTATTAACTCCATAATCTGGATCCTTTGTGGGTCCCTTTCTGTGTTTTTTTTTGTTTTTTGGGGTGTTTTTTTGTTTTTTGCATTTTAATTATGTTATTTTTTTCTCCTGAAGGTCCTGGTTATTTTTGACCAAATAAATACTGTGTATTAAAAAATTACAGAAATAACCTGGTTTCAGATGATGTTTCATTCCTCCAGAGAGAAGTGATACTTTGCTTGTGCCAAGCAGCTAGGGGGTCTAGCATTCCAAAATTACTTCATTTTCGCATTTTGAGGTAGTTTAACATTGAACTTTTACTCCAGTCTACATTCAGTTCATTATTAGTCACCAGGATTTAGCCCTTCAGGATCTCAACCCAAAGCATTGGAGGCTTATCTGGACTTGTTCTTTCCTCCAACCTCAAAAGATAGAATGGCACTCCTCAGTTTTGCAGCTCAGCATCCACCTTTTCTGAAATCAGCAGATGTCCCTAGAGTCTAGTATTGGGAAATGCTAAACCTGCCCCAGATCTTCATTCTTTCAGATCTTCACTGCCTGGATATCTTTTAATGTCTTAAAATATTTGTTTATTTTCAGCTTTTGTCCAAATTTTCTATTATTTTTCATCAAAAGTTCAGATTACCTAATTTTACTGACCACCCCCCCCCCCTTCATTCTCACTCCTTTTTCATAAGATCTTTTGACATGCTCCCTCAAAATATGTTTAGGTGACTTGAAAGCACTTTTGGAGATTATTTTGTTTCCAACTCATGTTGAAACCCTAAATAACGCGTATGTCCCATGTATAGCTTCTGTTTACTGTGAGACGGGGGCCCACCATGTGTTCTAGACCTATATGGTTCTCAAACTTGTCTTCTCGGACTTGCAGTTCCATAATGGCACCTCAAGGGCTGCCACGGGAGATAACTGGGTTATGCTAACTGTTAAAGACAGGTGTGGGCCCTAGCCAGTTTGGCTCAGTGGATAGAGCATTGGCTTGCAAACTAAAGGGTCCCAGGTTCGATTCTGGTCAAGAGCTCATGCCCTGGTTGCAGGTTCAATCCCCAATGTGGGGAGAGGAGGGTACAGGAGGCAGCCGATCGATCGTTCTCTCTCATCATTGCTATTTCTATCTCTCTTCCTCTTCCTTCCTCTCTGAAATCAATAAAAATATGTGTAAAAATAAGAAAAGATGGGTGTGGAAAAGAACAACACTGCTGTAGACAGATTGCTCTTTGAATTTAGTCTTTGCCTTGTGTTTTGAACTGGGCAGGCCAACAAATGAGCTTTTAGTCTGGTCTTTACTCTCTTCAAAGAAAAGTAAACCATTTTGAAAGTTATATGAATCATTCTCAAAAAACTATTTAACAGTACAGAAATAAAAATTATGAAGCTTATGAATGAGCAAATTTATATTAAAGTCATGATTGTAAATTCAAGTTCTGGGAGAGGCAAAATGAATGCAGACTAAAAAGTGTTTATCCTTGTGAGTCAGCCACCTCTTAATTTTAACTAATTATTGCCATTTGGGAAAACATACCTACTGTTATTTAATCTCTCATCTAACCCTTTTCCTTTTTATCTTTAAGAGAAATCAGAAATTCTTGTTTTCATGGGATATCTTCTTCTTCTTAAATGTTAGCAACTCACTTAACAATTTGTCAAGCATTGTAAACCAGAGAAAACTCACTGGGTTAATTAAGCCCAAAGCTCATTCTTTGTGACCTCTGGTTAAAAAGTTTTCATTGGGCTCAGTAACTGGAGAGTTAGATTTGAGTAGCTGCTTGTTTTACTGGTTTGCCTATAACATAATGAAATTGGTTTTAGAAGCTATGCTGTTTGTCACTTTCCAATATTCATAATTTTTACTACCCCTAAAAATACAATTCCTCCCTATAGCTCATTCCCTGGGAGCAGGGTTGAACCATCTATGGTTTATCGATTTTTAAAAATACTGGTAAGAGTGACCGTTTGAGAAAGAAGGTTATTTATACCCCCAAGAATAATAAATTGGCTTCTGCAACCTTTATATAGATATCTTAATTTTGAAAATTAAAAACTTTTATTTTTATTCCATAGGAAATGACTCCAAAGTAGATGGTTTAGTAAATTTTGAGAAGCTAAGAATGATTGCCAAGGAAATCCGTCAAGTTGTTAGGATGACTTCTGTTAACATGGACCCAGCTATGATGTTCCGACAGAGGTATGGTAGTGAAGTGTGTAAAGTGTTACAGAGTGGCATCAGGAGTGAGATATTTAAAATATTTGTCATTTTTTGACCATTTACCATGGTTATATGCTGTACAAAGTGCTTTACACAATCTCAAAGTAATAATTTATCACAGTAACCTTTAAAGGTAGGTAATATTGACCTTCCTTTTACATATGAAGAAACTGAAGTTAAGAGAGTTAGGTAATAATGCCCAGGATTACATAATTTTTTGAGATTTGAACCCTAGTTCTGCATTACTTTTTAAAGCACATGGAAGTTCTGTATTGTTATTGTTACTTAAAATATTAACTAACTTCATTATAAGTTGCTGATCTTTACTGAAGTTTCCGCAGAGGACAAATGCTTTCTTCTGATTTCTAATCTAATTTGTAAAATATTAATGTGCATATGTCTTTTGTTTTTACTGAATATTTTTTTAGTTCTGGTTCCATCTAAGTCATACTTTATTCTTCTAAAATACATTCTTTTTCTCAAGTCATGGTACTCCTGTTTATTTATGTGTAAGTTCTTTAAACAATTCAGAAAGTGCAGATTTAAAATGTTCTTTAATAAAAATGGAAAATATTATTTTTATTAGTAGTCCATATTAAACTGATCTTCTAAAAATGCCTTGTAAAACTGATTTTTAATGTAACAACAAAGACTTCCTCAAATTCTATGGAACTTAAAGCTGTTCGCAATAATTTTTATAATTTTCAGAATAAATGATAGAGCTTTCATTTTTGGCCTGATTATCCTTTGGGCCTATGTGTATAGCTTCAATACATAAAGAGCTTTAGAAAGAAAATATTTACAAAAGCAGACACAAATTCCTTTGACTTAATAAATACAGTTTAGTAAGAAAACAAAAGTATTTGGTTCTTTAAAAATCATAAATGGAATTTTTATAACCAAACAGAATTAGTGTGTGTCAGGATTGGTTTTTTTGGTTTGGTTTGGTTTTATTTAAATTACTGTTCAGGGGCCTATGTTTTTGTAAGTAGTTGCTCTGATGGTTGGTTGCTCTAGTTAAGAGATTCTCAAGCTGTGGAGGAAGGGTGTCAGATCTCCCCTGCCAGTCACTACCTGTAATGAGAGAGGTGATTGCTCAGCAATGCGTAAGCAGAAAACAGCAAGAACCAGGGACCAAAGCAGATCTAGAGGAGGGTTTGTTTATTTCATTGTTTGTTTTTTTAAGTTTTGTTGTTGTTGTAGCATGTCCCTGTACAGTGGCCCCTCCACTGCATGTTGTCTTAAACATGGGCCTTCATTTATTCTCATACATGTTAGCACTTTGGCTCCTGAAGACATAATGAATCTGCAACTCTGCCAGACCAGTTAATAATATACTAAGTACAGCTATGCTTCAGTAATGAGCAAAGAATGAAAAACTATGAAGAAATTAATAAATTCAGCTATTTTCTTGGGAATAGCATGGGCCAAGTAGAATATAGTATAGAAGAAAGTAAAACATTTATAATTAGATTGCACTGAACTTTTCCTGAATCAGTTTTGTCATCCAATACTAAAATTTATTATTTTTCTTTAGCAAATAATTGTCCATTTTGGTGGTGCATATTATGTAATGTGGACAAAGTAACCCCTTTATTTTAACAGTAATCAATTTGCTGGCTGAAAAACACTTTGGGACTGCCCACAGTGGAACTCCCTCAGTGCACTAAGGCCAATTAGGGATTGAAAGGGGTACAAAAATATGGATAAATAAATAATAATAAAAATTTTAAAACCGCCTTTATTTAATCCAATTATAAGGATATACAATATGATAAAAAATTTTGATATGTTTTTACTTTTTTAGGTTGAATTTCCTGGTTCACATTTCTTATAAAATTTGAATGTTGTTGAATTTGCCAGAGAAATTTCTGCACTTAAAAGTGAAATTATATTTACAAGTTCTATTCCACAATTTAAGGTTTTTTCCCCTAAATACCTTCATTTTACAATTTTAGTAAATGTTTTTCCTTAAGCTTCTTATTAACATAAGCCTCTAGATCAGTGGTTCTCAACCTTTCTAATGCCACGACCCTTTAATACAGTTTCTCATGTTGTGGTGACCCCCAACCATAAAATTATTTCGTTGCTACTTCATAACTGTAATTTTGCTACTGTTATGAATCATAATGTAAATACCAGTGTTTTCCGGTCTTAGGCAACTCTGCTAGCGGTTCTCAACCTGTAGGTCATGACATGAGAACCGCTGCTATAGAGCCTAAGACCATTGGAAAACACAGATATCTACATTACGATTCATAACAGTAGCAAAATTACAGTTATGAAGTAGCAACAAAAATAATTTTATGGTTGGGAGTCATCACAACATGAAAAACTGCATTAAAGGGTTGAGGCATTAGAAAGGTTGAGAACCACTGCTTTAGATGAATTAGGTTAAAAATATAATTGTTCTAAAAGCATATTTTAAAAATATTGTAGGGGTTTTTGGCTTTCAATACCTATCATAATTCGTTTTACTCCTCTGCATTCCATTAAAGACATTGACTGTTTAAGCTACCATTTTTCCTAGTAAAATTTTTCTGTCCTATTCTGTCTTCAGAGTTTTTCTGGTCTCAACTGTTGTCTTTTTTCTGTGCTTCCTATTCACACACATGCTTCAATGTTTGTGGCTCTTGCTTACAGGAAGAAGAGGTGGCGGAGTCTGGGGTAAGTGTAGAGATGAATGCAACTGGAATGAAGGTTGTGCAACTCTTACCATATACTGCATCCTCTTCATTAATGCACGCACATAAAGTAGCATGCGTTCTATTAACCCTGTCAACCTACATTCCTGACAAATGCCTTTTGCTAACTAGGTGAAAGTAGTGATAGAGCTAGCTTTTATTTTCTTTACTTTTTTATTATTGACATTCCAAAAGTCCCTTTCTTTTATTAATGATGATCGATGATGATGATGATGATAGGAAATATTTGTTGTGGGCTTACTATGTGCCATACATTGTTCTAAGCACGTTATATGAATTATTTAATTATTCAGACCACGCTATGAGATGAATACTGTTATTCCCATGGTACAGACAGAGAAGTTAAAGTTGTCCAGATTCTTAAAACTCTCTAGTGGTGGATCCAAACCTAGGTAATCTGGCTTCATAGTCCACACATTTTCTTTTTTTCAAATGTCATGTTTTATAAAAATAAATATGTAAGTATAAAAATGGATAAGAGATTTTGTTATAAAGGTTAAGTTTTGACATCAATTTTCCTAAAAGAGATAGTCCTTATCCTAACTATACTATAAAATTGAGTTAGTAAATAATTGAAATCAAAGATGACTTTAATTCTTCAGATCTTCTAATACCATTAAACTTACAGCATTGATTGAATTTTATTTTAAATTTCTCCTACTTTTAAAGATCCCCTTATCTCTCTTAAAACTGCAATATAATCAGAAACTGCCACCTTTTGTTCAAGTAAGTTCAGATCTCTGCTTACACGTAGCTAGATACCTATTTAGAATGGAATTTTTAGGACCTAATAAAACATCTATGTAGCCTTTTCATTTTTTGATGGAGAAAGATATGGTGACCCTAACTGGTTTGGCTCAGCTGATAGAGCATCTGCCTGTGGACTGAAGGGTCCCAGGTTTGATTCCGGTCAAGGGTACATGCCTGGGTTGCGGGCTCAATCTCCAGTAGGGAATATGCAGGAGGCAGCCAATCAATGATTCTCTCTTGTCATTGATGTTTTTATCTCTCTTTCCCTCTGTCTTCCTCTCTGAAATCAATAAAGATATATATTTTAAAAAATACAAGCAAGAAAGAGAGATGGTGTTTGTGGAGGAAAGGATTGCATAAGAAAAATTTTGTTAACTTAAGATTGTAATGAATCATGAAGTAAGATGTTTCTATTACATGTTAGAAGGATTTTTGATGAGCCACTTACTACTTAAGTCCTGTCTTGTTTATGGTCTTGTTTTCTGTTGAAGTTTTGTAAACTTGAATTTTCTTCTGCCTTTTCCTCCCTTCTTTGTGTGTTGTTCATGTGTTTTCTTCTGTATTATACATTTATGCATTGGTCTTTTCTGGTTCTTCTCACTGATAATAGATATTGAATTCTAGCATTACTATTATAAAGAGGAGGAGTTGGTCAGTATATCATAGTGGGAATTTGGGGTGTTTGAATGCTTTATGCACCACATTCACTGATCGTTCAGTTTTACTATATGATGCTAGCAGACACTAGGTATTTACACCTTTGCATCAGAGCATTTTCTGTTTTGGAACTAGAAGACATTTTGTTGTCAATTTATCACATTGTTTTCATTTATTAGAAATGTATATATGTTTGATTGTTTTTTTGTGTGAGTGTGTATGTCAATGTCAACTAAGATAAAAGTATTAAATATTTATATTAAGAAGTGCTTCTAAATTATGGGGCTTGATTTAACTGCATTTCTTTAAATCTAAGACATTAGTTGTTGGACACGAATTATTTTAGGTACCAATAAACTAATACTTGATAAAAGAGCTCTTATATAAACTTATGTATTTTTATCACATAACAGTCTTTTATATTCATAAAAAGGAAAATATAAGCAAATTAAATTGGTTAGGTCTTTCTAAAACTTTTTCATATTAAGAATATACATCTTCTAAATCACTTTTAGAGTTATTAGTTTCTGGATTTTTCTCCCAAACAATTTTGCCATCAAATGTGTTGGTAATGCAACATTTTTTTTTTTTTTAAAAAGTCATAAAAGAGGTAAAAGCTTCTGGTGCTATGCTCTTAAGCTGGCTTTGCAAATACTTACAGCTAGCCTCCTTTTAATACCTGCTTTGAAAATGTTGTTAACTTGTCAGATTCACCATCTCCTTAAAAATCATTTGGTTCCTGGGTTAATAGAGTAATTCACTAACTTCATTGTATTTTCTTGCAAACCATTCTGCAAGCTTTTGAAGTTTTCTGCAAGTGTAAATTGGTCACAACTATGTCACAGTTTCTGCCTGACCAATAGCAATTGAAAGTTGCCATAAAAATGTCAGATACACTCTATTTCAAAGATCTTAAAATTGTGAAAGAAAAAATATATAACACTTTTACAACTTTGTTTCACTTAATTTACAATGAAAACACTAGTATTTTAGTATCTGTTTTAAACTTGTTATATGAATGCTGAAGAACAAATTATTGTAAGCTTATGGTCTATGTATTAAAAATGTTTTTGTGTAAAAATCAGGCTAATTTAGAAAACTCATAGATACCTTTGTTATTTTGGAATGGCAACTGCCTTTAAATTCAAATTCTTCATAAAACCTCAAGTTGGCTTGCCTTGTTAGGACAAATAGCATTGTGTTTCAAGTTTTCCTCTGGTTTTAGATATAGTCATTGTACGAGAGCATTGGTTGAAGAGACTAGAATTGGGTGGAACTAAAGCTAGTTTGAATTGTGATTATTTCTGCCCAGCTTGCAGTTCCATCACATCCGACACCCAGTCCTAGACCCACATAAGTCCTAAACCATATATGTGAGTAGAAGGATTGAGTAGCTTTTACTTGCATGTCTGACTATATTGAATTGAGTATAAATCCTATTATTTTTCTTACTGGTTATCTCTGAATTTGGGGCAAAATCTGGGTGCTTGTAAAATTGGTCAGTATGCTGAGAGAGGGCCTGCTGCAGACCGGTTCAGTGATAGCCATAACCTGTCCAAAGCAGCACGGACAACAAAGCTGCTCTAGAACTTGATGCTGGAGAACCCTGGTGCGGAGATCTGGCTGAGGACGGACCTGCCCTGACTCTGGCTCTCACATATATTCAGAGTAGGGTGAGCACCCGGATCAGAAGATGCTTTTACTCTTCACAGTTGTGCCAGGGGTTACATAGGCACAAACACAATCTGATTAAATTCATTGCTAAGGGAAGAATTATTCTTTTGAATTCTGCACTTTGCCAAATCTTAAATCTTAGAAGATTGCCCTATATGCCATATTACTTCACATTAATGCTCTTCATCTTTTAACCCATTTACATCAGCATGCAATAAATAGTATTAACAGAACAAAATTATTTTCATCTTCGGCCTGCCATGTTTAGTTCTCATCTTTACAGCCCCTTGTTGTGGTCTCCATATACTTACAGGTCACTGAGTCAAGGCAGCACCAACTCAAACATGCTAGATGTTCAGGGGGGTGCTCACAAAAAAAGAGCACGCCGTAGCTCTCTGCTGAACGCTAAGAAGCTGTACGAGGACGCCCAGATGGCGAGGAAGGTGAAGCAGTATCTTTCCAGTCTGGATGTGGAAACAGATGAGGAGAAGTTCCAAATGATGTCATTGCAGTTGGAGCCTGCATATGGTACTTGTGAGTACAAGTTTTCTCTTACGTGGCACTAAATAGCACAATAAAATAAAATTTTACTTCTCTAGAATTGTGCTTGAAGTACCAAGAAAATTAACTTTAACTCACAAAAGATTACTGGCATAAGCCAATAAAACATTTTTGAGTACATAGTTTATTCTTGTATTATTAATCGTATTTTCCATACGAACAACTGTAAACCTACTTTTGCCCCCCTTTAATTATCCGTGCTATGAATGAAAGTCACAAGATTCTATGAAAATATAAAACTTAGCTTCTAATCTAGTCTATGCAGAATGGCAGGATATTATTAGGGAAACCAATAGTGGGTTGATGCCAGATCCTACAGGCCTGTCAGGCCTTGTTTGGGGGATTCGGATCTTGATCCTCATAGTAGTGGCAGGTCATCTGAAGGTTTGTGTTGGGCATTTGGAAAAGGAAAGTAATATCAGATTTTCACGTTGAAAAAGCCTGCTTTTCTATGGGGAATGGCTTAATGGCAATGGAACTGATGTAGTGAGGGGATATTTCAGTAATATAGGTGAGAGGATGTAAGCTCTTCCAGCCCAGGAGCTCTGAGAGCTGCAGGCTTTGATGCAGACCCGCCCAAGCCCAAGTCCAAGAAACACCACGCATAAGTAGTCCCCAAAATGGCACAGAAATGGCATCAAGAAACCCTAGCCACAAAGATATGACTGTCTTAAGGGTATGGACCCCAAATTCCTGAGGAACGTGCTTTGCCAAGAAGCAAAACAAGTAAGGCCTGAAGAAGATGCAGCTGACAACACCAAGGCCAAGAGTGCACATGCCATAGCTATCAGGGCCCTCGTAAAGCCTAAGGAGGTCAAGCTCCAGATTCCAAAAGGCAGCCGCAAGTTCAGTTGACTTGCCTACATCTCTTACCCCAAGTTTGGGAATTGTGCTTGTGCTCACATCTACAAGGGTCTCGAGCTCTGATGGCTAAAGTCCAAGGCCAAGGCTCAAACCAAGGCCTAGGCTGTAGCTGTGGCTTGGTGTGACCCCTGGGCTGCTGTCTGCATGGGCTTGGTGTCCTCCTGTGCAGTTTGTTCAAAGAAACCTGAGACAGGATCTGTCCCACTAAAAATATATAGATAAGATTTTATAGATAACATTTTAAATTGGCCTTAGGGTGATGGTGGAGGTGGAGCTAATGAACTTAATGGATTCAAAAAATACATATTTAGGAAGCAAACTTAACTATAATTCTACAAAAATTTTAGAAGTAATATATGAAGTTATTTTTAGGAAAATTAATCTATTTTTTTGTGTTGAAAGGTGGTTTTAGAGTAGCCATTTATTGTCAGTGGTAATAACCTTGCCTAAAAGTGCAGAATTATGTGTTTCTTTTTCTCTTCTTTTAGTGACCAAGAATTTAACTGAAAAAAGATTAGCCAAATCATCAGAAATGTCTCCAGTGCCTATGAGGTCAGCTGGCCAAACAGCCAAAGCCCATCTGCATCAGCCCCACAGAGTAAGCCAAGTTCTTCAAGTGCCAGCTGTTAACTTGCACCCCACCAGGAAAAAAGGGCAATCAAGAGAGCCTGTCACATTGAGTGAGTATTCACAGTCATTTCATTGAAATTCCCAGGGGAGTTGGAATGAAAAATAATTACTAATGTAAGTGATCAGGAAATCAGCTATTATATTTTATGAAATGTAATCATCACTCAAGAATTTTAAAATGTTGCATTTTGCCTGTAGGTATTTGATGACAGCATACATATTTTAAATGCTAACATTGAGATTCCTATAATCATATCAACCGAAAACCTAACAGCAATACACTTGGGTACAAAGGTGCATTTAATCAATTACATAATTCAAATAAATGCAACCTGTAAGAATGAAGTTGCTTATTCTAAAAGTGACTGTATGTTGGTTTTTCATTAAAGACTACTTCTGAAAACCCTAGTTAGAAGATAAGAACAGCATGTAAAGTACATAAAGTATAAGCCATACTTTTTCCCCCTCTGTTAAGCCATGTAGACATTATCAACATTACTTTTATTTGTGGTTTTGACAGTATCACTATTTTAGCTTTTAGATGGGAAGCCCAATTAGATTTAGTTCCTAGTATTATTACTTAGTCTATGCATTATATACAGGATCTATTTAGTAGAACTGGTGAAATGTGAATGTTATTTGATTTGTTTTGTGATCCAAAGTTGAAATGTCTCTATCTTTGCCAGTTGGTAACATTGATACACAAACAGATAATTAATAGAATGAGTTTGCTCTTGCCAGGGGTCTGTACAGAACCTATAAACAACAGAAGAGGGAGAGCTTTTAGGGTGGGCAGTGGTAAGGTAGAGTTTCAAAGAAGGCTTTTTGGAGATAACACCTAAGCAGAACCTTAAAAGATTGATGGAAAGAGCTAATTAGGCAAAGATTCCAGAGAAGTTACTTCAGGCAGAGGAAAACCTTGATATCTCCAAGGAGCTAAGGCAGGCAGCTGCCTCTGGGTACTAAGCTGTAGGAAGATTGTTGAGTCAGTAATAATTAAAGCTGACACTTGTAGAGCATTTACTGAGGGTCAGACACAGTTCTAAGCACTTTGCTAACTTGATATATTAATTTAATATTTATAAGAACCTTGTGATAGGAACTACTCTCACTCAGCAGGGGAAGCCATAGAGGGTTTAAGTAACTTGCACATTACCAGGAAGTATTGGAGCTGAGAGTTGAGCCGAGGCTAACTGTACAGAGTCTTCTCGCTTTTTTAGCCACTGTACTAAACAGCCACCAAGGATGAAGAGAAGTGAAGTCATAAGCATGCTGAAATTGTAAAATGCGTGCTAAAGGGAAGTTGCCAGTGGGCAGCTATTGAAGAGATTTGAGCAAGGGAATGTCCAGTTCATTTTGGAGAACAAGAGTAGGGGGTGCAGTGAGACTAGAGAGAGAGGCCTGGATGGGAAACTAGTATAATAATAAACTGGAAGTTGCTCAGAGCCTGAACTAGTTAGGAGGATGTGAAAATGAAAAGAGAATTGGATGCAAAATTGAAGTTGATAGATTTGTTTGTAGGAGTGAAAATTGAGATAGGTCTGGCTCTGGTTCCTTACTTGGATGTCATCACCCGAGATACATTATTACATGAACCAGGTACTCCCCTACCCTCTTGTTGTAATATGGCCGTTATCTATATAATAAATGCATTTATATTAAAACTAGAGGCCTAGTGCACAAACTCATCCACAGGTGCGGTCAGGCCAGCCCGCCCCAATCAGGGTTAGTCAGGCCGTTTGGGGGAGGAGCTGAGGGGGGTTGGTAGGCCGGCCCTGACCCCTGTCGAACTCCTGATCGAGGGGACAATTTGCATATTAGCCTTTTATTAACTAGGATGGCATTATTAAGTAAAAGCAGTGTGTGTTTGCTGCAATTTGAATTGTTTCAGTGTTATAGGACTGCTTGTTACTGCAGAATCCTTGTCAAAGTTGGGCTTGCTTTACTGTTGAGTACAGTGTCAGTAGCTCTTTGACATTTCTTAGAGATGAATGTGAAAATGCGAATATAAGGAAACCATTGCTAAGTTTGATCTGTACTTAACAGGACCAGCTGCTGGACAAGAATAATGATAGAACTTTGCAGGAATGTTTCCAGTGGGCTCCATACTATTCTTCTATAAATTCATAATTCTTTCTGTTGTCTACTTCTCTCCTGTAGTGTGAATTTAGTGCTCTTGAAAAGGGCTGGACTGGCAGCCCTGCAGCCTCTTCTGTGTTCCCACAGCACAGATGCACCACAGGTAGTCACAGTGCCAACATCCCTACACTGCTCCTGTCACATGCCTCGCCCTGACTTGGAGAGGCCACCTCTAGAGGGGAGGGAAGAGTTTGAATCCATGCCTTCTCTATTAAGACTTCCAACAAGTGTGTCAATTGTGGGGGCTGGGACTTAGCTGTGAAATCAATGTCCCTTATGTCACAAAACAAACAAAAAGAACTGTTATAATCTGGTCTGTGCTGACTGGCTGAATTTGAACAAATAACCTAGAGGTGAGAATCTCTGTATTCCATTACCCAGTCATTTAGTCCCCGTTTGTCATTTATACATTTCAATTGAATACACTAGCCATTGTGTATCATGGCTTTAGTTATGTAGTTATTTAGGCAACTGCTGACATTTAACTGCGACATGATGCTTATTTTGGGGGCTTTATTTTTAGGTACAAGTTCACCTCAGAAAGTTTTAGGAACAACTGAAGAAATGAGTGGTAAGAAACATTCCGAAGACACTGTTTCCATGACATCGTCCGTACATTCCAGTCCTCCTGGATCTCCTCAAGGTTCCCCACGCAAAGGTAAGATGGTAGAACAGTTCAAGCTAGTTCTTACTTTACCAAACAGTACTTTGTAATATATTTTGTTTTTCAATCTGTCTTAGTAACAAAATCTGAAGGAAAGCATAACTTCTGATTCTTTTTGAACTTTCATGTTTTGGATTGAATTGTTCATATACTTTCCAGGTATTAGGTAGGACTCCTGTAAGAATAGACAGTTGTTTTGTTCTGTGCATATTCTTGATGTTTCTATTCAAATTTCCCATTATTTAAAATTTCTGTGGAGTATTTTAAAATAAGAATTTCTACAAGAAATTGTTTTTTAACCAACAAGGTTTAGGAAAAGAAACTGCTGGGGCTGAGCAGCAGACCCTGAATGATAGGTGAATGATTATACTGACACATGTTTGTGTGAAAGAGAGGGCTAAGGGGCTGTTTTGCTTTAGGAGCAAATAGCCCTGTTTGCCTGCCTCCTTAGGCTTTTATTGTAACAACAGCTTTAACTAAAATTAACCTCTGGATACAATCAGCAGGGTAAGCATCCTTGAGAAAACACCTGCATCTATAGTATCTTTCAAATAAGGATGTTTTGAAGTCGAAACATAAACGTAAAGATGCTAGTAAAACACCCAGGGGCTCAGACTTGTTGGAAAAGTCAAGGCATTGTTCCCAGAGGCCTCTGGCCTTTCAGAGAATTCTCCTTATAGACTTTGCAACCAAGTCCCATGATTCTCCACAAGAAACAAATATTTAGGTTGAAGCATTCCTTTCTTTAGTAATGGAATATTAACTTTTTATTAATCGTGATTTAAAATAACCAATACCCTCTGGATTTTTACATTTATATTTATAATAGGACCTCTTGAGGTAAAAAAAAAAAAAAAAAATCTGAAATCACTCTTGTTCATTTGCATGTTTTCATAATTCAGACTAAGCTCCTCTTGAGTAGGCTGGGCAGTGCCCAGAGATGTCACTATGTTAGCATGTAGCATTCTGAACGATGTGGGTAGATTTTACGTTGGCCCACCCACACTCTGGCTGTTCCCTGTGGGAAAAGGCCTCTTAGTCCTGGCATTGTCTTTGCGGATGTAAAAGAATTGCATCTTGAAGTAATCACAATGCAAGGTAGTACATGACAAGGGAAGACAAGCTTATGAATTCTAGCAGGAGTAAAAGTTTCCAGAGCTTTCTTCAGCTCCTGTGTCCTAAGATTCATCTCACTTTTAGAGACCTTTTCTTATTTTCACTCACTCTGTGACAGCAGTGTGAGACAGTAATATCAGATCTGATTTGGATCCTGACTCTGTCCCCTCCTATTGCTGTGTCACTACAAGCAACTGATTTATAAGGTCGGGTTTCCTATCTAAAATGGGGGAAACCACCTATTTTAGGGAACTTATATGAGAATTGGATGAAATAACATATATAAAGGCTGATGCATGGTAAGTGTCCAGAAAATTGAGTGTCTCTTCTTTCCCTCTTTCTACCCCAGGCAACATAGCTCCATTGCTGACCTGCCCTTTCCCCGTTCACATAGCTGAGACTGGCCAGAATTTTCATTCAGAGTTTACTAAGAAAAGCTTTGTAAAAATCAAATAAGACAGAGAGAGAGAGAGAGAGAGAGAGAGAGAGAGAGAGAGAGAGAGAGAGAGTGTGTGTGTGTGTGTGTGTTTTTAATAAAACACAAGTTTCTGATCCTGTTGTATGTAACTCATACATGATTTTGTGAAGCTCACGAGTCTGCTTCATCGCTTTACTGCCTCTGGTCCTTTCAGGCGGGAGGAATGAAGCTGGGGGCATTGCCAGTCACACAGATGAGCCGGTGAACAGTGCCCGTGCGCCTCAGTGCTCTCTGAGGAACACCGTTACACCCGCCACCGCCTCGGTGTTCAGAGTCCCACTGTAGACAGTTCTCTAGCCAGTGTGACTTGTAGGAGAGGTGTTAGGAACAAGAATTCCCCTACTGCTCTTACTCCCAACTGAAAATTCTCTCTCACTACTGGAAGAGAGAAGTCTTTCCTCCGTGTGACCTCCCATGTGTGACCACCAGGCCGTCCTGGTGTTTATTGTGAGCCTGTCATAGTCATGTTGAGAATCCTTAGGAACCTGAAGAAATTTTTTTCTTAAACAATTTCCAATTGTTCTTACATGTATTCCTTTAAAAACCCCCACAGAATATTTCTGTATATTTCCATAGACAGATTTTTGCCTGTAATCCTGACTGAACAAAAATGCTATTAAACTAAACATACATTAAGATCAGTTCCTAGTTCTTGCAAAACTTTGGAATTAGTTCTTTGTTTTCTAACAATTGAGAAAATAAGCCTATCTTCATATTTTATACAAGATTACACAAGAACTTTTTTTTATATTTTATTTAAATATAGTTGGTGTACAAAAATATACTAGTTGCAGGTATACAGTACAGTGATTCGATATTTGCATGCCTTTCAATGTGATCAGGCCCTGAATTTTAGTAATCATCTGTTGTCAGGCAAACTTATCACAGTATTATTGACTATATTCCCTTTCACCTTTTTCACCTATTCGCCGACAAACAAGAACTTTTAAAAAGTGTGAAGTGAAGAGTCCTTAACTTTGATCTTCCCCAGTGTTTAAAGAAGGCAACCTTTCTACTTTGGAGATATAATAGGATCAGAAATTGTGCTTTATAACATTTATTGTGTCTACTATTTGTATGTCCTTTCTGATTTTGCTAAACTTTTTCTTAGCAGAATGACTGAACATTCTAGAGATAGTTACTTTTAAGAAATACTTTTAAAAATATTTCTGCTTATGATTTTACCAGCTTCGCTACTTTCATTACCAGCTTATTCTGATCAAGGCAGTCCTTATCCTGTGTTCTGTCTTGTGATGACTGCTCTGTAAACCTATATAGTAGGCTCTCCATGCACTAACTGATATGTGGCTAGATTTCAATTTCTCAGATATTATCACAATGTTAGGTTTTTTTCTTTTCTTTGGTGGTGGGGTGGGATGTTAGAATTTTTAATAGTGAACTGTTTTATAAGCCAGGCTAATTGTGATTAATTGGAAAGAATTAATTGACCATGACAGGGTTTTTGCATCTCTCCCTCCAGTTGGCAGTATGGTATCTGACCACAGCATCCCGCTGCACCTCTCAGGGTCTACCTCATCCCCTCCCAGTGAGTCCAGCACCGAGATCAGTGGCCGCAGCTACCCCGGCATAGGTGGGGTTTACTTGCAAAAGAAAATCCTTCAAATTACCAGGAGCACAGCCAAAAGAACAGACAGTACCAAGAAGGCCACTGAGGAGAATAGAGACAGGACAAGTTGTGAGAACACAGCCAGAAAAAGAATGACATCCCCGTTTAGAAGATTTAGGGAAAGAACTCTTTCAAGGGAGAGACTAGCCAACAGCAAAAAAGAGGATGCAGATCACAATCAAGCCACAGAAAGCTCTGAGAAAGTGAAGGATGTTGGAAGCAACATCACAGATGAGAAAGGGAGTGCCATCTGCAATTCCAATAGCCGAGGCAACAGTAACGCTTTAAACTGCTTCCATACGCGATTCAAGTCTAAAAGGAGGAAGACACTCTGAAGTTCCTTACTTAATTTTAGTGTTAAATTTGTTTTATTTATTCGTGTAAATGGAGTTTAAATTAAGTTATTTGTCAAACAAAACTTAGGCAAATAATTTAGTAGAATACTATTTATAAGTATTTTATGATTAGTGTTATAGATCTTCAAGCAACAAAGTCCTATTGAATTAAAGTGCCTTATTTTCACATGTTATTTTATTCATGTTAGTAAACTTGATATTCTTATATTCTGTAGTTGACTTTATTTCCTACCAGAAGCAGCTAGGTCTGTGAGTAAAATAAGTAGAAAAGGCTTTTTAGGAACCAGAATTTACTTTCACATCAAAACCCTGGCCAATGTAGCACCATTGTAGCTCAATGATTGAGATTCGTCCCATGAACCAAGAGGTCACAGGTTTGATTCCTGGTCAGGGCACATGCCCAGGTTTCAGGCTTGATCCCCAGTGTAGGGTATGGAGGAAGCAGCCTATCAGTGAAGTTCTCTCAATGATGTCTCTCTCTATCTCTCTACTTTCCTCTCTCTCTAAAAATCAATAAAAACATTTTTTTTTAAAGAATAAAACTCCCAATAATTATCTGATCAGATAGAACCTTTACCTCAGAGAATTTTATTGCTATCTTCTTCCTGCAACTACTCACAAGCTAAAAGAAAAGGAAGTGTTTGGGAGGCAACAAACTGTATCTTGTCCACATACACTTTTTTTGTCTTCCACTTCCCGTACATCTGATTGGAGGAGGAGGAAGAGATGGTCTCACATAGCAGGTAATCTGGAAAGCCTGTGAGACAATATAGTTACTCTGTTCCACCACAGACCTCATAAATTTGAATTGCTAGAAATGGGTCCAAGAATGTGTGGTTTAATAAGCTTTTCAGGTGATTGTTAAAATTGACATAGCAATGTTATGCCCTAGGCTAAAAGAAATTATTTTTTTCTTTTGAGAATTTTTAATTTAAGTTTATTTTTATTGCAGTTTACATTCAATATTATTTTGTGTTAGTTTAATGTGTATAGCATAGTGGTTAGACAATCATATACTTAACAATGTGCTCCCCCCAATATTTCCTGTACCCACCTGGTATAATTATTATATTATTAGTGACTATATTCCCTATGCTGTGACTATTTTGTGACTACCAATTTGTACCTGTTAATATCTTCACCTTTTTCATCCAGCCCCTTCCCATATGGCAATCATCAGTCTGTTCTCTGTATCTATGAATCTCATTTAATTTTAAGTTTAATTTATTTTTAATTTATTTACCACATCTTGAAACTTGACCAGTTAATTCCTAATGGGCACTGATAAATAGTAGTGACCTCAGATCAGAGAACTGGGGTAGGAATCGAGACTGACTTGTGCCTGGCCCCATAAGCTAAATATAAATCACACGTTTTCTGAGTCTTAATTTTTCTCTTTGAAATAGTTAATGGAACTGCTTAATGTGGTTATTGTTCAACACATTTTTAATGACTTGAATTATATGTATGTGATTATAAAGCCTATAATTCTTGAGATTCTCAGGGATTGAACCAAAGGTTATACACCTATTGAACCACATTCTCTAAGCGTACAAGAAGATAATTGTTCGCGTCTTTGAGGCCTGCTCCTTGCTGGGATTACTATAGCATTTTCTTTTATTTCTAGGCAAAAGAAGTTTGGTTACTTTTCTAACACTTAGGAAAACCAACTCTTACGTATACCTCACTCCATCTCCAGCCCTTTATTTCAGAGAATGCAAAAGAAAGCCTCTCTAGCTATATCTGCTGTGCAGTAAGTCGTAAAACAATTTAAAACAGGTACATGCTGTGTTTTTTCATAACACATTCTTATGTCAGTTCAGCTGTTCAATAATAACATTCTGCAAAGTTGATGAAAAAGGAAAACTAGGTATAAGATTAAATCTAAAACCATTTTTTTTAAAAATACTAAAACAATGGCTTTCAACTTGGGACAAGACTACTTAGGTGATATAAGCATAATATCTGGGTAAGTATATGTAGTTTGAAAAAGCAAAAATATTCTTTCCCTTGAGTCCTGACTCCCCTTTCAGTCTATATGCCCCTACGTCAAGGTGGTATAAAGACACTCAGGTCAGGCCACGAAATATTTATGTTAATCAAAGGAAGGGACATAGAGTTAAAAAGAAGTTGAGAAACTCTGGATGTCTACTTTTTAATGCTTTCTAATATACTTAAGCCTCTTGTTTTATTAGATGCTTATAACTCTATGAGAACCTGGGGCAGAGAGTTGGACTAGTTTCTCTGTAATAATGGACTTTTATTTTTTTATTTCTTGAATTTGGGGTTGAATTGAAATGGTGTGGGTAGGTAAGTGAATGAATATGTAAGGGAATGTTCTTTCCCAATCATATTCCCCCACTTGTTTTTTTAGCTTCATAGTTTGATCACTTGTCTTTTTTCTTTAGGTTACACACACACACCATCAGCTAAATTGGACTTGTCTGACTCCAGCCATAGTGAGATTTCTTCACGGTCCAGCATTGTGAGCAATTGTTCTGTTGACTCCATGTCTGCAGCTCTGCAGGATGAACGGTGTTCCTCCCAGGTGGCAGCAATCCCTGAATCCACGGGGCTGTTGGAAAGGACAGAGCACTCCTCAGGGACGGGAGACCATCATCAGCGTGGCCCCGGGTAAACCTCCTCGCCTATATTTATATCATAAAACCTAAGCCACGTGGCCACTGCACAGTTCTCCAGCACTGCTCCATGGAGTGTGTGCAAGAGGATCCTTAAAAGAATATGAAGGCCAAGCCTGTAGTCTATACTGAATATGCAAATAAGTACTATTTTGAAATATGTCATGGGTGCTCGTTTCTTAAGTGTTACTGAATTCAAGTTAACTTTCTATCACATGCACCTTTTCAATCATTAAGAACGAAAAGTGAAGTTGTTTAGATATGGGGACCTGGCTCTCAGGTTAGAGATTGTTCAAAAAGATTGTGTAGTGGAGCCGAAACCGGTTTGGCTCAATGGATAGAGCGTCGACCTGCGGACTGTAAGGTCCTGGGTTTGATTCCGGTCAAGAGCATGTACCTTGGTTGTGGGCAAATCCCCAATGGGGAGTGTGCAGGAGGTAGCTGATCGATGATTCTCTCTCATCAATGTTTCTAACTCTCTATCCCTCTCTCTTCCTCTCTGTAAAAAAATCAATAAAATATATTTTAAAAAAAAAATTGTGTAGTGGGAGGTACCTCTACTGCAGTACACACTGTAGTCAGATTGGGGGAGTAGACCATCCTTGATCCTTAGTCTCTGAAAGTGTGATTTAAGGAGTAAGAATTACCAGCTAGCAAAAGAGTTTAACTTTTCGCCAAAACCGGTTTGCCTCAGTGGATAGAGCATCAGCCTGCAGACTGAAAGGTTCCAGGTTTGATTCCGGTCAAGGGCATATACCTTGGTTGCGGGCACATCCCCGGTAGCGGGTGTGCAAGAGGCAGCTAATCGATGATTCTCTCTCATTGATATTTCTAACTCTCTATCCCTCTCTCTTCCTCTCTGTAAAAAATCAATAAAATATGTTATTTTAAAAAAGGAACAAAATTTCTTTTTAAAAAAAGTTTAATTCTTAAATTTCTCATTAGAGTTGAGCAAAATGGAAATTTTTGAGAAAATTAATTTTAAGTTGGTAAATATTGTTAGATCTGATATACTTTAATATGAAAAGTGTAAGCTGTAGTAAAATATTATCATCATATTTATAAAGGCTTCTAAACTATGATTTTCTAGGCCAGAGGTCAGTCTTTCTATTAGTAAATAGTTTAGGTTTTGCAGGCCATAAGTCTGTTGTAACTGTTCAACCTTGTTTGCCATAACAGCCTTAAACAATATGTAAACAAATTGGCACATTGTGTCCCAATAAAAGTTTATTTACAGAAACTAGCAGAGAATCTGGCCATGGGTCCTAGTTTGCTGGCCCTGCTGTGTACTATAAGTCGGGGTTCACAAACTTTTTTTTTTAAAGGGCTAGATAGTAAATATGTTCGGCTTTGCAGGCTGCATATTGTCTTTGTCTCAAATTCTTTAGAGCACATGTGTCAAACACAAGGCCCGCTGTCCAAATCCGTCCCGCCAGGCCTTGCAATGTGGCCCGCACCGCGCTGTCATCACTGCACTCCGCTGCGTTTCTATCACAATGACAGTTTATGACTGTTCAGTAAACCATTCGGCCCTTAATTTAGGCTGGATTTTAGATTTTGGCCCCTTCTCTGATTGAGTTTGACACCCCTACTTTAGAGTATTTTGTTTTATTTAAACGCTTTAAAATGTAAAAACCATGCTTTATTCCAACCATACACAATGAGGCTGTTGGCTGGATTTGGCCCATGAGCCTTTATTTGGGGGTCCCCTGCTGTAAATAATAGAATTCATTTAATAGTAGGTAACTGGGAAAGTTGCTATTTATTTAGTGTTGTACTCAGCTGACCTCAGAGGTACACTAAAAAATAAGCTAACCTCAAAGGTGCATTCCTGCAGCTGGGAACTCTTAATTCTGCATGCATAGAGAATATCTAGCATTATTTTGACCAAGAATGAAAATGTATTCTTAATTTTATTCATTTTAAGCCACATTTTTCATTCTCGTTTAAATTCAATTCAAGAAAAATTCTGAGGAAACCTTACTGTTTGTATTTCTTCAGTGTATGTTTCTAAGCTAAGTATTAACATTAATGCCAGTAGTGATGATTGATGATAGGTCATTTTTTTCCACAAGGTTATTTTGGCATAAACTCTTATGATACACTAGATGCCCTGTGGACACATTGGTACACCAGTGTGGTCCCTCGGCCTGGCCTGCAGGATCGGGCCAAAACTGGCTCTCCCAACATCCTCTGAGGGGTCCCAGATTGTGAGAGAGCGCAGGCCAGGCCAAGGGACCCCACTGGTGCACGATCAGGGCCAGGGAGGGATGCAGGAGGTTGGCCAGCCGGGGAGGGACCATTGGAGGGCTCCAGGGTGTGTCCAGCCCCTCTCACTCAGTCCCAATCGGCCGGACCCCAGCAGCAAGCTCACCTACCAGTTGGAGCGTCTGCCCCTGGTGGTCAGCGCACATCATAGTGAGCAGTTGAGTGGCCTTAGCACATCATTAGCATATTACGCTTTGACTGGTTGAACAGACAACCGGGCACTTACTATATTACATAGGATGGTCTGTAGTCTCTTGGATGCATTTAATACTTGAAATGGACAGAAGAAAGGCTTCTAGTAAACCAGTAAATTACTTTTAATCTTGTATCTTCAATTTTAGGTGGACACTCTTAAAGCCATCTTCAATTAAGAGTTTAGCTGTCTCATCTTCTATGAGCAATGAAGAGATTTCTCATGAGCACATCGTTATAGAAGCAGGCGATAGTGGTCGTGGAAGCTGGACTTCCTGCTCAAGCAGTTCCCATGACAACTTCCAAAGCCTTTCAAACCCAAAAGGCTGGGATTTTTTGAACTCCTTTCGACATACCCATTTGGGAGGCCCCATTGCTGAAGTGGAACCCACTGACTGTGAGCCCTATTCCTGTCCTAAAGGCTGCTCCAGAACTTGTGTTCATTGTAAAGGAGGCCTGGAGGCTAATCGGATGAGACAGAGTTGGGCCTCCTCTGGTTCTCTTTCGGACACGCACGAACCAAACTATGGCACAGTTAAGCGGAGAGTGTTGGAGAGCACCGCAGCTGAGTCATCTGAAGGCTTGGACCCCAAGGATGGTGCTGACCCAGTTTATAAAACTATTACTTCAAGTACAGAAAAGGGCTTGATTGGTAAGTTCTGTGTTCTCTGGTGCATCTGTGGCATTTAGAGATTAAGGGGTAAAAATGGCATCTTGGTTTAGAATTTTTTTATTGAAAAAAATCCCATCTCTCACTTCAACTCCTCTTCCCTCTTCAAATAATTTATTTTTTTAAAGTTCATGATTTCTCAGGAACTTTGGAACAGCTATTAAAGCCTATTAAAATGAAAAGGCTGATGTGAAGGTATTTAATTAAGCGGTATAAAAGTATTTAATTGTTTAGAGTTTTTTTGTTCATTGTGGAAACACTGCATTACTGTGCAACATTAATAAAGGGATTATATTCTTTGTCACCCATAAATTGTTTGGACCACAGTTGCTCTTCATACATGGTAGAAACTTTCAGTCTGATATTACTTTTAGGTAGTACAAGTGAGAAGAAATGCAATAAGGAAATCCAAAGCATTTTTTCAGAATACTTTTCTGAAACACATCATGGGTGCACAAACTCCCGCTTGTGGATTCCGTGCTAATTACACACAGCTTGCTTGGTCTGTTCTTTTAGTATTCAAGTCATCAACTACATTTTTTCCTTCCTTAAATTATGTAAATATGAATATAACAGCTCTGGTTTTTCTATTTATGTGGAATGACTTTGTACCAATTATATCATAATCAACTCAATTCTATATCTTATGATGTCACTTGAAATTTTTAAATTTCAATTTAATATTTGTTAAATATTATTAAATTTCAATTCAATTTAATGATTTTTATAGCACATCTATAGCACATTTGTTTTATATTGGTAAAATTACTTTAGTTTTTATTAAATACAATTTTTGGGTGACATTGGTTAATAGGATCACACAGGTTTCTGGTGTGGGTTTCTGTTACAAAGATTCTGTATATTGCACCGTGCGCCCACCACCCAAAGTCAAACCATCTTCTTTCACCTTATACGAGGCCCCTTTTATCCCTAACTCCCCACCCCGTCCCTCTGACAACTACCACACTGCTGTTCGTGTTCACAAGTTCAGTTTTATTTCCCACATTGAGTGCTATCATATGGTTTTCAGCTTTTTTTGCCTGACTTACTTCACTAAGCATAATATTCTCAAGGTCCATCCATGTTGTCACAAATCAGGGTATTTTGTGTTTTCTTATGTCTGAGTAGTATTCTATTGTATATATGTACTACATCTTTTTTTTTTTTTTTTTTTGAGAAAGAGAGGAAGGCCAAGGGAAAGAGAGATATAAATACCAATGAGTGAGATACATCAATCGGCTGCCTCCTGCACTCCTACGGGGGATCAGGGCCATAACTCAGGCATGTGCCCTGACCAGGAATCGAACTGATGACCTCTTGGTGCATGAGTCAGTGCTCACCACTGAGCCACACCAGCCAGGTTGTACCACCTCTTTATCCAGTCCTCTATCAAAGGACACTTTGGTTGTCTCTACGTCTGGGCCACTGTAATGAACATATGGATGCATATAACTTTGTGAATACATGTTTTTTTAGTTTTTCAGGTATTTTCACCTAAGAAAGGGATAGCTAGGTCATATGGTAGCACTATTCTTAATTTTTTGAGGAGTCACCAGACTGTTTTCATTCCAATGTAAAATGTATCGATCTACTTTCCCACTAGCAGAGAATGAGAATTCCCTTTTCTCCACAACCTCTCCAACACTTGTTATTACTTGTTGGTATAACCATTCTAATAGGTATAAATAAGGTGGTATCTCATTATAGCTTTGATTTGCATTTCCCTAATTTCTAGTAAGGTTGAACTTCTTTTCATATATCTGTTGGCTGTTTATATATCTTCTTGAGAGATTTGTCTGTTCAGGTCCTCTACCCATTTTTTGATTGGGTTGTTTGTTTGATGTTGAGTTTTATGAGTTCTTTATATATTTTGGATACTAAATCTTTTTTGGAGCTATCACTTGCAAATATCATCCCCTGTTTGGTCTTCTGGCTCTTTGCTTTGTTTTGGTTTCTTTTGCTGTACAGAGCTTTTTAGTTTGATATAGTTCCATTCATTCCTTGACTTTGGGGTCAAGTGCATAAAATGTTCTCTACAACCAAAGTCCATAAGTTTATTACCTGTGTTTTCTTCTATGTAATGTATTATTTCAGATCTTATATTTAGGTCCTTGATCCATTTTGAATTAATTTTTGTACATGGGGACAAATTAAAATCCAGTTTCATTCTTTTGTATGTGGCTTTCCAATTTTCCCAGCACCATTTACTGAAGAGGCTTTCTTTATCGTGTGTTTCTGGTTCCTTTGTCAACAAATATCTGTTCATATACATGTGGGTTTATATCTGGGCTCTCAATTATGTTCCCTTGATCTGTGTGTGTTTTTTTGGCAATACCATGCTGTTTGGATTATTATAGCTCTGTGATATAAGTCAGATTGCATTATTGAGTGGGTTTTTAGTTAATTCATTTTTTTGCCGAGGGTTTTTTATTAAAGTTTTCTACATAACCATAGGATAGATATATAAACATGAGTATGAACGGATATATCCTTCTTGTCCATTTGGGATAATAGATTTTTTAAAATATTTTATTCTTTCATTTCTAGATGACTGGTCACATTACTTTTATTCTTCACTCTTGTCTTTTTTAAAAAAAAACAAAACACATGTTTTTACTAGAGGCCCAGTGCACGAAATTTGTGCATGGGGGGCAGGGGTCCTCAGCCCACCTACCCTCTCTCACAGTCTGGGAGCCCTCAGGGGATGTCCTACTGATGGCTTGGGCTCGCACCCTGTGTGTCTAAGCCATCAGTGACCTCCCTCTGCAGAAGGCAATCTGGCTGATCAGGGGAAGGCGCCGCCCCCATCACCCTGCTGCTGCTGCTACCAGTGCTGGCCACCGCAGCCGCCAAAGTGTTTTCATCAACACGAACTCCAGTCCCTTCACCGTGAAAAATGACAACTTACTTTAGGCATTTTCAAGAAGTCTCTTTCATAGGATAGGGTATTTCTTTCTTTCTTTGTTTTTTGCTTTTTTTTTTATCCTCACCTGAGGATATTTTTCCATCAATTTTTAGAGAGTATGCAAGAGAGAGGGAAAGACAGAGAGAAACATCAATATGAGAAGGACACTTTGATTGGTTGCCTTCTGCATGAGCCCTGACCTGAGCCCTGGCCAGGGAGGAGCCTGCAACCTAAAGTAAAACTGCTAAATTGGGATACAATCTGGCTAATGTCCTATAGGTCAGTGGTCGGCAAACTCATTAGTCAACAGAGCCAAATGTCAACAGTACAACGATGGAAATTTCTTTTGAGAGCCTTTTTTTTTTTTTTTTTTTAGAGAGAGAGGAATAGAGAGTTAGAAACATCAATGAGAGAGCATCATCAATCAGCTGCCTCTTGCATACCCCCTACCGGGGATGTGCCCACAACCAAGGTACATGCCCTTGACCGGAATCAAACCCGGGACCTTTCAGTCCACAGACCAACGCGCTACCACTGAGCCAAACCGGTTTTGGCGAGAGCCAAATTTTTAAAACTTAAACTTCTTCTAACACCACTTCTTCAAAATAGACTCACCCAAGCCATGGTATTTTGTGGAAGAGCTACACTCAAGGGGCCAAAGAGCCGCATGTGGCTCATGAGCCAGTTTGCCAACCACTGCTATAGGACAATAAAATCATCACTTTTTGAATTGGTGTGTCTTCTAGACAGAAATTAGTTACTACTTTAAAAGTCTAAAAATTCTTTTCATCTTCTCACTTTGCGAGTTATGTGTTTCATAGTAAAGGAAATGATCTTTCTGTGGGCCTCTAATGCCCCAATTATACTGAAAGGACTTGCTGTCAACTTTTTACTCCGGGCCTGTGCTGGGCTACAGCCTGTGCTCCCAGGCTGCTTGGCGGGGCTGCCCTGGCCTCCCAGGGTCAGCAATGGTCCCAGGAGCCTGCAAGCTTGGTGCCCATCATGGGGACCCAGGCCACTCGGTGCTGCCCTGCCCCCAGCCACTTTACATTTGCATATGCAAATTAACCTGCCACCTTCGTTGGATTTATTTGCATACTCATTTCTAACTGGCTGGTAGGCATCACAGAGGTACGGTCAATTTGCATATTTCTCTTTTATTAGTGTAGATTGATTTCAGAGAGGAAGATGAAGAAAGAGATAGAAACATCAATGATGAGAGAGTGTCATCTATTGGCTGCCTTCTGCGCACCCCTTAATTGGGGTTCAGGCCCACAATGCAGGCATGTGTCCTGACTGGGAATCGAAGCGTGACCTCCTTAGTTCCTAGGTCAGTGCTCAACCACTGAGCCATACTGGCCAAGCTTGTCTTCTTTTGACATCATCTCCATCTCCTCCTTGTTCCATCCTCCACAGATGGGAATGAAAATCCTTTCTGACCTTGATACTACATGCAAATTTTACAGTTCTAGAATTTAGTTGTGGACAAACTTGATCCTTTAAAGGGAGAATTAATATTAGAATTATTTAATGTTTTTTTTTAATTTGTTCTGCTTAAATGAAGTTATTGTTTGTGTATTAAAAGTCACTTCTATGATCAAGGAATTGTCTTTTGTTCTGTGGGTTCTGTAGGCTGGTCTTAATTTCATTTAAAGAATTTGCACTCCGTGTAACCTATTTCTAATGCTTTTGAAGCTTTACCTTAGTCCTAGGGTTTATAAACTTAGGGAAAAGAATTTTAAGTCACCATTATTTTTAACATCCACTGAAAATCAGAGAAACTTGATTTAAGATGGATTTCCTAAAATTATGTTAGTTTTTTCTTGTTCACTTAATCACCGAGCAAAAGTTAGAATAAGGCCCTTAAAGGAATTAGTTCCTTTATTATACCAGGAAAGTTAAAGTGGTTTATATGCCAGAACCAACGAATTAGTCCAGCCAGGAGTTCCGTAACACAGGGGGGAAGGGAGAGCATCCTTAAAAAGAGGGCCGAAAGTGATTTCTGTGAAAACCCATCTAGATATTTAAGGTGGACTCTTAAAATGTTTGTGACTCAGTCATCTTTGGGGTTACTATTCCTTGAGGAGTTTGTCACACACTTCTGTGATTTGAGGGCTGAACTGCCGAAGGAATCTGTTAATCTGTCATCTCTGTCTCATCCTATTTAATGTTTATAAAACCTAAAGTAACACACATATTTTAAAAACAAGTTTAAATATTACATTTGTTAAGCTTTTTTAAAAATGTTTTTAATCTGCTATCACTATATTTAAATATACATATTCATTGTGTCTGTTTTTTAAGTTGTTTTGTCATTGTAATAAGTTTCAGTGTTTTTTTTTAATTTCTTATATTTTTCATTAACATGTCCATTGCTTATTTTCCATGCCAGTGTACTGTGTCACCTCCCCCAAGAAGGAAGATAGATATAGGGAGCCACCTCCCACTCCTCCAGGATACATGGGGATCTCGTTAGCAGACCTAAAGGAGGGACCCCACCTACACCTAAAGCCTCCAGAGTACAGTGTGGCCGTGCAGAGGTCAAAGATGATGCAGAACAGCCTGTCTAGACTGCCATCGGCATCTCTCAGTAGCAACCTCATGGCCTGTGTTCCATCGAAGACTGTCCCTCAGCCTCAGAGGCATAGCGTGCAGCCGTCCCATCCTAAGCTAGCAGACGCGGCTGACGCAGATAGCGAAGCAGACGGTATGTTGACAAACTCCCGTAACGGCTCTTAAATGAATTGCTGAACACATTAAATGGCCTTTATACTGGTATTTTAGATAATCAGAAATGTTTTCTTAAATGTCTCAGAAATCTTTAAAAAAAAATTCCTACATATGATGGTGTGTTTTTTGTTTTTTTTGTTTTTTTATTGATTTCAGAGAGGAAGGGGTGGTGGGGAGAGAAAGAAACATCATTGATGAGAGAGAATCATTGATGGGCGTGCCCCGAACCTGGGACCTCTCAGTCCACAGGCGACACTATTCACTGAGCCAAACCGGCCAGGGCGATGCCATGTCTTTTAAATGAAAGAGATCAAACTGCTTGGTTGTGTACCCATTCCCCTTCTTTCAACTCAAATGGAGTATTATTATATATGATTGACAGCAGCTCGGTCTAATTTTGAGAAGAGGGACTTGACATCATTGGAGTCATGGTTTACATGAATGTATGGAAACTTGAAACTGGAAGTGTCAAAATGCAAAATTATTTGAAATCATGCTATTGGTATAGCTTCTTTTAAGAGCAGAATCCTTCATTGACTTGGCAGCTGTGGTTTGCTTTGTTAAAAATAAATTAGTAAATATCCTCTTAAGCAATAGAGTAATAAAAATAATTAAAAAGAAGTTATGAAATTCCAGTTTACTGTCAGTTTTCAGTGTGATCAGAATTCATAAATGTCATTACAAGAAAATCTGGACCTTGATAGGATCACTGAGAGGATTTCTTTGTTGAAATTGACTAATTTTATAACAAATCTAGATTATGCATGAATATGCTGATCTATCACTTAATTGTATTTTTTTTATTTTTAGAAAATGAACAGGTGTCAGCAGTCTAGCCTTTGGATGGCCCATTTGACGTCGAAAAGTCCTGGAGGAAGGAGTGGGCAGAGCCACCTCATGGTTCCACAGGCCGGCAAACAGCACCCGGCTGCTGCTGCTGCTGCTGCTTCCGCTCCCCAAGGTGTCGCTCCCTGTCCTCTGAGTCCTGCCTCCTTTCCTTAATCCTGCACATGTGCCGTCTCCTCAGCCGTGGATGTGTGCCTGGATACGTCCTCACCTACGCACCAGACCTGCCTTGGGACCAAGTTACTAGAACAAATCCAGACTCGAGTCCTCCTCGTGTATAATATTACATCTCTCTAGCTTTTCCTTTAACAAGTTATTTTTTTAAATAGTAGTGGTAGTATTTTTAAGCCATAGCTTGGGCTAATGGACAAATTCAAAATGTCTGCCAATATTGAAAATATTCTTGTGTATTTGAAAAGTAACTTATTTGAAATGTGCTTTTGTTTGTATTTGGAAGCTCTCATTTGTGGATGTTTGTTTGAGACCATAAGACTGTCTGGTCTGGCCTCACAGAAGTCGCCTTTGTAGGGTGATACGCTTGATCTGGACAGAACTCTAGCTCCGATGCGAGTCAGGTCTCAGTCTGAGTGGAATTGGATGCCTTGCACTGGAGGGGTAGGAAGAAAAATACTCCTGTGCTGGTCTCGATTCGGACGGCCAAGTGCAAGAATGAAATCTCGATGTTAAATAATGTATTCTAAGGCTTTTTGAACTTAAATTCATGCTGCATCTAACTAAAAGTATAAATCCAGTAAATAGAGAATGTGTTCTAGAGCATTCTACTCCATAGAAACCCGAAACTAAAAGTTTCTCAACTCAGATATGGAGTTCTTTTCTAAAGGATGTCATCCTTGCTGGTGAGACCCTGAGGACGAATTTAGCTGTGGGCAGTCTCTGCTGCACCTCCCCATCTCGGGGCCTCCCCCCTGCCGGCAGTGAAGCCCATTAGCTCATGAAGGTACATAATTGGTTGGAATTTGGGGGGTGGGGAGGGAGGTGCTAGGATTATGGAAATGAATTATCTCTCAGTTCCCAGTCTAGCCTAAGACAGAAAGGAAATATATTTTTTAATAGCCTGTTGGGCATGGCACTCTTAGGTATTTATTTTAAATTTTAGTGGTTGTTTAGTGGACAAGCTAGACTTTCCACATTTTTTACAAGTAAAATATAATGTGTTCTCTATCTTACATTTTTAAATGTTTTTTTGTTGTTGTTTGCTATTTTGTGTGTTTGTTTGGTGTGTGTGTGTAAAGGCAAGTGAGAGCTTAATAAACTGTGGCTACCAAAAAAAAAAAAAAAAAAAAAGCCAAAGCTATTGACGTGCACTACCCAGATCAGCTTGGAGCCAAATGGGTTTACCTGTGCGTGCTGGTCCCCACGTAAATGTGTAGGGTTTAGTGTTCATGACTTTAAGTGTGTGCTTTTTCGTGTCGTCCCTGCCTCTGTCCCTGTGTTCTGCCTGTCCCCTTCCGTCTAAAATCCTAAGTCAGTTCCAAGTGGTAAATGGCAGTGGTCCATCTTTTCCATCTAAGCGGTGTCTCTTCATTTTAGGAAAAGCAGCATGTCTGAAAAATTTTCCTGGGCAACATAATGTTAACCTGAAACATAAGCCTTAGAAATACACCCCAGGCTTGTTAGAATGACGCTATTGGCTCCGTAGCCTTCTGGTCCATTGACATGGAAAGTACCCCCACCAGAATCCCGGTTTGAAAGTCACACTGCTGTGATTTGACCTGTAGCAGACGTTCTCTGATCACATATATTTCCTTCACTGATTTGCTTCATTGTTTTCATGTCCAAAGTGAAATATATTTTGGCTACAACCATCTTTTCATCAAGGTTGGGTATTCTGACATTTTCCATTCGCCACCCTGGAAAAACGTGTTCTTTGCACAGTGTCTATTTATTCAGCGGGTCTTTCAACACAGTGGGAGCTTTGCACACCGCTGTCCTTAGTGGGGTCAGTAACATCTTGTTCAGAGTTGGAGGCTTGTGGTTTGGTTCTTGCACCTTGTAGCTGCCTTTCTTTCATCAAAGCTCATACTGTATTTGGATCGGCTGATCACATTGATCAGGAACTAAAGCCAGATGCTTTGTAGTGTGATGTGAATGTATCCCTTAAAAAATCATGGACTTTTGATTTTTATATTTTAGTTAGGGTACATTCCTGCCTTCTCGTCACATGGCAAGACCAAGAGAAGCCTTAACCTGTATTTGATCCCATTATAAATCCCCATTTGCTTTTGTTCTTATTATAAAGTGACCAGACGTCCCGCTTTTGGCGGGACAGCCCCGATTTTTAACAATCTGTCCCTCAGCATTTTAAAAAAAGTCCCGAAGGGACAAATTGTTTAAAATCAGGACTGTCCCGCCAAAAGCAGGACATCTGTTCACCTTATCTTATTATATAAATTTATAACTTTAATAAGACTCATGCCTTCATCCCACCACAATTCTGAATTTGCCAGGACTACTAACTAAAGCAGTAAATCCGTGGTGCAAACTTTTGCCAAATTAGTTTCAGCATAGGCTCTTCAATGATGAAAGATTTGCAGAATTAGTAAATCCAATACATGCTTCCATAAAAGTTTATTGTAATAGATTTTTACTCCCTCCAGATGATACTTTCAGTATGATTTTGGGGAGGAAAAGCCGTAAGCAGTTTTCCATGAGGGTGATAAGTCATAACGTCACCTCTGCATTGCCTCCTGGAGGACTCCCGGCTGGACTGGGGCAGCGGCCCAGGGGGTTAAACCCAAACGAACCTAATTTTTATAAAGTGTTTCCTTCCTTGCAAAAGAGCAGGAGGGTGTCCTTGTGTATTTAAAACAAGGATTGTTACTCTGATATGTTTTAAATTTCTAAAAAAAAAAAAAAAAAAATTAGATAACTCAAGTAGATGTGTCGTTTTAGAATTACCTTAAAAACTAGAACAAATGGAGAAATAGATTTTCAGAAAAGTGTCATAGGACATTTTCAAATTTAACTTGGTCCCCAGTTCATATTTAGCTTTCATTGTGCTTTTTAAAGGCTTTTTTATTTTTATACACAGAATGCAGTTGTACTTGATCTTTCAAAAGTGAAACATGAACTTCAGCAAGAGACAAAAAGCTGCACAGTCATAAAAGCTTAATAGCAATTATACTGCACAATTCAGTGATTGTCAAGTTTCCTGTAACAAGCAATGTTTGTCTCCTATTTTGATACCTCTTAAACTTATGTCTTTTAGAAAGACGGTGCCTCTGTATGCTTTTTGTATTTTTACTGAGTGTAAATATTTGTTATATTTTTGGTTAAGAGAATGTAAAGTACCATTTATTATCACTAATACATTGGTGAAATCAATAAAGAATCTACATTAGCCTTCTCTGCACTTAATTGCAAATGTTATGGCAGCGGGTAAAATAATTACACTGGCACTCAGAGGGCCAGTCCAGGACCCACACTGGTGTGAAGGCCTTGTTTTTTAAGTCTTCAGGGAAATTTGAATGGGCCAACTATATTCATAGTATCTATAAAGATAATCTCATTTTTAAAACAATACTTAGTTTATTTGAATACAAACCCAATAACAATGTCTTAAACCTCGTTGGGCTTGTTTTTCTCTGATGCAGTGACTCCACGGTGACTCAGGGTCCTGACCTTTGCACCTTGGGCATCACTAGTGTTTCATGAAGGAAGGGCTGAAGGGGAAAGGTGCATGTGAGTCTCTTTATTAGCAAAACAGGTTTTCCTGCAGCTCCACTTTCATATTTCTGCTTGCATTTCACTAGAACTGTGTAGCGTGCCTGCTAGCTGCAAGGATTCCTGGGAAATGAACTAATTGGGATGAGCAATTGATGACCTCAAATAGAAGTGGGATTCTTGAGATGCGGCAGCCAGCCACGCTGTGTGTGGAGCGCCTCCGCCTGGTCCTCGCTCCTCCGGGCACCACGTGCCTGCCGCACCCGTGAGCCTCGGCCCACAGCCAGGCCCCGGCTCTCCACCCTTGCTTGGCACTACCTGCTCCTCCAATGGCTCCTTCTCTGGAAACCCCGTTCCTCATCCGCCAAACCCAGCAAGACTCTTCTGAACTCCCGGCCTCTGACATCCCTGCTGCCTGTCAGTGTGCGGGTCTGTCCTCCCCTCTGACCCGGTGACTCATCTGGGTCACCAGCACCCCGCATGCGGGGCACACAGGGAGCTCGGGAAGTGTGAGGAGTGGGTGGTGAGGGTGTGGATGGGTGGTGAGGGCTTACCTGAGGAAGTCAGTGAGGGAAGGCCGTGTTGGGGTCGCGGAAGGAGGAACGCACGAGGCCAAAAGGGGTGAATTGTAAATGTGTTACATCTGCTAGCGGAAGGGCTGAGGCCAAAATGGCATCAGCTGGGAGCAGGGGAGGGGCATTTACGTGTGTCTCCCGTGGAGGTCAGGGTCCCTGGTCAGGCCAGGGGCGGGTGGGGCCAGGTGCAGGCGGTTTTCTGGAAACTGAGGGCTGTTCGTTAGGAAACCTATAATGAGAACAACAGGGACATCACTGGGCGGACAAGAGCCCCCAGTGGGCTTCGTGCAGCACAGGGACGTGCCCACCGCGTGGGAAGGACTGGGGCACCGACCAGAATCGGGTTTCGGACGTGAGGAATGGAACGGACACTGAGCATCCCAACTTAGTTTCTCCAACAAAGCAAGACGGGCGGCGGCCCACCTTCAAACCTCACCAAGCCCGCCGCTTCCCCGGAGCTACCCGTCAGTCCAGAACCCCAACCGGGGCCTAAGGAGCTGGTGTCCTCTCCACCGGATTCCCGCCCCCACAGGCGCGCCGTCTATTGGCGGGACGGGCGGAGACTGGCATCTTTGAGAGCCTATCTCTCTCCGATTTAGGCCGTGGGCCCCGCCTACTAAGGAACGAGCCTTGAGTGGTCCAGGCTAGTAGGAGTCGGAGTGTCTATTGGCTGGATCGCAGTGACTGACGTCATAATTAGCCTATCACAGCTAGGCTCCGGGGGGCGGGCTCCTGTGCCAGACCCGCCTCCGGAGAAAACAACAGCTGCAGGTAGTGGAGAGGGAGTTCCCAGAAGTCAGTGGGCTTTCTGGCTGCACGGACCGGGCTGTTTGCTGCAGGACCTGCCTCCTAAGGAGGCATGAGGACTGGAGAGGCCAGGCTCCTTGGTCCTCAGGAGGCTGGAGGCCCAAGACAGGAGGGGATTGAGGACCCGCAGGAGGAGGAATGAGGGGCCTAGACTTCTGGGTCCGAGGGAGGAGGGAAGGCGGAGGAAACTGGGAACCTGAAAGGTTGGGGGCCAGGGGTGGGGGGCTCCTTGGTCCTCAGAGTCGGTGGCCTGTCCACAGACGACAGATTTGAAGTTCAGTGTTTCATGCGGCTGTTTATGGGATTAGAGCCAGGCCTTGTCCCCAGGCAAGAGTTCTGGATTCTGAGGTGGCGCTTGCCTGGAGAGGACGAGGAGGAAGCTCAAGAGAAGCTCTGGCCTCCATGTGCCCTTCCCTCATCCCTACGAGGGGAGCCGGGGGCAAGGTGCCATCTGCAGAAGGAGCCCACAGAGTGGGAGGAGGCCTAAAACTCACCTGGAGACAGAGAGAAAAGCATAGATACCAGTGGAGACATTAAAGGGTTGAACTTTTTCTTTAAAAGTGGGATTCTTTTCGAAGAAGCAGGAAGGTGGATACTGAGGGGGCACCCACGGCCTGCCTGCTGCTCGCTCCTTTAGGAAGCGTGTGTGAACCCAGCAGCTCCTCTTACGGGATCAGATCTCAGGACCTGGCAAAGGAAGAGGAAGTTCAGCTTCCGTGTCCCTTTCTAAACCTTCCCCACCTCCCTCTGCACCTCCTGCTTCACCCCTTCCCAACACAGCAGGGGTTCCCAGGCCCTTCCTTCTCTTAACCATCTCTCCACGGTGTCATTCGTTCATACCTTTATTTGGAAAACATTAAACTCAAGTGTAGTAGGTTGAATAATGGCTACCCCAAAGTACAAAGCCTCCCTCCCTGGAACTTGTAAATGTTACTCTGTTTGAGGAAAGGGTCTTTGCAGATGTCATCAAGCATTCTGAGATCAGGAGACTCCTTTGGATCATTTGGGTGGGCCCTAAATCTTTCACCAGTGGGCTTCAAAGAAACAGGGAAAGAACAGACATAGAGGAGAAGGTCATGTGAAGACAGCGGAGAGATGTAGCCACAGTGAAAGGAT